CAGACACGGATGTGAACAGTGTGCCGAAACAAGAGCTGTGCGTCGAGCTGAGATCGCTCGTGTCCTGCTTGCCAACTCACTTGCTACATTGACCACACAGACACCATGGCAACCACCTGGTTAAGCCATGGCCACCATGTTGTGACTGAACAGATGCTATGGCAACCACCTGCCCAATCCCTGACCTCCAAGCGCCATGTTGACCCATGCTATGGTGACCACACAGATGCCATAGCAGCCACCAACCATGTTGTGACAGCTGCTCATTGCAGCCATGTTGTCACACTTGTTCGTGGCAACCATGCCAGCCCAGTTGTCCGTAGCAATCATACTGGCCCAGTTGTCCGTAGCAACCATGCTGGCCCAGTTGTCCGTAGTAACAATACTGGCCCAGTTATAGGTAACAACCATGCCGGCCCTGTTGTCCATAGCAACCATGCTGTCACAGTTGTCGGTAGAAATCATATCAGGCAGACTGTGTTTGCCCTGTGTAGGCACGTGCCATGATCGAGGAAATCCCGAAGCTTCCGGGTCACGGACCGCTCATGGCCGTGTGCGTGTGCGTGATTGTATACCATGCGCTCTGCCTGTGTGGGCTCCAGGCTTGTACTCTCCACGCGTCTGTGATGGCGTGGTGGACATGCACGTCTCTGCATGCGAATTGTCAGTTTGCGTGTGACAGAGTTGCCTGGCAGTTACGTCGTGCATCAACTGCATACACAGCTGTATAATGCCGTTTTCCTCTTGTCTAATTTTTAGATTTTTTTTATCTTTTGAAACTAGGACTTCATTAGAGATTTTTACAAAAGGGACCCCAGGCAGCGGTCAGTGCTTGGCGTTGGCAACTGCCAGGTGCATGTGTGCTAAATGCTTATCCTGTATCAACACGATTAGGGATTGCAAGCATCAGAAATATGACGCAGGGCATAATAATTATTGTGGTGGATGGAGTGAGCAAACGCTATGTGTTTAAACGTGTGACCAGAGCTGGACGCCCTGCCGCGCAGTATGGGACCTCAAGCCAGTAGCGTATTTGGCAGCCCAGTGTGCCGTCTACCGGATCTCAGCGTCTAGCAGCGCTCGATACGGGAGGGTCGGTTGGCGACCGGCAACAAGGCTGCGTTCGCATTTTGCGAGGCTCCTGTCGCCGTCTTATGGGACTCTCCGTACACGACGGTGTCGGCGTTGGAATCGGTCATTGAGTCATGTTCTCGTTCTGTTTTTCTGGGTTTCCTCTCCCAACTACCGTAAAGTCGCGGATAAAAGCCGGGCTAATAAGTACATAAGCCGCTTTCTGCATCAGGCTTGTATGCAAACCATGCTTATATGCACCACTGATATTTTTGCCAGGCTTGTATGCACGCTTCTACGCGCGACACGCGTAGATCTACCACTGACTACCGGTATGGCGGCAGTTTTACTATGCATGTACATAGCGCATGCACTCTTGACCTACCCGATCCGCGCTTGCATAGAAGCCAGGCTTCTACGCGCGACAGGTTTATATGCATTTGACCCGTTTGATTTTCAGGCTTCTATCCGCGATGTGCTTGTATGTATGCAAACCCGGCTTTTATCCGCGACTTTACGGTATTACCTTTTTCCTTCCTTCTTTCCAGTTCTAACTCTATTATACCGTTGATGGTCCTGTATTTCTCTCCCAAAACAAATAAGCAAGGCTTTTCATTGTGTTTATTTTGCCAGGAAAAGAGGCCTGTTCCACATCTTGTGGCCTTTGCACCGGAATCTATGGCAGACTGTTGCCCAGGGAGCCCTACACCTACGTGTATGCGTTTGGCTGTGTAGGGCTCCCTGGTCTTGTTAGGGGCAAGGGAGGCTACACACTCGAACCGGGGTACCAGCAAGAGAAAAATACCGGTAGTCAGACCTCGCTTATCCGGTCGTCTGTTATCCGGATCCCTCGCCATCCGGAAGAAAATAGCTGGTTACAGATTCACAGCATACGTAATGCATCCAACATAGCCCGTGTTTGGTGATCGGTTCCCTACACAAAATCCCTGGTAGTGTCGTGTTGCTCTTTGCTTTTCTCTGTCTTCTTCTTTTGCTTCAGTATTCAATTTTGTTGCCAAAGATGGAGGTGTAAACTATCCGCCCATGACACCATCATGACATCATTGACTTGACAGCACACTGTCTCCGTCTCCTGCTCCAACACACAGAGACGCAGCAAGCAGAGCTCAAGACCAGAGTCATACACGCGTGCGCGTCACACACACACACACGGGCTCAGAGTAGACGGACTGTTGTAAGCACGAAAGCTAAAAACATAATGAACACCAGTAGTGACAAACAACACATAGCTGCTGTGTTTGAATATGGGTGACTTGACAAGTCATCACCAGCGGTTTGGGCGAAAGGCTACCAAAAACATAAACAAGACGCGGAGTAAAAGCAATATCACAAACAAAACCATGTGCACGCGCACGCACGGACGGACGCTCGGGACTTGTGCGGAACAGTGTGCGTGTGAAGAGCGCGCGCTGCACGGACGCTACATATCAGAGAGAACTGGACCGGGACCAGGCAAGGCCACGAGACAACTGTAACAAGCAGAAAACAACAACGACAAGACTAGTTGTTGACCAAGCACTATGAGCAAGGTACACACACTGACAACTGGGTCGTTGGTGATAACGGCTGGTTTAGGGAGCTGCCCTACAGCTGAGTAAAGAAAGGCGTGTTGCACGAGGCAAACATAAACACGAATAATGTTCCACACGCTTCATCATATTACGATGACATCATCGTGAGTCGTGCTCTGATGACATCATCGATAGAGAAATGACATCGTGATCTGTGTGGCGTGCACAGGGCGCCGTGGTTATCATAGAGGACTATATGGTGCATGGGTGGGCACAAGCAGTAGTGCGTGCAGTATATAGAGTGATAGAGTGATGAACCAGTCAGCCTGGAGCAAGTTTTCAAGGACACCTGTATGGTGCCGACCAGGCCAATTTGGTAATCTGGGTTTTCGCCCACACTGGTACATGGCCCGATAGTCATGCTGGTACCGGTCGCGTACCAGAGGAATGTTTCAAACCGGAGAGATGCGCGTTACGCATCCATCAACGGTCTCCATTGCTGTCAGTAGTCCGGGGTGAGCTATGAGCGCAGCAGGCAGGCATTCAGCACAACGCGTCTACGCATCGCGCGTCTCGTTCTTGCCTTTCCGGCGACTTTTCTTGCTTCTCGCCTTGCCAGTAGCAGCATTGCTGTGTGCTGTCGTCGCCGCCGCCGGGGCTTTGCTGCTAGAGGAGGATGGCCGACTTGATGGTCCACTAGAGCCTGTACTACCACAACCGCCCAGGGCAGAGCCGGCAGGCGAACACGCTGGTGGCACGTCGAATTGGTCACCGGCCACGCCAGAAGCTGCAGCGGCAGCAGTACCTTGAGGTCTACTACTAGGTTTGGTGAGCACTTGCACCACACGTCCCCGTGGATTGGCAGCAGCCGCGGCAGCACCAGAGCTGTTACTCTCACTGCTGGTGGCCATGGGAGACTCGTTGCGGTGGTGCCTTCTCTTGACGGCCGCCTGCTTGTTGCTACGTGAACGTGTCGTAGCGGCAGCGCCGTCATTGCCATCGCAAGTATCAACACTAGCAGCAGCATGTGCGCCAACGTCCTGCTTGTTCTTGGCGGAGCGGCGGCCCGTTTGCTGTTGCTGCTGCTGTGGGTGTTGCTCTGCATGCCCTAGCTGTTGTTTCTTCCCATGTGCACGAGCATGATGAAGTTGCTGTTGCTGCTGCTGTCGCTGATATCCTCCATATCCACTGACTGCATACTGCTGCTGTTGGTGAGGTGCATGCTGCAACGGGAAATCACCGACAGGCGCAGAGTCAGCATGATGCAAGCCCAGTGTCGGCTGCTGCTGCTGCTGGTGCCGTTTGCCACCGGCTTGCAGTTCATGTGCATCGGCCAGAGACGGAAACAACGAGTCATAGCTGTCCTGCTGCTGCTGTTGCATAGCAGCCATGACGCCATCGCGCGCTGTTGCCGCTTCCTGGTACGGGTGGTAGCGGCGCGGTTGAGCTGACACGGCCGATCCAGCTGGATGGAACTGGCCAAGGTGACCGTTTGCCGCCGTGCCATCGCCCGCAAACGTCGTGTCCACCAGCTGGTCGTGTCTGCACTGTACTGGTGTGTTGGAGTAGGACCCTGGCACATGTACATTTCCCGCTACTGCTGGCTGTGGCAGCAGCGGTACATTGCCATGCTGGTTCACATGAACACCGGCCGGCAGTAGACGCTGAGCAATGTCGTCACTATCGCCATACGACTGGTTACTGCTGACATACTGCAGCCGCTGCTGAGACTCTCCACCATTGTCCTCCACACCCGGTGCCCAAACAGGATTAGGCATGTTGCTGAACGGCCCCAGCTCCTGTGCTCCCACCGCCGCTGCGATGGCTTGCTGTGGATGCAGTGGGCCCGCAGGTGCGTGCTCAGCCTGTCTGAGCGATGACGCTGTGGGCACGCTCTCGTCCGCTGCACGCCTCTGGTCGTAGTGCAGATGCTGCGAGCGCACGGAGTGATCGTACGGTGCAGGTAGTAGCCATTGTGGAGCGTGACTGACGGGAAACCTTGTCTGCTGCTGCTGCTGCAGTTGTGAGTAGTAGTGACCAGCGTGTGCAGGATGACCAGTCTGTGCTGCCTGCTGCTGCAGTGGCGGCTGATGGAGCAGAAAAGCTTCGAGCGGCGTCTCTCTGCCCTCCTCGTCGCGCACAATCTCGTGGTGGATGCTGGCGCACGCCATGCGCGCATTCCTGGCGGACTCGAACTGTATGCAGATGGTGCGCTGGCGCTTGTCCGTGACGTACTTGTGAATGTGGCCGTGTCGCTGGCAGAGCAGGCGTACGCTGCCCTCGTCCATCTACAGCACGCAACAGAACGGACACACATACGCAGACATTAGTACAAGCAACCACCAACACATACATACACACACATACACTGTAACACACAGATACACGTCAATTGTACTCTCCCAGACTAGGCACATACACCTCAGGAGTGACAACTTACAAGTAAAAAGACGCTAGATTACGCTAGATTTAGATATATACGATTTATACACTCATCCCCGAGTTATCCGGACACCAAATTCCGGGCACTTCGGTCTACCGGGCATCCTTTGGGCGAGTTTTGGCGAAATATGACTACCCTTTCGATGCATTTAGTGGAAAACGTGACAGTGCAGTGCCCGGTCCCGGACAAACGAGGTATGATTGATGGTACTGCACGCTCAGATATAGACAGTGGGGCAAGTATGCATGACTGTGCACACCCAATGGACCACTTGCCATTTGTACAGATCCACGAAATCCCGTAGACCCGGTAGGGTGTTGAATGTGTGCTATGCATGCGCATTTGACCAATTTTCGCGTCATAATTCAATGACCAACAATTGCTTATCCAGCATTTTCACTTTGGTTAGAACTAATGACTAGCTAGATCTTTGTCAGAAAAAGGTTTTCGTATGAAATGCCTTCAGGCCCCATTTCTTAGTGGAAATAGCAGAAAACACAATAGGGTCCTGCACATTCAACACCCTTCCGGGTCTACGGGATTCTACTAGATTTCGTGGATCTGTACAAATGGCAAGTGGTCCATTACAGACAATACGGGCTTCAGGCTCAGAAACTTGCAAAACGCTCAACCCAACGAGCAGTTGTCATATAGGAAATTACAGTTGCGCTCGGTGAAATCCGACCCAGAGTTCACATTCGGCGCCCTCAAGTTGCACACCCTTGACACCCTGGAAGTGGCAGGAATGCGGCTGGACATACACATGTACAAATACAATGATGTAATCAGAAGTACAGTATCAGAAGTGGTACAAGGTGCCAGTTTGGCATATTGGTCGGATTTCCCCGAGCGCAACTCTAGTACAGGTCAGTTATCCCATGCTCGCAAAACTTACGTCCGAGGGCACATTGCGTATGAGTAGCCACTGAGGAGACGCGTCGGCGGACTGTGCAGCCATCAGGTCGTCAGCTACCACATCTCCAGTGCCCGCACTGGCCATGGTGTGGCTGGGAGAGCGCGAGCTGACGAAGGTCTTTGCACTCGCGGACAGACGCGACAATCCGAGACTGGGCGAGGAGGATACGGCCATCGCCTCACCACCCGTCGTGGACCAGATCTGCTTCATGGACCGAGTCGTGTTGACATTGTCGCTCGCAGTGGCGGCAGCTGGAGGAGTCGCATCCACTGGTGCCGGTGCATGTAGAAGACCCGGCGAAGTCGATCTAGCAATGGCCGACTGCTCCACGGTGTCCACCTTCCAGATTGACTGACCGGACAAGTCCCACAGAGATGGAAACGCGCTGAACGTGTAGTCGTTGGCTTCGCGTAGCATGGCTCCTCTTTCCTTCGTTGAAGCTGCCTGTACCTGGGTATTGCCTTTCACCAGGGGCGGCGGCAGTGCAGAATCGGCTGACGGGCAGCGGGGCGGGAATCCGGGTGGAGGCCTCGACGAGGCGCGGACACCATCTCGCTCTCCAACGGTGCTATACTGATGCGACGGCGATGCACCTAAACCAGCGTTGTCGGAGGCGAGTGGCATAGTGCCAGCAGCAGCAGCCGTGGTGCTGGCTGCAGATGGCGGTGGCTGCTGTGGCGGAGAACTCACAAGAGACTCGACGAGGTGCAGGTCGTGCACGGTGTAATCGCGCGCAGAATCAAACGCACTTGTTGTTGATGACGATGATGACTCTCGAGTCGCTGCTACGGGTTTGTTCAACTCAGTCCAGGTAGAGCCAAAGGTCATCACCGGATTGGCGCCTGGAGCAGGAAGCACCACCGATGGCTGCGCTGCTACGTTCACACCAGGCTGGGCATGAACTGGACACTGTGAGTTAGATGGGGCTGGCCTCTCCTCATACACACCATCTACTATGGAGTGCAGCTGCTGCTGAGACCGTGCATCTCCAGAGGCGCTGTGCTCAAACTCACGGGCAACACACACCGCCCCGTCCGGACTGAGTCCAAGGAGGCGCGCAGTTGTCACCAGTTCAGCCTGCACATTGTCGACTTGAAGTTGGGCAGTGACTGCAGACCGCAGCATTTTCTGAAGAGTATCAGCCTTTGAAGGCAGATCATGGCTCGTTACGCTGGTATTGTTCGACGCGAAGCCATCAGTAGCAAGGCCTGCGATCGAAGAAGTAGCGTCAAGTCCATCGCGACACGTTAGTGTCTCTGCCACAGCTTCAGCACGAGATGTTTCATCGGACAGGCGCTGCGCCTGGCACATCAATGCTTCGTGACGCGAGCGGAGTTCTCGGACAACGTAGTCAAAGTGCAGGACGCGCACCAGATCGCGACGCTCAAACGATCTCGCCAACCTCTCGCAGTAGAACACGCCGGGCTGTAGGAGCGGGGAAGGACACCGGAGAGGAGCCTGTGATGTTGATGCTGCCGGTGCGTTGGGTATCGCATCGGGCATTCTGTCCAGCGTGGGCGTGATGTCGGTGGATGAGGAGGACGATGATATCGGCGCTGCTGCACTGCCGCAGTCCACACTGGCTTGCACAAACTGGCCAGACAATGGCCGTTGCAGAAGGCTACACGGCTGAAGCACTGCTGCGTCGACACCCACGGCGCTACAGCTGCTATTGGCAACGAACACAGCCGCAGTTGGCATGCCAATGCTTTTCACGGTGGACTGTTGACATGACGCCGTCGCCAGCACTGGCTGATCCCAGGGGATGAGAGTGTCAGCATACGGTCGCACTGCGCTGTAGGGTGTGCTGGAATGCGACGCAGCGGTTGACGTGGTGCCAGAAGCGGTTACTGACGATGCAGGCAGGCCACGCCAGCCTTCGCTTTGGAAGCCACTGTCGCCGGAGTGCAAGGCAAGGAGCTGTGACGAGGGCGTGCACGATGGCTGAGAGCTGCACGCAGACGACGAAGCGTCCGTATCGTCTCCGTCGACGTTGTCATTCTTCTCCGGCATCCCTACACCGCAGCCAGCAATGGCACCAGGCGCGGACACAGACTTGGTCTTGCGGGATTTCTTACGCTTGCGCTGCACCCGTGACGGTTTGCCACTGCTGTTGCTGCTGTGCATGTTGATGTCAATGGGATCGGAGGGTTTGCTCACGCGACCGCTTCCCAGGGGCAGTGCTGCGGAGCATGCGGCCGACAGCGTGCCAGCTCGTGTCGTTGCCGATGTTGAAGCACTGGCAGCGCTGCTACAGGTGCCATCGGAGGCCAGCTCGTTGCGACTGAGCGACTCCTCGCTGGAGTTATACGGCGATTGAGCGCGGCACGAAGACGACAGCAACAGGATGGATGCCACGGATGGAGAGGATGAGCGATCAAGTTGATCTGCGTCGTGCAATGACGCCGGCAGTCTAGATGGTAGTGACTGCTGCTGCGGGTGGGCGAGCTGCTGGAATCGAGGCGGTAAGTCGCTGCGGAACTGCTCTTGATTGCTGAGAACCTGCAATGGACCCACCAAGCATACACACACACACACACATAAGAATACTACATGTGCCTAGCATATTATGGAACGTATACATACAGGAAGACGGTGCTTCAGTGCAGAGGCATGGAAAGATTGCACATAACACACGTGTGAAGGTACAATTCAGACAGCATGAGGACAATGCCACTAAAAGTGTGTTGACCGAAATAAGGAATTTCTGGCTCCAGTTTCATTTCCGCTCGACGTCAGCGGCCAGAAAACAAAGATCACAGTACATTCATTCCAGATATTCCCACTGGCTTCGCTCGGTTTTTGCATACCCTAGTTCGGGACACAGCTATCAAGAATAATTGCTTGCGACTAGTGCACCCACTTACCGTATGCGCCTTGGTGCTGGAAGTACCTCGGCTGAACTGATAGTCCGGAGCGGAACGAACAACGGCGCTGGAACCGTTCTGGCGTGCAGTAGAAGCGGACACAGGTATTCCAGTCCCAACAGCGGACGGAGGGTGGCTGGAGCGAGGCTGTCTGAACAATGGATCCTGAGGCTGGTACTTGACATGGTGATGCGTGTCCGCGAACGACGAATGGCAGCTGTCCGAGGACGAGGACTCGTCGGTGAGGAATGGTTTGGCAACGCCATCAACGCGACACTTACGCGATGCCCTGTCATACGACAGGGCACCAGCGCCTGATGCCTGGCAGCCGGTGTCGCTCGACAAGACCTCATCATCACAATCGTCGTCTCCCTCGTCTTCGCCATCCTCCTCGATGGCACCTGCATCCACATCGTCGGTGCTGCCACACTGTGTGTTGATAGCATTGCCACCGCGGTGCAACGGTGCTTCGGGCAATGCAAACTGCACCGCCAGCTGCACCAAGCCGTCTCGTGCGTTGTTACCGTACGAACTACTATCGTTGTTCCCGACGAGACATGATTGGGGGGTGCCCGAAGCAGCGAAGACCACGGTACCACCATTTACAGATCCGGCCGTGTTCTCTACAGTGCTGCGAGCGTGCAAAGCCACAGCATCCGCATTGTCCAGCGGACTACCGCATCTATCATAAGATACAGCAGTGAGGGATGCTGAAGGTTCACGGCTACTGTGTACAGTGTCGGAGGTTTCCTGTAGCTCATAGCCAGCTTCCTCGACACAAGTCGAAGACGACAGGCAATCAGACAGGGCAGCATCACACGGGGACGGCTGCTCGTGCACTGCATTCACTATGCTTACGTCGCCATGCTCCACACTACGCTCACCATCATCAGCGCCATCGCACACGCTCGGCAAGTCCTTGGGCTGAGGTTGGCGCTTGCGCTGCTGCAGCTCCACGTTCTGATCGCGACGCTGCTCCTTCTTCAGCTGCCGCTTGGCCTTGCGAGACAACGGCTGCGGCGAAGCACTCGTGCCGTCTCCTTTGTGCTTTGCCTTGGTTTTCTGAGTTTCTGGAAGAGCTTCAGTTCGAACACTGCCACCGGCAGCCTTCACAGCAGAGGTAGCTAAAGTATTATGATCTGCAGGTTGCGAAGCTGCATCGAGGCTGTCTATGCTGGATTGGCCTCGATAGTCTTCCAGCTCCTGATTGGAGATGCTGGTGGACGGTGACAGGCATGGTTCATGGCGTGTGGACGCCCCATCCCCACAGACTCTGGTCGAGGTGTTAGTATCTGCTGTGGGTGACGCTGAGGTGCTATTGTTAACGTTACTGCTCAATGACGACTGTGGAACTGCCGCGGCATCATTAGTTTTCTGTTCCGACGCACCTTTAGGCAGGTCATCACTGGCGGTGACGGTGGTCTGTGCTAGTTGCTCTGCCTCTGCAGTGGAACGCCTGATCATACCAGCACAAGTGGAGAATAGTACGCACACCATGTAAACACACACAGACACACACAACAACAACAAAAAATACGATCAACGTAAGGCTCGGGACCCTGATCTCAAAACAACACAAAAAACATCATGCCAATAATTCCTTTTATCAACCCGTGTTGCTGGAGATAAACCCTAGAGAATATACGGTATTGCTGGGGAAGAAGAGAAGAAGAGAGATAGAGATAGATAGAGAGAGAGAGAGAGAAACTTCCTACAAAACAAGTCGAGTCGGCATCCAGTGGCCTTACCCATTTGATGTCAGCTCTGAGCAAGATGTTGTTTGGGCTGGAGAGACCTGTGCAATTACAAACACAAACACACACATTGTGAAAAAAACCATTACAATCAATAAAGGCTCCGAGTAGCGTAAACTGGCACCTCGAAACCATATGTTTATGCTGCAAAGTCTGAAAAATGGCTTTGATGCGAAAATTCTGAAAAATGAGCTCCTGTCAAAGGTCTTGTCGAGCAGAAGTCTTTAGCTCTCTTTTGGCTATGCTCACACTTGTTTTCGGCATGCGACACTCCACTTGTCACAGTGCTCATGTCGCAGTTTGTACCATGGAAAGGATCAGTGGCAATGGTCAAAGGAAAGGCAGACTCCGTCCCAGGTTTTCCTTTGAAATCTCTGGTACTTTACCGACTTGAAAATCAATATAGGACAAGTTCGACTAAACCTGCGCACAGCACTGTTTCGTCCTTTGCGGACTCATCAGCGCAGTACAGACAAAACGAGGCCGAACCTGACTGCAATGAAAATAAAATTCCAAAGCCAGATCTAAACCAGGCGGGAATGTAGGACAAGTAATAGTTAGTTTTATAATTAGCAGAATTAGGCACTCCAGGATGGAGGTCCATGGTAGTGAGTCTAGTGACACAATCATCATGTACATGTATTGTAGTACTGCTGCTGTCAACCAGCCCAGGCCACCTGTGGTGCGTGAAGTGGCTGAGGACCATCCCCTGTAAGTGGATCCACGTGTAGTGTTGTTTCTGTGGAGGTGCGAGGTGCGTGTGATTAGCTGTTGAGAGGACTGCTGAACAAGGGTAGTGGTAGAAACCGGGGAAAATTTCCCCAGCCTCCATAGTGCTGATGACAGGAAAGAGGGCCTGGTGGATAGTTTCAGTTCTGACAATGTGAAAACTTCTAAATTTAACCCAGGGAAATGAGAGAGAACCACCACGGATATGAAAAGGGTAAGTACCAGGGATGAAAACATGTCTTTGTCTGTATGTACCTGTGAAAGTGCATGTATATGCACAATGCTCTGGCAGGGTCTATCTACCTCATCGTCAGCAGTGTGCTTCATTGTCACTCTCCTCTGCTAGGCCCTCATGCCACCCTTGTAGGAATGTACAGGACAGGAGGCATGGGTTTGTTGGTGAAGGGAGTTCCCAAAATGGGAAATACCCTAGTTGACGGAGTAGAATGCACACCACCCCCTCTCACAAACGCGTGCAGAGAGAAAGATAGTTAGATAAGAGAAAGAGAGAGGATAAAACACACAGCGTGCTAGACCCGAAGATCAACGTACAAGTTTCTTGGCAGCAGCTAGCTCCTTGCTTTTCTCAATCTGCAATGCAACCTCCTGCAGTAGATAGATAAGCGTATACACAAAATATGCAAACCATTTTAAAACATATGAAAACATAGGCCAAAAATTGTTTAAGGGGGGGGGGGGGGGGGGAAGGAAAAGGCAACGAAGAAGAGCACGAGCTAAGTCCTTCTGCATTCTTCAATTCTTTGTTGCCGGGGGACTTAGCTCGTGCTCAAAAATCGTTCGATTGCATTTGTTCATTATAAGTGATCCCATGTACTCACACGTGCGGGCATGTGCCTCGGCGTTTCTGCTTGAAAGTATGGTAGGGAACAGACGGTTGTCTGCAATATGCCGACAAAGAGGCTTGTGATAATCCCATTGCGCAATGACATACATGTACTAGTAGTAGGTTGTGCCACCGACATCCTACAAGCCTTCATGGTCGTGTAGGGTGTTGAACAATACTCCTCATTCCTGCATGCATGCACAGAGATGCATGACCCATACAGTCCTAACGTGCCAATGCGATGCGGGCTAGTTGCATCATCAGTTTTACTGTTTCACGTGGAATGGTATCCCACGCACTGGTTGTCGGTCGATAAAAGAACAAGTCGGTATACAAGACATTCTAAAAGTAGGCCAGTCTGCTCCTCCTCAAGTTATGCATGATACTACAGCACTAAGCCAATCACATGGCATAGATGTCAAAAAGCAATCGTCTCATTAATCGGCTTGTTGGAAAGCTCACACACACACACACACACACACACACACACACACACACACACACACACAGGGACACTCCCCCACCGTTCACGTTGCAACTCACTCTTTCTCGCTTCCGCTGCTCTGCGACGAGCTGTTTCTTGCTCTTCTGCTTGGGCTGTACCGCCTTGGTCTTGTTCTTGGCGGACGGCTTCGGAGCACTGGAAGAGTAGGCCCGCTTGTTAGCCTCACGCTGCTGCGCAAGGCACTCCTGTAGCTTCTCCGGTGCCGCCGCTGCCTGCCTCTGCTCTTCCTCTTCTTCTTCCAGGGCTCTGCACAGAGTAGATAGGACGAGGTAAAGCCGAAACACATACACATATACAAAACAGCACGATGCCATCACCAGGGCTCTGTCGCAGATACCCGTCCACATTCAAACTATAACAACCACTGCGGTCTGACTGGGGACATTCTCAAAAGCAGAGAGCACAACTTAGTGATCTTGCAATGACGGAGAAACCTAGGATATACAAGACAACCGTGATGATTGTGAAGTCAATTCACACCAGCTGCAAGAGCGAAGAGAACTTACGCGCTGGCAAGAAGTTTTTCACTGGCTTTGAGAAATTGCGAGTAGTCTGTGGGGCCTGCAGGCACGAATGGTATCATGAAGACAGGGAGAGAGGGAGAGGGAGAGAGAGAGAGAGAGAGAGCACAATACAGTTCAAGAGTTGGACATTCTGGGTGGTAGTGTACGCCTGAAGATACAGTTACCCAGAAAACCCAACAGGGACAGTCCCACTGCTCTTTTCCAAAATTTAGCATTGCCATGACAAGTACAAGGTGAGTGGGCTAACAGTGGACAGCATCCCCAGTCAGGCCTGTCTCACTTGGACAAAGTAATCTGGAGAGTTCACAAGGGCAGCAACTGCACATTCCCAGTTTGGCCTGTTTCACTCTGACAACGCATAATCTGGAGTGCTCAGAAGTACAGCTGCGCTCAATGAAATCCAACCCAAAGTGCAAAACTGGCGGCCTGGATCCGTTCTGATTACATCACTGTACACGTGTACGTGTACGCCCAGCAGCATTCGTGCCACTGCTAGGGCGTCACGGGCCGTGCAAGGTGAGGGTGCTGGAAAATCAATTCAGGTCAGATTTCACACCGAGCACACAATCGTACATCATCTCTCTCTCACACACATACACACACACCCTCCCTGTCTCTGCACACTCTTACCAGGAGGCAGTGGAGTACGCATGGGAGCAACACTAGAGAGCGACGACATGCCGAACATGGCACTGGACGGGGTCTGAGCGGCAGCCAGGGGTGCCGGCACCCCTAGGAACTCGCCTGTACCATCCTCGTCCATCATGCTCTCCTCCAGCAGCTGTGCGATGTACTAAACAACAAAAGCAACAGCAACAAAAACAACCGCATCGTCAAAAACAGCAGCACAAAAGTCAAGAGAGCTTGCAAGATACGAACATGATTGTACTGGTTGTCACGTCCATTGGAGGTACTGTACAGTACAACATATTACAGTGTTACCAAGTGCCCTCTGCCCCCATGCGTACTGCCCAGTGCCATTTTGCAGAATTTTGCAGAGTTTTCCGTACTCGTTTTTCAGGTCAACATTTTGACTGATTTAGTGTAATTTGGAACAAAAAACGATACTGTACAACTTTTCAAGCTACAGAGTTCACTTGTGAAGCCTACGAATTCAGTACAATTTTCAACTTCACCAGGTCATAACTTTGGTCTACTTCGCTTGATTTTCACAATCTAGGGCTTGTTGGAAAGCTCTTGGCAGGAGCAACGCCAGGATGCCAAGCTCCATGATGAAGCCGTCACAAATCAGGCGCGATAACACAGCAAAGTCGTCTCCAAGGCTAATACGCAAGCAAATTCGTCCCAGCAAAAAGGGATTTCCCCCACAAATGGCGAAGAGATCGATCAAAAATTTGATTTTGCCGAGGTAACTTTTTAAGAATACCTGAATACGGCGCACGATATCTCTGGAATCCGACATCGTTACGCTTCAGCGATTGTTGCATTGGACAGCTTGGAGTTGTTGCTACCACGTAGACCCTTCGATTATTGAATTCGCGCAAGAAACGATGGAGTTACGAAGGTATTAGCAATCATTCATATACATGATCGTTTGCGGGATATTCGATTGAAATCCGTACTGCGGACAAAACTTCGTTTTTCCGTAAAAATACGGACAAATACGGGCGGTTGGCAACACTGATATTACTTTTGGTGTAACTTAAATTTCGGTAGAGAAACCAGGCACCTAAATTTAGATTACACTGGAGTATGCACTGTACATGTATGTGCAAGGAAAGCTGGTCGCCTATTTCCACATTACACCTGATACCTGGCAGGTCCCGAACACCGAAATTGTACTACGCCTAAAATTACATGCTACGCAGCACATCGTACTGAAGGTTCAACTGCCGAGGAACGTTCATCTGCCATTCACACCCGTTCACTCCACCTTGCTCTTTCAGGCTGAGGATCGCATATGGAGACAGCCTCACGTCTAGCAAAGCTATCAGGTCCACCATACAGGTTTAGGCCACAGATATGCATCTAAAGACCAGCTATCAGGCCCACCATACAGGTCCAGGCTACTGATATGCATCTAAAGACCACCCATTGGGCCACACTCCGCGTACAGGCATGCACAGTAGGAAGGACAGCCGGCGTCAACGAACCCTCCCAGGGCCACGCTCTATACATGTACAGCAACGAGAGCAAACGCACTAGTGGACGACATAGGCATGGCAGCAATTTGACACTACAGTGCGTTTCAAACATATAGACGAGTGATTTCACAAAACTGTTAGGCCAGCATCTATACCACATAAAGTCTGCGATCACTTCGTGGACAACAAATTTCGAAATTGGTCGTTTGTTATCTGATCGCTTAAAAATCTACGAGAGTAATCGGGGAAAGGATCCGAGCAGTACTCCGAAAAAAATTCCCAAGAAGCTCCAGCCAAATTTGAAATATTTCAAAAATACCATGCGTCTATATTTTTGAAATGGACTGTAGACGCAGCACCATCCGCGATAAGGGAGTCAAATTTCATCAGCACAGTTGCAGTAATGGGATCCAGAGGACCCCCGGCCTGTTCAGCCTATGTTACTGCATCATCATGCTGCACCAGTTTTAGGAGTCATGCTAACAAGTGTTGTACACAACCCTAAGCTTATTTACGTGTATGTTTTCAAAGAATTTCACAGGCTTCTACACGAGACAAACACGCGCACGTGCGTGTGTGTGCAGATATGATGTCTCGCACACTAGCACGGCATACGAACAGCCACACAGTACATCCCATGCACGGGCCCCACGTACGCGCACAAGTGTGGCTTATACACGAGACAGCCACATAGCACAGTCATGCTCCTTGGCTACAGACAGTGCAGCTGTGTTGCCACATTTTGACCTCGGCGCTGGTATTCAAGGGTGGCTCGATTGTCAGCTGATTGGTGAAATATTTCAAATACGACCCCTTCTACTCGATATTCGAGGTTGGACTTTGTACAACGTGTTACGATATACAGAACACCAGCACAAAGTCAGTCCGCAAGAAAAAGAAGAATAGGAAAAGTCCATAAAAGATATTCAGCAATAGAGACCGTGTGCAGATATATGTGGGGCAGAGAGGCACAGGCCGACGGCCTGCGCTAAACCAACGTTCAAGACCAACAGCCTGCCTCCGGATCTCACAAAACACTACTCCCAGAACCGCGCTTTGAATGCAGAAAAAAGTACACGACAGAGCCGAGGGAAACTCATAAGATTGAGAGGTGGCCGATAGCCGAAAAACGGCCACATCACAAGGGAAATGGACGAGTTAAAAAGCGAAAGTATAACCGCAAGTGCCAGCACACAGGCAATGTAGGCTACCAGTGAAATCACAGAGAAATACATGCCGAACACCACAACAGCGTAGCAGAGCAACCGCCTTGCAAGGCCACCCATGCGGATACAATACCCTTGCCGCGCCGACATTCCAGTTTTCATCCTAGTTTCTTCGCACATCACGCCTTTGTAGCCTATCCACACCAGCCAGTACTCCTCTTCACACTCCCAGTCAAGTTATTCACAGCAGATTTCAGGCTGAGGCACATAGAGAATGCCACCAATCCGTGCCAGCAGCAGACACTAAAACCGTGATTCTGGTCAACAGATTGCAGACTGGGACCTACTGGGCAGTGCACGTAAATATCCCAAGACTTCAGCCAGAAAGAGATTTGACACGGCACCTTGAAGGCACAACACTGGCAAAAGCTGACCCTGGATGTTTCCAGAGCATATGTGTCCTCTACAATGATGAGGTCCAATGGTAGATGGCTGAACCGCACAACAGGACCAAGACTCAGAGGAATACAACTGCTATACTATTATCTTGAAAAGTCAACAACAAACCAGCATCACAACTATGCAGCCTCTGTCAAGTTCCCAGAGCAAGCAAAATTTGAAACAGGCACTGGCCACTGTCTGTAAGACTGAAGGAATATTGAGAACTGCAGAGGCCATAGCCAACATCAAGGTCAAGGAGCAACACTCCAGACCATTATCCACCTAGATGAGCTTCCACACACACTCAGTAGGATGCCAATGAACAAGCAATACATCAGCACAGGCTAGAGCATTGCACCACACATGACATGAGTGACTACACAAGTGATTACTGTGTAGACACGTACAGTCAGTAGGGACCACTTGCCTCCTCTACACCACCAGGCACCACTCAATACAGCTCCACTACCAGGACTGCTACGACCATGACTGATAAGTACTACTGGCGTACTGGCCACACAAGAAACACTACAATTTGCACAAGTGATGCCAAGCAGTAGCATCCCGCACAGACTGACTGTGTTGTACTCAACTAACTGATAGCGATGAGTACATACATGTACTTGGCATTGTAGCCGGCATATCGCATGGGTCTGCATTGCCCAAGCTGTCGCTGAAAGGCACTCATGCATAACAAACTGAACAAGCCAACGTCAGAGAGTCACCTGATGTCAACAAAATCGATTCTCACAAAACGAAGGCACACATCTGCTGCACACGCGTCGCAGCATTCCCAGGAAGCCAGGGAACAAAGAAACAATACCCTGCCTAGGAGGAGGCATGACAGACACCGAACCTAGCACCACCATATTCAATAACAGTAATCGTCCCTTAGAATAAATTTCACATACAACTTCGCGTCATCGGTCAACAAAAGGTTAGATGAAACTCCTGCGAAACTGCAAAGCAGGGTGCAGTGTCAAAGCCTCTTCTGACAATACAGTCCACCAAAACATTTACAGAATGGACCACCACCATTAGTCCTACACTCGAGGACACAGCAGAGGGCCTCAACGGTCCTAAACTTCGAAAACAAGTACAACAAAAAGTGTACGATTTCGCGTTACAAGGGCTACGAAGTCGGCAAGACCAAGAGATGTTTTTGAATGTCTGATGTATCTTCAAGGCATTGCAACAAGCAACAATACAACACCGTCATTGTCCTAAACTGGACCTCTCATCTCACCTTCTCTGATGCGCTGGTTGTTTCCGTGTTCAAGCCAGACGCTGCAAAAGAAACCGAATAAAGGGGAAAACCAGGCGATCAAAACATAGGAAAGTGAATTCAAGTCAAACAACTGCAATTCAATGGCATCAGTATCTCACCTTGCAGCTGCACTTTGTGAGCTCTAAACTCATCTTGAATGACATGGCGGCGCTGTCGATCGCGAGTGCGAGGCGGCTGCAGGAAAACGCGACGGCAAACAAGACAACCAGGGGTTGAAGCAAGCAAATCAAACAGGATTCGGACAAAAGAGCGCACACACAAACAGCAATTGGGAGGACGAAATCTTACAGTACTAGGTATATCAGTTCCCCGGAGCACAGTACGAGGGGTCAAAGGCCCAGGAACAACTGTATGGTCGAGAAGACAGAACATTGAGAGATGCACAGAGACAGACGAGCTGCGTCAAAGCTGGCAAAACGCTCGAACACAACGGCGACTCCGTAAGTACATTGCCGTTCCGCCGATTTGACGGCCTCCATAAGCCTGGCGTAAGACTCAAGCGGGCCTTTCTCCTGCTGCGTGGAGGACATGTTTCCTTCTCCACTGTGGCATAAATGCCCGGCGACAAAGACAAGTTGGACGACGGTCCAACAGAAGGACAAGAATGAAAATACCTCCTTTCTGCTCAAATCTCCCGCATATTATCTACTCCATACAACTACAACTTACAAGTTCAGCTTGCTGGCGACGCACAGCAATGGAGGGCTTGGGGATCTTGGAACACACAACACAACGTCACAAGCTGCAAGGCTGGGCCATGCATGGGGGTCTGGCACACAAAATCATACATGCATGCACACAGAAAATCCCAATATCCGCGTCATAAAGGCATGTGAGATTGTGATGAATGAGTCATTGAAATGAAATGTATGCACTGAATGCACTGATTATGCCCCGGCCCAGAATTACTAGGGCGAAACCAAAGCCTGCAAAGGGTTTGAAATACTAAACCTTCTTCAAACCACAGCAAATCGTACGCAAGGGACGAAACAATTTTTTTGAAAAGTCCGCCGAACAGCCTGTGGCCCCAGTACAGTGTGGGAGATTGCTGTGCTCTTCGTCAAGCAAAATGTAAAGCCAAGTTTAGTAAAGGTAGAAAGGAAAATATCACCAGTGAGAAGAAGAAGGTACATGTAGTTGAATGAAGTCAAGGCGATTTCTGAAATCAGCTCTTTCTGTTGCAGTGTCGCACATGTACAATATCCTGAAGTAACTCCCAGCGAACAAATAGCGATGGAGAGATGGTAAATAACGCAGGAAAATCGCTCGCTAACAAACGAGACAATTGGTTTTCTTCTTCTACCAAGACCAAAAACCAAGACTGAGAAACGAGACTTGTAAGAAACTAAAATGAAGTCGAACCGTGCGAGGCTGGTTGGCGAACATGACCCTGGAGTGATGGCAGCCAGCGGATGATTGGAGCCTCAACAATGCCATCACGTCACGACACCTGACTGATGGCCAGGCGATCAAAAGAAGAATATTTGTGGAAACTGGACTGTAAGCGCTGGGCGTTTTAATTATCTACAAGAAGACATGAACCAAGCTCGAGCGTCTCATTAAACTCTAACATACTTCTACACGGAAACCCTGGTCGAAGGGTGTGCTGCGCTCGGCGAGGATGAGTAGCAATCGTGACGTGTGTGAACCACTGCCAGTCGCTCACGGCGACTTGGAGCTGGCCGTGCGCGGCTCCACCGAGCGTTTGTCGAGCGAGAGCTCGCGTTTTTCCCTACGGCACCTGCAAGCAACTCCACTCCACAGCATAGATTATCACCACCGTGTGGCTCGACCGCTTCGGGCCGATGCCAATGAGAAAGACGGCGTGAAGCCTGTCGTCCGACAGCCCAGTTCCCATCAGTCAGCAGCTGAGGTGCTTGACAGCATGGCGATCTACGATGATCCGTTGCCGGAACAGATCCTCCAGCACCAGCTGGATCAACTACTTTCGTTCTACGGCCAGGCACTGTCGGCAAACGGACACGCAAGCACACAACAGAGCAGAACCCACAGCGGTGACACTTCGGAAACGGCAATACTGGTGCAGACTATGCGTGGCAGTGCTGGAGTGGCAACCATACACCAGGGCAGAATACACGAGGACACCTCGGGAACGGCAATACCGGTGCAGACAACGCGCGGCAGCACCGGAGTGGCAACCGCGTCGCAGAGCAGAACCCGCAGGGACACTTCGGGAACGGCAATACCGGCACAGACAATGCGCGGCAGTGCTGGAGCGGGGCAACGAGCGCAAGAGTCGACTGCACGCACGGCAAACAGCAGTGCAGTGTCGTTTCACCCGCCGCGCACCTCGACAGCGCTCAGCCAGTACGATCTGGGCGTGATGCCAGCGCAGCCACCAGCACGTGTCAGAAGTGGTAAGGGCGAAATGTGGCAAGAGGAAAGACAAGAACTACAGCCGCAACAGCAACAGCAGCAGCAACATAGCCAGCTGAGGAGTACACGAAAACAGCGACAAGACGAAAGTGTGCACAGACACCACCGAACACATGCCACTGACCATGCACAAGCAGGCTTGATGTCATCACACAGACAGGGGTATTCCGCCAGGCCTCATGATATACACCATCGCAATCACACTGATGATGACATCATACAAAGAACCCATCACACTGCCAATGATGTCATCCAAAGAACCCATCCCACTGCTGATGACGTCATGCGGAGAACCAATCGCACTGGTGATGATGTCATGGGAAGAGACCTTCCCACTGGCGATGGTGTCATGCGACGATCCCGTCACAGGGACCATAACGCCATGCTGCAAAAACGTGTGGACAGACGACTATCAGCAACATCGTACGTCCTGCTTGTAAGTTTTCCAAGTGGACGAGCACATGTGGGTGCACGTTTGTGTGCGCGGAGGGGGGGGGGGGGGGGGGGGGGGAGAGAGAGAGAGAGATATGCGCGTGTGTGCACATGTGTTGAAGTTGAGGAACTTCAGAGCAAATTCATCTGTAAAAAAAGGACTGCTTGGATACATGCGTATGCTGGCAGAGGATGGTTATCCCCATCACACAAAATACAAAATGTCATAGTACAATCGATCTTGAGACGGCCAAGAATCTACCGTACAAATGAAAACTTACAGTTGATCCGGTAGCGGAATCGGACAATTTTCAATTGCTATTGGTCAGCTGGGGTCGAGGACCGCAGCCAGTGAGTGATTTACAGACCCAGCTTGCTTAGCTGAACCCAAGCATTGGCACGTATTGTGTCATCTGTAATAATCACACTGGAGATGAGAAAACACACAGATTTGTGATTTAGTGACAATCACAGCAACGGCTTCTTGAGATATGAGGCCGTTCGTGTCCAATGTGTTCTGCACGTGTGTAAGTAAAAGTTTGCGTGTCCATGTATGAGGAAGAGAGACTCAGAAAGAGAGAGAGAGAGAGAGAGAGAGAGAGAGAGAGAGAGAGAGAGAGAGAGAGGGAGGGAGGGAGGGAGGGAGGGAGGGAGGGAGGGAGGGAGAGAGAGAGAGAGAGAGAGAGAGAGAGAGAGAGAGAGAGAGAGAGAGAGAGAGAGAAGGCCTGTGGAGAATCCATAAATAGTAAATACGAATACATTTACAAAATACGAATACAAACCAGGTTGAATTTTGCACACTCTCTGCATCTGTTTCCAAAAAAACCCAGAGGTTTTACTGACCAAGTGATCACTTGACCAATCTGTACATATGCCTCTGTGTGTATATTTGTGAGTGTATGTGTGTGTGTGTGCGCACCTGTGTGTCTGTGTGCATGTGCGTCACTTCTCACCTGTCACCGTCACGCTGTTGTGTAATCTGTTTACAGCGCAAATGCTTCGTGGCCTGGCGCGCATACAGCCGAGTCACCAACAACGAACAGCGCCAGCAATCGGCCATGGATCTCAAGTACAGAAGGTAATTCCTTTTTACCACATGTTCTTGATTATTCCTCCTTCGCCGAAGATAAATTGATAGGTTAGAACACTTCGGGGGGGGGGGGGGGGGGGGGGTGCACAAACACACTCACAAACACTCACTCACATACACTCACACACACACACACACACACACACACACACACACACCGACTCACACACACACGCACACACACACACACACACACACACACACACACACACACACACACACACACTAGAAAATGACGTTTGTCTGAGATGTACACCCTCTGGAGCTGGGGTACTACCTTATTTAGGGTATGATGCAACTCGCCATATTGTGATCATATGCACGTGCCGGAATTTCATTCCCAAATCAGTTGAAATCACACTACCCACCGATATCTCCCGACCTTATTCTTTTTGATAACACTACCAGCCTTCTACAACCCGAGTTCACTATCTTTGGAACATACAGTGCTGTTCAATGAAATCTAATCGAGCGAGTGAATGCCACACCGGTCGCTGTGCGGGCCTAAGACCTGCGAGCACTGGCATGCGAACTGGCGCATGGCGCACACTTGATTCGCACGATCGGATTTCATCGAGCAGCCCTGTAGTCTGTACTTGTGCATGGCTATCACACGGAGTTCTATTACACTTCGTAGATACCGTACAACAAGTTATTTTCGGTGTAACTTTATAATTTCGGTGATTTCGGTAGACAAAACAGGCACCTACATTTAAGTTGCACCTATTATATTATTAAAAAGGCACTAGCGTATGCACTGTGTACATGTATGTGCAGGGAACGCTGGTCACCTAATTCTACATTACACCTGAAACCTGGCAGGTCCCCGGCACCGAAATTTCAATGCACCGAAATTACGTGTTTTGCAGTAGTACATGCATGGCTGGAGATACAGGTTAGGTACATTGGGAAGGTGCAGCTAGCCTACATGCTTGCCCTGTTTTCATTCAAGGTATGGTACTGAAGATGGCATTGTGGCCGGTGCACTATTTCGCCAGCTGCAAAACACTTACCTGCACTTTGTGGGGTAAATACAGGTTATTTTCGTCTTTTCATATTTCCTTTCCACATTTCTTAGGAATTGAGTTATTTGGAAAGGTTTTCAATCGGTGGCTACCCAAATATCTATGCTTCATGAACATGCTGCAGCACAACTACTGCACGTGGCAAGTGACAACACACCTGCAACACAGATCTGCACGTGGAGACTATGAAAATCCTTCCAGCACTTACCTTCTGTATTGTTATTCTTATAAATATTTACTACTGTGCCAAATACATACTATCAGTAGCTCCTGTCGCCATCCGTCGGTAGCACGACACCTGAATGTCCTGCCACTTGACTCCATTTTCGACACGAAAGGAAAACTCCGATTGCCACACATCATCCAGTCCATTATCTCAAACACGTTTGGCCAGGATGATTACGAAGTTAGTTGTGAAGAAGCTAAGAATCTCCCGGCACTGCGTACAGGCGATACAGTGAGCTACCCTGCCGACTTGGCAAGTACACGTGTTGTTTCTCTGCTCTCACACTCGTAGGCAGACACTCGAGTAATAAACAACAAATGAATGGAAGAGAACTGTCTGCCTAGCTTGCGCAACCCAACCACTTCCTCACCCAATTATTTGTACAATGCAAGAATGGTGCAATCGCTTCGAGCTTTTGGAGTGTGTGCCAAGCCCCCTTGGCTCCACGCACGTGTACCTCACTCAGCCTTTTGAAAATCAGACGTCAACATTTTGTCTTGTGCTGGAGTTTCGTCTTTTAGCTTGACGAGTCGCTCATTTGTCCTGGCAGTTCTGCACGATCGAGCCGCAGCGAATCTCGCTTTGGGAGGGATTTCTCCTTTCCATAACTGTTCAAGAGATCTAATAATTATTTATGGTGCCAAATGCGACAGCGCCATGCGCCATGTGGTCATCGCCTTTTGACTTCTTTGTGCGAATCAGCGACACGGCAACGCGACAGCTCAACCACGTTCCAGATTGTCTTTCTCAAGAAGACGTTCTTGTCCTTCGATCTCCAGGTAGTTCTGTGCTCATCTTCGGCCTCACAACGTGTAGAATTTCCTTTACCATTGCGCGACGGGTTGATTACTCGAGTCTGTTCTCCATTTGTCGTCGGTGACTCGAGAAATCCGAAGAATTTGTTGGTGCATGCCCACACTGCGTTGCTGGTGCCAGCGTGCTAAACTATTTTTACTCACCAGCTCCAGAGTAGCAAGTCAAGGACCAGCTGAACTGACATGAGGAGCTTCAACGGCCCGTCGTATTTACTTCAGCTTCCTTGTGCATGCATGCGTGTCGTCAGTCGATGATTTGCTTGACATGACTACTTGACTGTTCGACGTTCTCGAACCAAACAACGACGGGAAAATCCCCTGTACTTACCCAACCACTCAGCGTACATGTTTGTACACGACATGAACAGAAACTTACTTTTTTGTTACAGTGTACTTTCACATCGTGATGACTCATAATGAAACATGTGTTTCGTGTTGCACTGAACCGATTCCCCCCATGTCCAATTGGAGATGACTTGCTGGGTAGATTGTGTTTCCCTTTTTTTAATACTTTGCGTTGCATGCGGTCACTATTCCCTACTGCCAGTGGCTGGCAATGCGCCAGTGTCGACATTGGCCATACTTCCATTCAGTCTAGGTTGGGGCATGCGGGCAGAAAACCGAGGCTGGCGATGGACAAATGAGTCACATGATGTACACGACGCCCAAGGAATTTGAATTCGGAATGAAAATCCCCCATCCATGGCTTTGTCATCAAAGTAAACTCGGCAGCTCCCATAGCCATCCCAAACCGTGAATACCGTAAAACTGGCCCCACAGAATAACGCGGACAAAATCCTAAAATTATGCGCATAATTATGCGGGCGAAAACAGGCCATTATGCGGCAAATATGCGGTATTATGCACGAGTTCTCTGTCATTTGTACAACTTGAGCACGCAGTTTCATGCAAGTATTATATACAACTGTATCGTACAAACTCATGCACCGGTACGACTTTGTAGTACATTTTCAACATCATGTACTATTTTCTTGTACATTCCCATGAATAACGCGGGTTTTATGCAAAATCTCTCGAAAACGCGGCGCGGATGAAAGTCAATACTCCGGAAAATTGCTCGTCTGCGTAATCGCGGCATCCTGTGGCCTGTGGGGACAGGTAAGCGTTCGTAAATAAGTACCCGCCCGAAATAAATACCCCCTTCACTTCTTTTGACTCTGTCTGTTGAAGTCAAGTCAAAAGCCCAATAAACATACAGCCCGAACTAAGCACCGGTACGGTGCGCACAGGCAGCACATAGCATGTACATCTGCAAGAAAATGACTTCTCCACTACACACAGTTTAGGACAGTTAGTTTGTGCCCTAAGGTAAGTACGGGTGTGGCCACAAAATTCGAAAGTAAATACGTATGTTATTTAGGCGAGACCAAAATAAAATCGAGATTCCCGGGCAGGACCCATGTGAAATTGGTGCGGGCGGGCGAATTTTATTTTTTTATTTTTTTTCCCATGTACAGGTATGTACATGACTTTATGTATGCATGCCATGTTGAACTTTTTTTACAGCATTTTCCGGTAATTTTTATTCATTTTTTTCAGACAACAGGTACGCGGTTTACCCGTTCTATTTTTCTGTATTTCGGCCAACGATGGCCCTGATCTGCTGTCTGGACATCAGGGAGTCGTGCAAGCTCGGGTTTGTATGACTCCACGTCACAGATCTACTCACACGATCAGTACTGTACATGTATGAACTGTTCAAAAAAAAAAAAAAAGTTGGCTTTGGCTCGATTTTGGTGCGGGAGGGCCCGGGAATCTCTATTTTTTTTTGGTCTCGCCTTACGGACTTTTACGGTAATTAAATTATCGCATTATTCAAGTGTCCAGTCGGCGGAATAGCGCGAGCTCCGGTGTGGGGAGCAAACCCTTTCTTTCAAATTTATTACTCACTGCAAGAAGCGAGTGATCCTTTACTGGGTCCAAACCTCTCACAGCATGCGCCACTCTCCGGCCAACCTCGTTCCACACACTTTTTTTAAAATTGTATTCTGTACTTAGGTGCTGCTGTAGTTTTGGAGTGGTACTACATCACATACATAGTGCTAATCGCACGTTGTTTTTCTTTTCGGTTACATAGTTTCCTTTCTGGGCCTTTACATTTGTATTGCATTTTCTTCGATTGTGTTTCTTTCGCCCGGAAAAGAGGCTATAACAAAAAAATTATTGTTTAAAAAAAAAACTTCCTCGGCAGCACGTCTCTGAGCTGTAGTCACTATCATGACTGGAATCTACCACACTGTAGCGAGTTTCGATCGGATACAGATCCCACTCACTAAACTCTATAGGTGCACGCATGGACTGGTACTGAATGGCTAGACGTGCGAACGAGCACTCCTTTATACCGGGAACGACTGCGATGAAAGGAGCGCCGCTGACTGATTGCGCAGTTTGAGGTGACGTACATGGTGCCCTATCCTCTTGACTATCAAGTCTTTCAAGTGCGCCCGATTAAAAGTTAAAACAGCAGCCGGGAGTTGAAGGAAGCCTGAGGAGATAAAACAGTAGAGAGAAAATGCAGATGACTTGCAATGGCTGCAACACTACCAGGTGGACATCCAGCGCCAATGCAGGAGCCCAAGTGAATGCGCCGTGGGCATCTTAGGCTTTCTTATTGCACTATGTGTGGCAATGCAGATTATCGTATCACGTGTTGCATGGCAATGATTTCCCCCGAACCTTGGTGTGTGTGCGCATGTGTGCGTGTGTGTTTGTGCGCGTGTGTGTGTGTGTGTGTGTGTGTGTGTGTGTGTGTGTGTGTGTGCGCGCGTGTGCGTGTGTGTGCGCGTGTGTGTGTGTGTGCACGCGGGTGCACGTGCGTGTTCACTCTGCAGAGCGGTGGGTTTCCGAGATGCCACTGTCCTGCAGCGATGCTTTTCCGGCTGGCGCTGGCTGGTGGTGCTGTCTCACCGCCGCGCTGAGGAATTCCATCGCCGTTGCCTGCTGAGACGGAGCATGGACGCGCTTGCGTGGCATGTTTGCAGGGCGAGACTGCGCACGAGCACTGCGGACATGTTCAGGAAGAACACACTGCAGAGGACAGCCCTGCAAAAAGTAAGGGAGAGTTCACAACTGTGACCATATCATATGCCTGTAGGGTACAGATTTCACACCAAGGTTCAACTGAAAGGTTCAAAGGTTCAACTCGAGTGACAGGAAATCGCCCAAACAGGCTGCAAGTTGTACCCTGCATGCACGGTGACCAGGTGACTGGTGTACGCAGGAGCACGTGACCTCTTATTCAACCATGTTCGATTGAGAATAAGGGCCGAACGCTGCATCGCATCCTTCTCGGACCAAAACCAGTCGACTCAGCGTCCAAAAGACTACAACATATGGGCCAATCGTGGTCACCCGTGCTTTTATAAGAACGAAATGGCGCTTTTAGTGACATTTTGCATACAAATCCCCATCTAGTAGGCCGAAGACGTCCAATTTCGGTGGAAATGGCGAGTTCGATTGGGAATAAAGGAGGAAGAGAGCGTCTCAGCTTCCTCGGACCAAGACCATTCAACTCAGCACCCCGAAGACTACAACTGGTGAACATTTGATTTTAGGGAAGGGGGGGGGGGGGGGGACTAGGCACCAGGCGTGAACTGATGGCGATGGTGGTGGTGAGAAGGAGATCTCTGTGCTAGAACATTGCAGCCTAGAGAGCGTGTGTGGGCAGGCATGTATTTACCGCCATATTGCCAGGTGTGTCTTTACCGTGACTATATTAATCAACGATATACTTCCTCTGTAATGAACAGCATCATTGTGTCCCGTTTCTCCCGTATTCTGTCATACTACAGTGGCGCACAGCTGCCAGGTTATCTCAGCGCCGCCGCCTCTCCGACTCATTCGAGCAGTGGCGGATGCTGGCCTCCCTAAAGAAGCGGTAATGTTTGCACTCCACGGTGTCCAGAGTACATAACCCCCAATAGTGTGCAACTCCAGCTATGGGGTCTGCGGCAGAACTTCACATCACGTGACGAACTTGTACACATTATCTGCATCCTGTGCACGATAGCAAGAGTCCACAATCCCCCAGAGTGCGCTACTTCACTGATCAGATCTGGGACGGCGAAATCCGTGTTGCACGTCATAGTATCACATCATGAGTAGGGGAAGCGTGGACCGTGGTGCACTACGTCGATGGAATGACCCAACAAATGACGTACATCACGGATTACGCCGTCCCACAACCTCATCCCAGTTGGGCACTCTGGGGGGGGGGGGGGTAATAAGGATTCTTGATGATAGATGCAGGGTTGTGCGTGGTAGTACGCAACCCTGCTTTGGGTTCAACTCTCTTGTGGTCGCTTTGCACTGTTTGCCAGCGTAACCTATTGAACCATTTCACGTGATGTGAAGTTCTGTCGTCACAGCACTGGATAGAGGTTGTGCAGATAGTAGCACATTCTTGGGGGTTTTGGTACTAATGATGGTATTGTTGCACAGCACCATGCATGCACAGCACAGCTCATCATTTGTATGTATCGTAGCAGGTCTACCTTTAAACAATTCTTTGAGACTTGCACGAGTTCATGACGATACAGGGAGGGTCAAGAACCGCCTTTCGTCTTCCGTGGGGCGCCACCACCCCATGATCAGGCGATACTGTGGCAATGCGCCCAGTGAGAAGGCAGGTATTGCCTATGCCGAACAGTATGGTGAAGTAAAATATAGCTGAACGACAACAACTGCCTAGAACGTTCCAAGTTTGAAGGCTGTTGAAGTGCGCACCCAAGACATGCTAGAGCTGATAGCCAGTTAGTTGTAGAACGTCAGTATTGTCGGTCAGTTTTGTGCAATGTTATCGCATGAGCTGACTGTCAAGTAACTGGTGGTGTTAATGGACATTATAGCGCAACTGGTAGTTCCTTGGTCCTTTTCTTTACTATAAACAACTACCTTGACTAGGTTTTGGGCTCATTACTGAAGATGCCTGTTTGAGAGCAGGATATTTTCTGACTTGTGCTGTGCAGCGAGAAGCTGCTGTCATGGCAACTGAGGCGCCATCTTCTGGAGCACTCCTGGTCGCTGTGGCAATGCCAAGCGCTCCAGCCAGAGAGAAGCAAGGTGGCGCTGGAGTTTCGCAGGTAAATCTGATACTTTCACACTGTTTTGTTGTCTACTGTTTAGGATGGTGGTGTTGCGAAACGTCACGTAACAGCAATGCTTCGTGAAGAAGCTGGTAGGGCAGTGACAGCAAGAGAACCACCCGCCTGCGCCCGACCTTGAGTGCATATGTGTTGTGTGTTTGTGTTTGAGTCTGTTCGTATGTCTATCTGTCTGTCTGTCTGTCTGTTTGTCTTTTTCTGTTTGCCTGTCTGTGGGTTTGTGAGTCTGTCTGTCTGTCTGTCTGTTTGTCTATATACGTATGTATATCTGTCTGTCTGTTTGTCTATACAGTCGTGTATGTATGTCTGTCTGTCTGTGTGTATCTGTCTGTCTGTGCACAAATGTGCATCTGTGGGCATGTGTGCATATGTGTGAGTGTGTGTACGAGTCGTATGTATGTGTGTGTGTGTGTGTGTGTGTGTGTGTGTGTGTGTGTGTGCGTGTAAGTGTGCGTGCGTGTTGCGCAGGACAAGCCTGCTGAGATCGTCATGGTCACACTGGCGTCGACGACAGCGACGTGAGTGTCAGTGTCGTCTCCTAGGCTACCAAGCACAGTAAGTCTACAGTTTCCTTGGAGACAAGAACGCAAGAACGCTGAGGGCGTTCGATTACGCCCCCAAATCGATTCATGAATCGTTTCGCGCTATTCACATCACCCCATGTGAATAGGGTGAATGGATTCCGAATCGATTCCAGCGCTCATAATATGAAATCGAACGGCGAGATTCCATTCATGAATCGATTCAAGTGCGTAATCGAATGCAGCCAACGAGAAGAAGGATACACTTCAGGCTCTTGAACGATAAGGCTTGAAAGTATACCAGTAAAACTTTCATGATGTTGTTAAAGAGAGACTGAAACTATTTTGCAGGATAACGTGCTCTTTGAGATATCTGTTGTGTGGGCCGTTTGAATGCTGGTCACAGAGATGAATTTGGCAATCTTCTAAAACAAAAAAATCCTCGGTGATATTTCTGTATTGGCTGCAGGTTGTACTATGAGAAGACTCTGATGTACAAGACGTACCAGTGCTGGTCATACCACTATCACCAGCACAACCTTGCTATGGATGCTAGGCGGTAAGCAGAGCTGTCACTCTGTCAATCCTCCTCCCTGCACCAGTTGTATGTCATCACAAAGCTAGAGGAGCGAGGAACTGCAGTGAAAATGCATTATCAACATGGGAAACAAAAGAAAAGAAAATGGATATTGGCGTATGCAAAAATGATTTTCACTTGCCGAGGGCTCATCAGAAAAGTTCCTCTGGGCGCAGAGTGAGATCTGTCTGGAGTCTGGCTCAGTGCTATGCTAGCTGACTACCGTCAGAGCCATGCTAAACTCAATCGTGATTGCATTGACCTTCTATATACTAGGATGTAGAGTTCTTCCTCGATTAAAGGGGCACTCCGGGAATATTTTCGGTGGTGTGTCCTCTTCATGGGGGGCCTTATATGGCCCCCAAGGAATGGGGAATCGCGAAAACTAGACCCAAAAAGTCGATATATGAAGCCAGGGAGGGCCAAGTTTGTCTCCTCTTTTGATGGTTTTGATGACGTCACGTGTGATTAGTATTCAAATATTCTCCATTTGAAGATCTTAGTTTTTTGAATTTTCTGGTGATGAAGAACGATGTTTGGTCAACATTCCCAAGCTTCACAACTGCAACCATACTCTAAGGAACCTGAAGGACCTCCTGAGGTGCCCCTGGTAGAAGCGCAGCCTGATGAGGGCCAGGAAATTGGAGCGGACGACTTCACTGGTCGACAAGGAAATAACGATTGGTGTTCCTGCCAGAAATGTGGGGTGATGCAGAGGGCAGTCGATTACCTTCGCTGTCGAGAGAGCGCTGCAGCTGTTAGCATTGACAGCCCTTTGACATGCGTTACACATCACCCCGACTTCGCGTCAGCTTGCCTAAACAAAACTGTTCTGACCATATGCCGGGATCCTCGTACTCGGACCAGTGAAGTCGTCCGCTCCAATCTCCTGGCCCTCATCAGGCTGCGCTTCTACTAGGGGCACCTCCGAGGGTCCTTCAGGTTCCTTAGAGTAGGTCCGCAGTTGTGAAGCTTGGGAATGTCGACCAAACATCGTTCTTCATCACCAGAAAATTCAAAAAACTAAGATCTTCAAATGGAGAGAACTTGAATACTAATCACACGTGACGTCATCAAAACCATCAAAAGAGGAGACAAACTTGGCCCTCCCTGGCTTCATATATCGACTTTTTGGGTCTAGTTTTCGCGATTCCCCATTCCTTGGGGGCCATATAAGGCCCCCCATGAAGAGAACACACCACCGAAAATATTCCCGGAGTGCCCCTTTAACTGATTATCAATGGGTAGAATGTATGTTCGATGCAATCTTCATTCACAATGATGAGCAATGTCTTAGCTGGAGGAAGTATTTCTGTTCTACGGATTCTCTGGTCTTCATTTGGCTGTGTAATATGTCCCGGAGGTTATGGTCATTGCAGCTGTTTTCCCAATTTGTCTTCAGGAAATCCCTTCTGTCCAAGGTGTTCATCCGGTGGTGGCAGTGGGCATGTTTGGCTAGGTATGGTATCTGATGTTGTGTGTTCCTTCTTCATGTGTCCATCCATCCATCCATGCCTCCATCCATCCATACATCCATCCATCTATCCACCCATCTATCCACCCATCCATCCATCCTCTGGTCGGTCGAGTTGCTCCCTGTACATCAGCACATTGTCCCTACATCCCCTGTGTCTTTTTTGTGTTTGTCTCCACATGTCTATTGGTACGGCTGTGTTCCCAGCAAAAAAATCCACCCGGCCATGCATCCATCCAACCATCCATCCATCGAGGCCCCAAGTATGGGGGGGGGGGGGCACTTTTATCAGGTGAAATACTATGTTCTATGTGGTCGCTGCAGGCGTGCTGATGAGGAGCGACAACGCAAGTCACAAGAATTCCACCAGCACCAGCTTATCTCGTCCACGTTTCTCAGGTACTCATCGGGAACTTGTTATAGCTATTCAATTTCATTGCTGTTTGAGACACACACACCACCACCACACTGTCCAGGCGAGTGTTTCTTGTTGTTTCCTGGCTGCTGGGAAGCTTCCTTGGTGTTAAAGGGGAAGTTAAGGCAAAAATTAAAATTTCACCAGTTGTAGTCTTCGGGGTGCTGAGTCGAATGGTCGTGGTCCGAGGAAGCTGAGACGCTCCCTTCCTACTTGAATCCCAATCGAACTCGCGCACTTCCACCGAAACTGGGTGACTGCGCCCTACTAGATGGGGATTTGTATGCAAAATGTCACTAAAAGCGCCATTTCGTTCTTATAAAAGCACGGATGACCGCGATTGGCCCATATGTTGTAGTCTTTTGGACGCTGAGTCGACTGGTTTTGGTCCGAAAAGGCTGCGATGCGGCGTTCCTCCTTTATTCCCAATCGAACATGGTTGAAGAAGCGGTCACGTGCTCCTGCGTACACCAGTCACCTGGTCACCGTGCCTGCAGGGTACAACTTACTAGCCTGTTTGACCTTTTTTGGGTGCAGTCCTGTCACTCGAGTTGAACTCGAGTTGAACCTTGGTGTGAAAGTTGTCACCTGCTGGCGTGGTGACCAGGTGATTTGGGCACCCAGGACCACGTGACCGCTTCTTCAACCATGTTCGATTGGGAATAAAGGAGGAACGCTGCATCGCAGCCTTTTCGGACCAAAACCAGTCGACTCAGCGTCCAAAAGACTACAACATATGGGCCAATCGCGGTCATCCGTGCTTTTATAAGAACGAAATGGCGCTTTTAGTGACATTTTGCATACAAATCCCCATCTAGTAGGGCGCAGTCACCCAGTTTCGGTGGAAGTGCGCAAGTTCGATTGGGATTCAAGTAGGAAGGGAGCGTCTCAGCTTCCTCGGACCAAGACCATTCGACTCAGCACCCCGAAGACTACAACTGGTGAAATTTTAATTTTTGCCTTAACTTCCCCTTTAAGCCTACATGTAGATGCCGTCCAAGTCCTTGAATACACACCAGCAGACAAGAGGACAAGGCTTCCTGATGGGTTGGCATCGACTTGCATGTGTACAACCAGGTTACATGCAGGAGCGTCGGACACGATACGGTCACTACGGTATTGACCGTACCACTTTTTGCCCCAGCTACCCCGTGCATCAATAAAATGCACTGGTCTGGGCTCTAACCTTCCAAATATGTCAGCTCAGCAACAACTCCCCACGAGTAACTTGTACTTCAAATGGCTAACCGTCCCACACTAAAATACCTGCCGACGCCCCTGTCATGTGTATGGATGTGGGTTCTGAAATCCCTCCATATCACACCCAGTAATTCGCCTGTCATCATCTCCTGGCAGCACTTCTTTGCCCGAAGCCTCCCAGCAACACCGTTGCTACTAAAGCATGCTGGCAAACAGGCTTCGACGGAATGCTCTACCTTTTTTTCTCTCTCACTTCTGTTGTGATGACCCGGAGTTATTTTGTTTCCTGTTCGACCGTCTGAAGTAACTGTTGTACATTGTACTGTTGAGGCAACGAAATAAAAATATATCAAAAACGAACAAACAATAATCCCACCCCCACAGCCTATGAGGTGTCTGTTAGACTATTCAGCTGTTGGCTTGCCTGTGAACACACGCATCTCATGAACACGTCCGACGGCAATCCGGTCCAATAGACGCGTCATCGGTTGGGAATATAGGATTGTTATCCACCATGGTTTGCCAACAATGGTGTTCCTGGGAGGCTGCAAGGGATTACTATTGCCTGTCAATTTTGTATTGTGTTTGTGTCTGTGTCTATAGTTGGCGTCAAGCTCGTTTTGAAAGAACAGCTACGAAGCACAACAGTCACACCGTGATCAGGTAAGGCATGAATGATGTACTGTGCACACACTCTTGGTCAATACACACCAGAGGTAGATTATCTTCTGTGGTACTGTTATCAAACAAGTACAATCCTATATGCGAAGACTCCACTGTAGCCATCCACTATATCCATACATCTTCACAACACTCTCCAAACGGTCTCTGGCCTACACCAATCACTAAAAGAAAAATCTTCCGAATTTTCAGGCAAACACCATCTTCAGGAGAATTACTGCGCAATGAAGTGCGATCAAGCAAGTCTATGCCACGCCAGGCGCTGTGCAGCCCTAGACCTGCGAACACTGCCAGGGAATGTGAACTGACACAAGGCGCAAACTTAACTCGCTCAATTAGGTTTCATTGAGCAACACTGCACATCATACCTTCCCCACCTTTTCCACTCTGTGGCTTCAACTCATGTTTCTATGCCATGAGCAACACTGCACATCATACCTTCCCCACCTTTTCCACTCTGTGGCTTCAACTCATGTTTCTATGCCATGAGCAACACTGCACATCATACCTTCCCCACCTTTTCCACTCTGTGGCTTCAACTCATGTTTCTATGCCATGAGCAACACTGCACATCATACCTTCCCCACCTTTTCCACTCTGTGGCTTCAACTCATGTTTCTATGCCATGAGCAACACTGCACATCACACCTTCCCCACCTTTTCCACTCTGTGGCTTCAACTCATGTTTCTATGCCATGAGCAACACTGCACATCATACCTTCCCCACCTTTTCCACTCTGTGGCTTCAACTCATGTTTCTATGCCATGAGCAACACTGCACATCATACCTTCCCCACCTATTCCACTCTGTGGCTTCAACTCATGTTTCTATGCCATGAGCAACACTGCACATCATACCTTCCCCACCTATTCCACTCTGTGGCTTCAACTCATGTTTCTATGCCATGAGCAACACTGCACATCATACCTTCTCCACCTATTCCACTCTGTGGCTTCAACTCATGTTTCTATGCCATGAGCAACACTGCACATCATACCTTCTCCACCTTTTCCACTCTGTGGCTTCAACTCGTGTTTCTATGCCATGCGTCACCACTATCCTTCCTCTTCTGCATCAATGGATGGTCGTTCTCTCACTTATTTGGAATGTTCTCTCTCTCCCATATCGTCTGTGTGTGTGTATGTATGCGCTACTCAGAAATACCTTCTCTGTTTGGCACAAGGCAGCGGGCCTATCGCAAGCGTTGCGACGGAAAGCCGAAGAACAGCACGCCACAGTACGTAACACTTGCTGCTGTTGTCTGCAATGCTCTGGGGGCAATTACACGAGAGTATGTATCGCTGAGCTATGGAATGGTTCTATGTTAGTAACATGATGAGACATTGTTCATGCCAGGTTTAGGCCATGGTAAAAAATAAAGTTGATTCTCAGGTCATGAGCCTGTGAAAATCGGTGCGAGCGAGCGATTTTTTATTTTATTTCCCACAATTTTTTTTATTTCCAAAGATAGGGTCACACATAATATTATGTACGTCACAGGTTCATATAATAAAAATTTTATTGTTCAGGCCAGGGAGTATATTTTTTTTTCGCTATGCTCGTTTCATGAAATAGCGAATGTTTATATTACACTAGCACTGGGGAGTTGGACACCGTATTCATATCGCACCTCAACACAATGTTCTTCCGCGCTCCATTCTTTCCTTCTTTCAGCACCTTGTCAGTTCGTTCTTCCGTGTATGGTTGACCCGGTGGCACGCCAGCAATAAGGAATACCTTATGGCAGTCGAGCACTCGGACCGGAGAGTTCGAGTTAGTGTCCTGTCGGCATGGCGACGGATGTGGCTGAGCCGGCGTGATGCAAGGTACTAGTATGCGTGTTTGACAGTGTAACACGTATTTATTGTTATGACTCGCTATGATACAGTGTCCATGGGTTTGCCTGGGCCGTAGGATTCGTAACAGATCTGTGTGGGAAGTTTGTGTTGTTGTTGTTGTTGTTGTTTCTTTATTTTACTTTACCATATGAACAGGCAAGACTGCCTTCTCACCGGGGCTATTGGCCCAAGGCTCTCACAATATGATGAAAATGTTTAAAATGTGTATGAAGAAGAAAGGAACGGAAAAGAAGATGAAATGAAAGGAAAGAAAACAGTAGGTATTAATTTTATGAAGGGGGGGGGGGGGGGTATGAAATGTGTATTTTCATAGTTGATGAGAGAAGTATGATATCCAATATTCTTGTTCTATAGACTATTTAGTACGGGCATTTCATGAGAGTCATGCATGGGCAAGGCAGGATTTGGACTAGGATAGAGGACAAGAACATTATTGATGAGCATCTGTTCAGGCAGAATCTGTGAAGAAGACATAGTAGGCACAACATCGGAGAGCTAGATGAGGAGGGAGATAAGGTCATAGCCAGACAGCAATGCTTGAAACGTGTGGCGTACGTCGCAAGCGCGAATATCAGCAGGGAGAGAGTTCCATGTGGTACTGCCAACAAAGGCGATAGAGCTACGGCCTGAGGGACCAGGTAGGAACGGCACTCTGAGCAGCTGGCTGACCTGACCACGCGTGACACAACTTCTGTCCACATCCGTGGCAATGAGGGAGTAGTAGGATGTGAACAGTGAGCTGGCTCTGCCATGAAGGCAGCGGAAGACGAAGAGAAGCAGACGTTGCACGTACAGCTGGTGAAGCTGAGGCATTGATAGTCTGGCAAATAGGGGAGCAGTGGAGGTCCTTCTGGGGGTTGTGTATATGTGTTCTTGTCTGTTTGTTCACTAGCTTCTGCGAGTGGGAGTTGTCTTGCACTTGCTTCGTTGCAAACTGCCGAAAGACTCTAATGATGAGGTTTTCATTATTTTGTGGACTAAACCACTCTGTCGTTGTGTACGGACCAGGCGTGTTCTAGTCACCACCAGCAGTATTCCTGTGCCGGCGATTGTTTATTGTATGTTCTTCATTTTCTCCATTGCGCAGAGTACGTGTGGTGGTGTTCCGAACACACCGCCAATCACAGCTACTCTCCGAAGTGTTTGCTACCTGGAGAGATCAGACAGTGGTGCAACGACAGCGCAGGCTAGCGCATGTCGGGTATAGCAGTTACTGTGTGAGGTAAGCTTGCTGTGTGCGTGCGTGCGTGCGCGCGCGTGTGTGTGCGCACGTGCGTGCGTGTGCGTGTGTATGTGTGCACGTGGGCACGTGCATAGTTGTGGAGTCGCATGTGGATGTGTGTGTGCGTGTGTGTGTGTGTGTGTGTGTGTGTGTAGGGGGGGGGGGGGGGGGGATTCAGCCTCGCAAGCTGTTGAATGGTGTAATCCCAGCACAAGTTGCCATGTCTAACATAGCTTGTTCGCTAGCATCGCTTCCGCGATGGGCATGTGGACATGTATTGGTGTATGTGTGTGTGTGTGTGTACGCGCGCGCGCGTGCGTGCGTGCGGGCAGGCGCACACGCATGTGCGTGTGTGTGCGCGCGTGTGTGTATAATAAGATTGCCAGCTGTCAGTTTTTTTTTCTTTGTCCGTCTTGCACACCCTTCAATTTTTGTACTTCTCGTGTGCTTGAAATCCCTGTGTGCATGTGCCCGGTGTCTGCCTGCACACAGGAAAGCATTCACACACTGGAGACACTGTGTGTACGTGGCACGACTCGGAGATCTAGCTTCTGACTTTCTACAGCAACGGCACGTATCTACAGTTCAAGGTGAGGGACGTGGTTGTGATGATATTGGAACTCTGAAGTTCAGTGTAACAAGTTGCGACTTATATTATGGGGAAATGCGGTAACATAATATGTATCGGGCTCTAGGAGTTGGAGTGTGTAAGTCAGCCCTTTCGTCTGAATCAGATTGTTTACCGTAAAGTCGCGGATAAAAGCCGGGTTTGCATACGAGCACATCGCGGATAGAAGCCTGAAAATCAAACGGGTCAAATGCATAATATAAGCCTGTCGCGCGTAGAAGCCTGGCTTCTATCCCAGCACGGATCGGGTAGGTCAAGAGTGCATGCGCTATGTACCATGGTGCATAGTGAAACTGCCGCCATACCGGTAGTCAGTGGTAGATCTACACGTGTCGCGTGGATCTACCAAGTCAGTGGTGCATACAAGCATGGTTTGCATACAAGCCTGGTTTGCATTGAAGCCTGATGCAGAAAGCGGCTTATGTGGCTTTTATCCGCGACTTTACGGTATGTGTTCAAGCTGTGTGTAGGTAGGTATGGGTTCAAGCTATGTGTAGGTAGTTACCATGGTTTCCAGAGTATACACGTACGTACTTTGAACACTTAAAATTCACCCCAAGAAAGCACGGCTTACACTCCGATGATCGCATTGACGGTGATAAATAGAGTAGATGTCTGTATTTCATGGCAAAAAAATGGGGTGGGGGAGGGGTGCGGCTTATGCTCCAGTGCGGTTCTCCGGAAAGTACGTTAGTCGGGAAAGCATACTGACTAGTAAATGCCCTAACCGGGAACCTATTTATTTCTCTCGCAAACTCTCCTGTTTCGCACAGAACTGATCAGCAAAATCTCATCATGTGTGTCACCTAGAAGTAGTACTAGAACTGTGCAGTTGTGTTCTGCAATGGTCTTCTTCACGACTACCTTGGTCCTGGACTGACATGGCTGTGTCTATTTATGGGCTAAAGCTCGCATTTCTGTGTCTATTTATCTTATTATGGGCTAAAACTCGCATTTCTGTGTCTAATTATGGGCTAAAACTGGCATTTCTGTTGTGGCGTATGTTGTCGTTGTCGACGTCATTGTTATCGTCGTCGTTGTTGTGGCTATCGACACTGCTGGTCTATTTCAGCTACGTTTGTTCACTGGTACACTCTGTGCCTGCATCGCTCCGGACAGCGATGTCTGCGTGCCATGCACAGCAAGTCGCTTCTCCATGCCAGCTTCTCCCACTGGTGGAAACACTGCTTGAGCATGAAACAGGCGGTGGCATTGCGAAGGCAACACCAGCACAACGCAGCAAAGCGGTATGTCTTTTTGCCGCATGCACCAATATCTGAAGTGTTCGTGAAAACATTCTACTTTGAAGTAGATTCCTAAAATTATGTACTTTAGCAGATTTATATTAATTTTAATAGATCAGACTTTGGAGATATCTCCAAGAGAGATTTGCTATATGCTTACTCTGTGGGTCTGTCTGTGACAAGGTGTGGCTCAGTGTAGCTGTATAACGCTTGTTAATTAAATAATCCTTAATTTCAGCAACTGATGTCTATTATTAAACATTCTTGCTGCCTATTCATCAGAGGGAGATAAAGATAGAGAGAGAGAGAGAGAGAGAGAGAGAGAGAGAGAGAGAGAGAGAGAGAGAGAGAGAGAGAGAGAGAGAGAGAGAGAGAGAGAGAGAAGAGAGAGAGAGAGAGGGGGAGAGAGAGAGAGGAGAGAGAGAGAGAGAGGAGAGAGAGAGAGGAGAGAGAGAGAAGAGAGAGAGAGAGGGAGAGAGAGGGAGAGAGAGAGAGAAGAGAGAGAGAGAGAGAGAGAGAGAGAGAGAGAGAGAGAGAGAGAGAGAGAGGGAGAGAGAGAGAAGAGAGAGAGAGAGAGAGAGAGAGAGAGAGAGAGAGAGAGAGAGAGAGAGAGAGAGAGAGAGAGAAGAGAGCTCTGTTATTGTATTTACTATAATTATACTGTACTATGTAACACTCTCCACAGGTGCATATCTGCCTGGCACGCTCACTGTCGTCACAAACGCCTGCTTACAAGTCTTGTTGAGCATGCTCAGTGGCGCAAGAAACGGGCGCTCTTTCACAAGTGGAGGTAAGCATACCAAGAGGCATAGTTCAGGCATGTCTGTCCATTGGTGAATGAGTGTTAGTTGGTACCTGTGCCAATTAGTTCGCTGGAGCTGCCCAACCAACCATGCATATTTCCACCGACTGTAAGCCAATTGTTTTTATCCCGAAAAAACAACCAGGGCCAGCCGAAACAGCCGTAAAATGTACTCAGAGCACTGGAGTCTAGGGTGCAGATCGGTGTACAGTGAAACCTGTCTAAGACGACCGCCACTCAAGGGACCTTCAAACCCTGGTCTCTGTAACCAGGTTGGTCACCTTATCCAGGGTCATTTCACTGGAAATGGCATTCCCTGGTCCTGGTTGCAGTGGTCTTCTAGAACAGGTGGTCGCCTTATCCGAGTGGTCGCCTTATCCGAGTGGTCGCCTTATCCGAGTGGTCGCCTTATCCGAGTGGTCGCCTTATCCGAGTGGTCGCCTTATCCGAGTGGTCGCCTTATCCGAGTGGTCGCCTTATCCGAGTGGTCGCCTTATCCGAGTGGTCGCCTTATCCGAGTGGTCGCCTTATCCGAGTGGTCGCCTTATCCGAGTGGTCGCCTTATCCGAGTGGTCGCCTTATCCGAGTGGTCGCCTTATCCGAGTGGTCGCCTTATCCGAGTGGTCGCCTTATCCGAGTGGTCGCCTTATCCGAGTGGTCGCCTTATCCGAGTGGTCGCCTTATCCGAGTGGTCGCCTTATCCGAGTGGTCGCCTTATCCGAGTGGTCGCCTTATCCGAGTGGTCGCCTTATCCGAGTGGTCGCCTTATCCGAGTGGTCGCCTTATCCGAGTGGTCGCCTTATCCGAGTGGTCGCCTTATCCGAGTGGTCGCCTTATCCGAGTGGTCGCCTTATCCGAGTGGTCGCCTTATCCGAGTGGTCGCCTTATCCGAGTGGTCGCCTTATCCGAGTGGTCGCCTTATCCGAGTGGTCGCCTTATCCGAGTGGTCGCCTTATCCGAGTGGTCGCCTTATCCGAGTGGTCGCCTTATCCGAGTGGTCGCCTTATCCGAGTGGTCGCCTTATCCGAGTGGTCGCCTTATCCGAGTGGTCGCCTTATCCGAGTGGTCGCCTTATCCGAGTGGTCGCCTTATCCGAGTGGTCGCCTTATCCGAGTGGTCGCCTTATCCGAGTGGTCGCCTTATCCGAGTGGTCGCCTTATCCGAGTGGTCGCCTTATCCGAGTGGTCGCCTTATCCGAGTGGTCGCCTTATCCGAGTGGTCGCCTTATCCGAGTGGTCGCCTTATCCGAGTGGTCGCCTTATCCGAGTGGTCGCCTTATCCGAGTGGTCGCCTTATCCGAGTGGTCGCCTTATCCGAGTGGTCGCCTTATCCGAGTGGTCGCCTTATCCGAGTGGTCGCCTTATCCGAGTGGTCGCCTTATCCGAGTGGTCGCCTTATCCGAGTGGCCGCCTTATCCGAGTGGCCGCCTTATCCGAGTGGCCGCCTTATCCGAGTGGCCGCCTTATCCGAGTGGCCGCCTTATCCGAGTGGTCGCCTTATCCGAGTGGTCGCCTTATCCGAGTGGTCGCCTTATCCGAGTGGTCGCCTTATCCGAGTGGTCGCCTTATCCGAGTGGTCGCCTTATCCGAGTGGTCGCCTTATCCGAGTGGTCGCCTTATCCGAGTGGTCGCCTTATCCGAGTGGTCGCCTTATCCGAGTGGTCGCCTTATCCGAGTGGTCGCCTTATCCGAGTGGTCGCCTTATCCGAGTGGTCGCCTTATCCGAGTGGTCGCCTTATCCGAGTGGTCGCCTTATCCGAGTGGTCGCCTTATCCGAGTGGTCGCCTTATCCGAGTGGTCGCCTTATCCGAGTGGTCGCCTTATCCGAGTGGTCGCCTTATCCGAGTGGTCGCCTTATCCGAGTGGTCGCCTTATCCGAGTGGTCGCCTTATCCGAGTGGTCGCCTTATCCGAGTGGCCGCCTTATCCGAGTGGCCGCCTTATCCGAGTGGCCGCCTTATCCGAGTGGCCGCCTTATCCGAGTGGTCGCCTTATCCGAGTGGTCGCCTTATCCGAGTGGTCGCCTTATCCGAGTGGTCGCCTTATCCGAGTGGTCGCCTTATCCGAGTGGTCGCCTTATCCGAGTGGTCGCCTTATCCGAGTGGTCGCCTTATCCGAGTGGTCGCCTTATCCGAGTGGTCGCCTTATCCGAGTGGCCGCCTTATCCGAGTGGCCGCCTTATCCGAGTGGCCGCCTTATCCGAGTGGCCGCCTTATCCGAGTGGCCGCCTTATCCGAGTGGCCGCCTTATCCGAGTGGCCGCCTTATCCGAGTGGCCGCCTTATCCGAGTGGCCGCCTTATCCGAGTGGCCGCCTTATCCGAGTGGCCGCCTTATCCGAGTGGCCGCCTTATCCGAGTGGTCGCCTTATCCGAGTGGTCGCCTTATCCGAGTGGTCGCCTTATCCGAGTGGTCGCCTTATCCGAGTGGTCGCCTTATCCGAGTGGTCGCCTTGACAGCTTTTACTGTGCATACTGCCCGCCTGATGATTGTCTGTGCATGAGACTTTATGTTACAGCAAAACATCAAACATCCTCTTTATATCTCCTGTCTTCTTGTGTTTTAACCATCCACGTCTGTGCGTGTGTGGTGTTTTGAATGCATGGTTTTATCGCAGGGCACGCCTATCCCTGCGTCACCATGACAACGTGGCCATCGCGCAGCATCGGCGGGCGCTTACGACGTCGTCGTTCCGGCTGTGGCGCGCCTTGACATCGCTGCAGACTCACGTGCGAGTGGTGCGTGAACGGGTCGAGCATCGTCTGGTGGCGCAATGCTTTGCCGAGTGGCGGCAGCGTCGTGACGACCGGCTCGCTGAGCAAAGCCGGCTAGCCGAGGCAGAGGTAAATACCGTAAAACCTGCCCTAACCGGTCGCCCTTGGTGCAGCGGAAACTGTCCTGATATTAAAGGATTCCGCTTGATCCGGAGATGCACATTCAATCCCCAGCACTTTGGTGCATGACAATTTGTCCAGTCAATATTGGATTCCGCTTGGTACAGGGTCCGGCAAACGCAGATTTTACTGTATAATTTTTTCTAGAGCACTATATGTCTGCAGTCTCAAACTTATCCCGTCCTACCGTACGAGTCATATCTTCCAGAGTGCTGTGTACGTCACAAGCACAACACATTGCATGCCATGCAGGGTGTGTTCGAATACCAGCTGCACACTAACCTCGGATATAAAGTACTTCCTCCGCGTCATTAAAATTGTCGCTTCCCAGAGCGATTTTTCGAATTTATTTTGTCCACTCGAAGGGCAAAGAAATCAGCTAGAAATTGAGCCAGAGCATTTTCGACGGACCAAGCTTTGGTTTGCGGCCTCCCGCTTTGCTGCACTTGCAGCTAATGTCGACGTCTTCATCAGAGTGTGAGGCAGACCCTTCAGCACTCAAAAATACGCCGAAGAAGACGCGCGTTCAAACTCAAGTCAAGAAACTTCGTTTTCAAGCAATCCACGCCTCCAGGTGGCAAGCGATGAAGGCAAGCTAGCATTTTTCTAGTACACTGTAACGAACTTCCAGCGGGGTAGGTTAACCAGTTCCGCACCTTCTTTCCTTGGCAAGCGCTTCGCTGATTTTGTGGGTGTTTTCAGACCTGTTACCTTCGCAGCAACATGCGCCACAAGTAGCGCATTTTAGGAATTTGAGAACACTTTGTTCTTGCCATCGTCAACTTAAGCATTTTGTATTCAGGGTAGATTCCAGGATTCTTATACCCGACCTTGCAGACCTGATAAATGCCCATCGGACGGTGTGGAACTCCAGAAAAACGATATGCGCTCTGGGGCGGAATAGTGCGGATCGCGATGAATTTGCTTGGTACGGATGAGAGCTCCGACAATGTCCGAGACCACCACGGCTTCAGTAACAAGTAGACCTTGCGCAGGAAGGGTCGCACCAATGTTCGAACACAGAAAGCAGCGATTACGACAGTCTGACTGAGATGAGCCAAGTCACAAACATTGCGATGTGCGAAGCGACAATTTTAATGACGCGGAGGAAGTAGATGCTAGCAAATGTACTTTGAGAGATCCTATGTTTGGTTGAGGGGAGGGGTGAGGTGGGAGGAAGGAAGGAAGGAAGGGGAGGGGCAAGGGAGCTCTCAATCTATTCCAACAATATGTTGACACACATCTTCACTTTACCTGGACAGGGATGAGACCAATTCTATGTTTCGTCTGCTTCTCGTTCAGGTGCATCGCTGGCAGTTACTGTCGACCGTGTTTGCGGAGTGGAGACAGGTGACCTCACGACTCATGCAGCGACATCATCAGTCTCTAAGTACGGCAGAATTACATCATCGTCTCATTGTCGAGCAGAGGACAATGGCGGTATGGCGACGGCAAAGCTTGCTGGTTAAGATGGCCAGGTAAGATGCATGACTGGGTTAGAGGATGGCTGGCTGGGGGGGATTGATGCACTCCTGAAGTACTGGATAGTGGTTTATTTGGCAAAAAGAATTCTCACCTGTTATTGCTAGTAAAAAGGATGCTAGTAGATGGACAAGAATAGATTTACCAGTGGCAGCTACGTTGTAGCCGTGCTGCTGAAGTTCATAGGACTTTGTTGACCAAGTGAAGTGACTGTGTGGATTTTACTAAAGCAAATACAGAGACCTAACAGGACTGATTCTCGTGATCCACGTGATTCCGCCAGACATGTTGTATGCATATTCTATTTTATTTTATACTTTGGATGAAGTGTTCCATTAGTCCTATTGGTATTGTTGCTAACGGCTTTGGTTGACGTCACTTCTGTCATTTCATTGTATCGTATTACTCTTCAGACATCAATCCTGAATGGCATAAGCGAAAGTGGCACCCCCGCCACCTACGCGGACATGCTATCAATAATGGTGTACTAGCTGTGCTAGTACTTGTTAGCAACAATCCGAACTAGCGCACACACTGCACTGCATTGCTTTGTACTGCATTCAAGACTGACGTCATGCGCTTTGTTTTGCTGCGTAATCACAAATGGCACCAGCCCATTTTGCGGAAAAGAAAAACAAATCTTGCTTGCCCAGACAACGGATCGTGCTTCAGCAGTGTTTCTTTTCCCGCCATCCCTCCCTATCCAACTTATTCACACCATCATAATTATCGTACCCACTAATCGGGTCCACTCTCACAACTGGTGTTATCTAGCTATTTGCTGCGGCTCTGCCTTGCGCTATATTACATCCATTTAGCATTGCAGCTCTACGTTGAGCTAACAGCAGCTCTACTTTGAGCTAACAGCAGCTCTACTTTGAGCTAACAGCAGCTCTACTTTGAGCTAACAGCAGCTCTACTTTGAGCTAACTGCAGCTCTACTTTGAGCTAACAGCAACTCTACTTTGAGCTAACCGCAGCTCTACTTTGAGCTAACCGCAGCTCTACTTTGAGCTAACAGCAGCTCTACCTTGAGCTAACAGCAGCTCTACTTTGAGCTAACAGCAGCTCTACTTTGAGCTAACAGCAGCTCTACTTTGAGCTAACCGCAGCTCTACTTTGAGCTAACAGCAGCTCTACTTTGAGCTAACCGCAGCTCTACTTTGAGCTAACCGCAGCTCTACTTTGAGCTAACAGCAGCTCTGCTCTGAGCTAACAGCAGCTCTGCTCTGAGCTAACACCAGCTCTACTTTGAGCTTCAAACCAGTTGTTTCGAAACCAGCACTCCTCAATCCAAAGATGCCTCTTTGTTGACTTGTTTGTGTGAGGGATGGGGCTAATAATAAATATAATATAAATACAGCGATACTTCAACTGAGCCCATTTGTCTTTTTCTTGAGCTGTTTCTGCGGCGTAAACTAGGTAGTATTGCCTTTCTCTGTTTTATCCTTGCTCTGTCTTCACAGCGATTTTCAGCTTCGGAAGACGCAGCATCGTTGCAAACTGATTCTGTATGAGTGGCACCTTGCAGCTGAGACAGCTGTTGAGATAGCAGCACGTGCACTGCGACAGCGAATTCAAGATCTGGACTCCGTGCGGGGCTCTGAACACGACTTCGTTGCACAGCGTTCTCATGGTGGACTTGTGCAGCATGATGTCATTGTTGAAGGCGATGTCGACAATGATGTCATTGCAGAAAGTGATGCCAGTCCAGTTGGTGTTGCCAAAGGTGTCGTTGATGGTCATACTGTTACTGATGCCCATGATGGCCGCGGTGCTTATGCTGCTACTCTTCGCACTAGCTCTGCTATTGGTGATCGCACTGATGACATCATTGACCAAGAAGCTAGCAAGCCTAGCATTGATGGAGTCATTGATGACATCATTGATCAAGAAGCTGGTGTTGATGGAGTCATTGATGACATAGTTATCACTGCTCAAGATCGCCCCTCCGTACTGCACACTGCCACGCGAACTCTGGCCTACTGGCGTGCACCCGAGCAGCTGAGACGGGCTTGGTTGTCATGGAAACAGCACACAGCACACCGAAGGTGAGCAGGGTTGCCACTTGACAGGGCTTTGGCTGTAGCAATGTTTCAAGTGTGTATGCACAATCTCCAGGGAGTCTGCTATTCATGTATGCCTTGGACCTTGCGTTGATGGGGATATATTTCTTGTTATTCTGGCTGTGGATTTGGCGGCAAACGTGTGTGTGTGTGTGTGTGTGTGTGTGTGTGTGTGTGTGTGTGTGTGTGTGTGAAAGAGAGAGAGAGAGAGAGAGAGAGTGAGAGTGAGAGAGAGAGTGAGAGAGAGAGAGAGGAGAGAGGGGGTGAGAGACAAATGGACAGACAAGTAGACCGAGACAGACAGAGAGACGGACATACTGTAATTTCACAAATTTTCGGTGTACTTTTATTTTCGGTACTTTCGGTGTATCTGTTTCATACCTAAACTTTCAATACACCGAACAAAACCAGCACACCTAATCCGATAGGGAACTGCTTCTCTGTACATAAAACTTCTGTTCACCTAACCTGGCCTTTTGCCCTCATACCAGACATTTTGAGCGCCTAACATTTCTGAAAATAGAGTACGAAAATACGTTAAAAAGGTTTCCTATCGCTGGCACTAATCGCTATGTACTGTTTTGTTGTTTTCCTAATCCAGGAGGAAGCATCACTTAGCCGCTATGGCAACACAGTATGCCGCTAAACGACTACTGGTGGTGTACCTTGGACAGTGGAAGACATCGTGGGCAGACTGCCGACGAGCTGATCGGCATCTGGTTAGTTTTTTTTCCTCATGGCGTTGCTAGTGAGTTTTGACTGCTGGCTCGTCTGCTTGATTCGGACTATGTATTTTAATTTATAATTCCTTTGATCCTTGATGGTGATGGCGTTCCTACGGATGCTGAGAGTGCAGTCGAACTGCGTCTCATGCAATCCGAGAATTTAGTTGCTCAGTACATTTGATAAGGAAAGGAGTAGCCAGGTGTTGTTGTTAGCGTGGTGTGCTCTCACTGAGAGGAGGGAGCATATTCTCATCGCTGTTCGCTTAATAATGTTGGGTTTGCTTTCGTGTCTGAAAGTCATGTCCTGTTGTACAGCGTCACTTCTCTCAGTCTTAAGCACTGCACTCACCGAGGCTCTTGACCGATTAACATGACTGGCAAGCTGCAGCCTGCACCACGAAAATGCAGACTGTTTCACACGCTGAAACTGACTTTGCTTTTCTCTCTTTGTAAATTCCTCTGGTTCTACAACTAGGTGACTTCACTGCTGCGGATGGTGATGTCTCGGTGGAAGTTATTGCTTGCGATTGCTGCAGAGAATGCCAGGAAAGCCAGTGTATTCACCGTGAGAAGTCAGGAATCACTGCTTGCATCGTGCTTCCATAGTTGGCACTCCGATGTAAGCAGCTGTTCTGTGTGTAGCGTGTGTATAATTACGAAGTATGTGTATGTGTGTATGGAGGGGGGGGGGGGGGGGGCATGCTGCAATGTGTATGAAGAGGGCATTTATTATTATTTTTATTATTATTTGACGACTACACCATAGCTCAGTGGTTAGAGCATCGCTAGCTAAAAGCGAGGGTCCCTGGTTTGTGTCCTGGTGGTGACAGTCAATTTCTTCTTCAGACTTTTCCCGTTTGTCTCTTTCCCTCAAACTAGTGAAGATTTTATTATTATTATTTGCATTTTCGCGTCATCGTCAATCAAATGATTGATGATTTCGCTTATGCTGAGTGGTGGTAAGCAGAAATCAAATATGGAATATGCTGATGTCAAGGCAGAAAACAACATGAAGGACGGAAAAAAGAAAACAGGATAAGTATGGATATCGAATGCGATACGTTATGATAACGGATGGGCATTTGGATACTGACAACTATCCTGGTTGATAGAGGGGGCTGGTTGATAGAGGGGGCTGGTTGATAGAGGGGGCTGGTTGATAAAGTGCTGGGTTGAGGAGGGATGACTGTATCCATCTAACCCTAACCCTAACTCTGTATTGCTCTACCGCTTCACACGAGGGAGTCGTTCTTTACCGAAGAACCTCTAGAGATTACTTTTTCATCATAGCCTAGGAGCTGTGGCATCATTTATGGTCCACAGCAAGAAGGCAGCAATGCCTGTACCTATGGTGAAGTAAAAGAAAGGTAACATACGATAATATAACTCATGCTCCTTTCTTTGTTCTACTCCTAGTTCCTGGATCGATCACTGTCTCGGTCGGTCTTGCGGCGATGGCGTAACTTTGTGACGGGTGAGTTATTACAATCTTCTCGTAATGTGCTTACACTCTTGCCAGTTAGTGATGAAACACATGTGCCAGTCCAGCATGAGTCGCCTGCACACACACACACGCACCACCATCACTCCTTCATCTCAGTGTCTGCTCTAGGATTTCAAACCAACCAGGTACACGTGTACCTGGCACCGCTCTTCCAACCGGGGCAGAGCCGGGTACGTTCAAGTGCGGCTACCGCATGTACATGTACATGTACATCATGGAGCTGTACATAATAGTACTCCCTGCTGTACATAATAGTACTCCCTGCTGTACATAATAGTACTCCCTGCTGTACATAATAGTACTCCCTGCTGTACATAATAGTACTCCCTGGTGTACAGAATAGTACTCCCTGCTGTACATAATAGTACTCCCTGCTGTACATAATAGTACTCCCTGCTGTACATAATAGTACTCCCTGCTGTACATAATAGTACTCCCTGCTGTACATAATAGTACTCCCTGCTGTACATAATAGTACTCCCTGCTGTACATAATAGTACTCCCTGCTGTACATAATAGTACTCCCTGCTGTACATAATAGTACTCCCTGCTGTACATAATAGGACTCCCTGGTGTGTATTCCCAACAGGGTCACAGGTGACCCGGTGTTCCTTTTCCAAACGGGTCCAAGTACCCTCCAACCGGGTCGCTGACCCGGCTGACCCGGCTCTGGAGCAGACACTTCATCTCAACTCAATGTGTCCTGTTTTCTACTCAGCTAACCGAGGCCGCCGTGAGAAGTGTGCCACATTCTCTAGATCTGCCGATCAGCGATGTCTGGCGCGCACCTGGTTGTCATGGCAATGTGCTGCCGCCTTTCACCAGCGTGCCGTCACACATGTCACCGTGGCGATGAAATCAAGGTAGGGTGGTTGTTCTGGGAGTGTCTTTTTTGTGCATGTGTGTGCATGTGTGCGCGTGTGTGCGTGTGTGTGTTGTTTTTGTGCTCCTTGGGAGCAGGTTACACTTTCTGAGCTCCGTGTTCTTGGCTTTCTCCAAAGTTTTTCTGCCTGCCCAGGGCGACTCTGGCGTAGCCAGAGTCGACCCTGGAGCACCCTCGCACACTGCCAAGGTAGTGCTGCATGATTGGAGCGCGGAATCGCGATGTAGCTTGCAGGACAATTTACTTCGATATTAGGGAGGTTCCGGAGTACGATTTTTCGTGCCAAAATCCGTAGAGGCGCTACGGATTTTTTATACGTCGTTTTCGAGCAGTGAAATGTTCCGGAGTACGGAACTTATGTGTTTGCCGTCATTGCCTAGGTTACGATCGCAAACACGTCACATTCCCGCGCTATGCCTTTATATGCGAAGGACTAAAGGGACCGTCACTTAATTTTTGCCGACTACCCGCCAAAAAAATCTTTTCGTTTCACGTGTCACTGACACGTCCGCGGACCGCGAGCGCGTACGACTCGTACTCGCGCTACCTTTCACGTCAAGCAATCTGTTCACGCCACATGGCTGGATAGCGCGTACATGGAAACATGATTGAAGACTTGCAAAATCAATTTTTTTCCCAAGTCCAGGCGCTAGGCCTAGGCAGTACTAATGGCCGCAATACTAATGCCTAATCAATGCCCAGGCAGCTGACTTTATTTTCGGAGAAACACTACTCATTGTAGTAAAAAGTAACAATGAATAGCGATATCATCTAGGAAGGATCGCTACCCTAACGCGAAGGAAAGGCCTTGCGCGGCTGCTCTACGAAGTGTTGAAGAAAGACTCATCAAATTTAGTTGGTGGACGAACAACTCGCTGGCGCCGGAAAACTTGGCCCCCAACGATGGTGTTTGGTGAATCATCAAGCATAATGTCTTGTAGCAGTGTTCACCGAGGAAGGAGAACGCTCTAGACTAGTCGCTGCTGTTGTCCGTTTCATCCACGTTGGGCGTTAGCTGCACCGCGCCTATTGTGTTTTAGTATTCCATGGACACACATTAGCATTCAGAGCGATTGTGGAGCCACAATTTACTTCACACAGCGTTGTATTGTCCACGAGCGCAAACTTAATTATCAGCAGTAACTGTTACTCTTCATCCTACATGTAGACTTGGAGTATACACGGCCTTGTCACGACAGCGACAGCTCTACAGATCATGCAGAGTGTTCAAGTGAGAAACATTAATTTCTATTGTTGGTGGACGAATAAATGGCTGGTTCCGAAAAAACGCGGCCTGCACCGATGGTGTTTGGTGGATCATCAAACAGGGTGACCAGCAGTGTTCACCGAGGAAGGAGAATGCACTCGCCACCACTCCGATTCATCCAAGTGGGTGTTAGCTGCGCCGCGCCTATTGTGTTTTAGTATTCCATGGACGCACACTAGCGTTCTCAGCGATTGTGGAGCCACAACATATCTTCATGCGGCGTTGCACTGTCCAAGAGCAGAAACGTCAGCAGTGACCCATCATCATACATGTAGATTTGGAGTATACACACCATGCGCCAATGGCCCTCGGCACAACAGCGGCAGCTCTACGGAGTGTTCAAGTGAGAAACATTTGTTTCGACTTTTGGTGGACGAACAAATCGTCGGTGCCGAAAAACGTGGCCTGCGCCGATGGTGTTTGAACCATCGAGGGCTCCGGAAGCAGCAGCTGAGCCAGATCAGCCAGTCTTGCCAACTCTCAGTTGCCGGACTCCGTGCTGCAGCTAGCGGCACTGGCACCAGCCGGAAATATTTTTCCGCCGATACCCGTTACTTCCAGTTCTGTCAAGGGCATAACTGGAATCCATTGCCAGGTGATGACTTTTTACTTTATGTGTTATTTTGCTGCCGAGTTGTTCAGAACTTTTCAGCCCCGATCTGTTCATGTCTACATGTCGGCCATCCGCAAACTTCATGTGGAAGTTGGCTTTACCTACCCGTCAGGCCCAATAACTCTCCTCGCAAGGTTCCTGTCGGGCATCAACAGGTCATCATCGACACAGCGTCATCGCCTGCTGATAACCACTCAACTTCTCAGGGAGATTAGCCGGCATGTTGCCTTTCCACGGATGTGGCACCCTCATGACAAGGCCATGCTAAGGGCAAACTGACTGCTTTATTTTAGCTTTACATTACCGCAGTCAGTCCAGCACAATACGCCAATCGTATTTCACTATTACTCGCGTGTCATAATTGGGGATATGGGCTGCTCCGCCCTATATCCCTGATATGCCAACTAGATGAAAAGTGTGTTCTGAGCCTGTATCGCGTATAATAGGCTCATCGTAAAACAAATAATAAAAGTCTTAAAAATCAGGGTTCACGTGACACTCGGGTTCCAGCCAAGTTTTCCGCATCCGCAGGAACGCTACCCCCCCCCCCCCGCCCTCTTGAATCATAGCATAGTGAACTGTGCAATGAACAGATTATGGAACTCCCTGCAGATTTACCACGGTCATTTCTGGTGACTGGTCTTGGGGCACCGTGGAAGCTGTGACTGGTTGCAAAGTTTTGTTTTGTGACTGATCATGGGGCATTTGTGACTACTTCGAAGCACAGCTCTGATTGATCACAGAGTCTTACTGTTGTGAAAATTTATATCGATTGAGAAGTCAAGCAGCCACGGGGCGCTGGCCTTGCAGCTGTGAGTATGCATACGGTACATATTCACATGACTCTATTGTATGCTGGACACTGCTGGTCCATTGTTGCAGTGTGTATGTGAACTGCAGAACCTATTCCGTGATGAAACACCTACTCTTAAAAGACTGAATGTTTGAGCTAATAGTCTTTTACTTCACTCTCATGCTGCTCATATAATTATACCATACGCCAGAAGACCCTATGTTCTCACCAATAGCCACTGCTAGCTGTTTTGTCATCTTGCTGTGCCAAATGATGCTGTATAGACGCGCCAAGCAGAAATGGACTGCTTATGAGCGTGAACAGGCTGGATGGGGTGACTGATGGACTGTCGGAGTTGGCGAACCACAGAAATCGTGTCGCATCTCTGTATGCTGGGTTGGCACTGATTTGTAAAAAGGCCTTCTCAGTATCGCAGGTCATGACGATTGGTGGCAGGCAAAATCGTAGAACAATGATGAATTGCCTAATGGCTAGGTCGTTGTTAGTAAGATTGCCTAAAATCCTAGATGTCAACACAGTCTAGGTTCCACAGATCTGGGATGGTGCAGGAGTCGGAAGTTGCATCAGTTAGAGAAACGATAGCTGGCATGGCTGCTCATCGGCGTAGCTGAGTGCTTGGAGTGACGTGGTCGGCCAGTCACCACAAAACTGACTGTGGTAGGCAGAAACTGTAGTCCTGGCGGAAGTCCTCTGGTGCTCCCCGTCAAGACTCCCAGAGGAAATCTGCACCGATCAAGACGACTGACTATCTTACGGTCAATGGCGATACTGGTTGATGCTGCACTAGCTGCTGTTGCGCTAGATGCTGGTACCTCGTCAGCTACAGGCTGGTCAGCTACTATGTTGGTACTGCTGTCAGATTTCTGTTGAGATTCAGGGCAGATCGTGACATGATGTTGACTCTGATTGGTGACCCATGCGAGAACACACATTACACTTGCGGGTGGCCTTGCACTGAGTTGACCGGTGCCCTGTGCGCAAACACACAAAGCAACGCTTCTGTTCAATCAGTTATTCTTTCCGCTGTGCTACTGTTGTGTATTTCGCGCAGCTCTTGTCCAGGTGAGATCCGCCGCAGAATGCACACCCTGTCATACTGCTGGCATTCCAGTTAACATCAGACTGCTTCCTTCTGGTGAACTTGCACGCGCCTGTCACCAGTGCACCTGCAGAATAGTGAGTGACATCTTCTGCTGTAGTACCGCCTGTGTTTGTGCGGCGCAGAAAGGCGTCTTGCATGATAACATGACGCTTCAGTGCTGTTCTGAAGTCATTCAGTTTCCATTGTGTCCCTGCATCTGAAAAGCCTCGCGATTCGTCCAGTTGAATCAGCGTTCGGCATGATCCGTATCTTGGTCACAGCACCGTGTGATGATCTGGTGACATCAGACGGATATAATACACAAGAGACAATTGTGATATTTCTACGTTGTGTTTACTTCAGATACATAATCTAAATAAAAGGGGGGTTGTCAACCGACAATCGCTCTATTTAGTTGCTTTTCACTCTTTAGATAAAAATTCTTTTATTTATTATGTCGAAAAATTATGCGGTTGTCAGTTGACAGCCACCCTTTAATTTACACTGCAGTTGCGTGATGTCCACCACTTTCTGTACATAAGGCCACCCTTTCTTTTTTCGTTGTTTAACGTCCGCGCCCGCGTACCTTTTTGCCTCCGAGCGGAAAAAAAAACAAGAAAGTAGTAGTACCAATAATATGCGAAGTTGTAAATACACGATTGTGTAGTTTCACAGTGTGCCGATCATGACCTTAAACTTATAATCTTGCCTCCCGGGCATGCCTTTGTCTTGTGTTCTTTTTTCTTTTTTTGTTGGCTTTTAAATATCGTACGGTGTGTGTCCTAGTAAAAATCCAGATGTAATGAATTCATGACATGCTAACTCCATGCTTTGTACCTGTTTTGTTGGATTCATCAGGCATGTGCTCCAATGTACCATCAAAGAGTGTTGTTCTATGCCTGCAAGTGCCGTTAGACCCAGAAATATTGTATATATCACATGCTTTACTGGTCAAAATGTTTGATTGGGGTTTCCAGTTTTTGGAATGGGCTTTTGTTTTTTTCCGCCCTCCCGCGTACCTTTTCGCGAAAAAAAGGACGTTAAACAATGAATTAACAAAGGGTGGCCTAATCTAAGAGTACTAAAACAGCCACTGACTTCCAACTACCAAGGGAAAGCAAGCCCAAGCGCAGGAGAACCGTGCGCGCGCGCGGGTACATGACATATAATATCGTAGTAGAGCTGGCAGGCAAGGCATGATCAGGGGTTCAGGCCCTGCCTGTAAACGCTCTGATTGGCTCAAACCCTGGCAACAATCACGTGACATGTCTGAAAGTACAAGTAGTTGCGATTTATGCTGAAGTTCAAACTGACGGAACACGTGCAGCGCTACACCATGAACCGTGTGGAAACAAAAATAAGTAGAGGAGACACGGGATAACAGACATGAACTCAGGGTCAAACTGATAACTGTGAAACGTGAATGCATGCAGTATATGGAGACAAAACAAAGTCGCAGAATTCAGTACGTAACAAGTACTACACACTAACCTCGTACATGAGAATGTCGCGACACCATTTGAATTAGCTCTTACACCCCACTTATGTTTCAGTCAGTAAGAGTACACATGCGTACTTACGTTGACTCTATTTTATCTGACTTGTCCAACACCATCGTTGTGAGCCTTCGGCACCTGGGAATACACAGGACAGATAAGATAGCAGCAAGAGCATCTCCCCGCTCTGTGAACACAGCTCAGACGCCATGCTTCATGATTGTGTGCCCATGGAATACAAGGACACAATAGGCTTGGTGCAGCTAACGAAATGGATGAACGGTCGACGGCCTGAGTGGTCTCCTTCCTCAATCAACACTGACAGTCACCACATACCATGCTTGATGTTTCAAGCACCATCGGCGCAGGCCACGTTTTTCGGCACCGACGATTTGTTCGTCCACCAAAAGTCGAAACAAATGTTTCTCACTTGAACACTTCGTAGAGCTGCCGCTGTTGTGCCGAGGCCCATTGGCGCATGGTGTGTATACTCCAAATCTACATGTATGATGATGGGTCACTGCTGACGTTTCTGCTCTTGGACAGTGCAACGCCGCATGAAGATATGTTGTGGCTCCACAATCGCTGAGAACGCTAGTGTGCGTCCATGGAATACTAAAACACAATAGGCGCGGCGCAGCTAACGCCCACTTGGATGAATCGGAGTGGTGGCGAGTGCATTCTCCTTCCTCGGTGAACACTGCTGGTCACCCTGTTTGATGATCCACCAAACACCATCGGTGCAGGCCGCGTTTTTTCGGAACCAGCCATTTATTCGTCCACCAACAATAGAAATTAATGTTTCTCACTTGAACACTCTGCATGATCTGTAGACCTGTCGCTGTCGTGACAAGGCCGTGTATACTCCAAGTCTACATGTAGGATGAAGAGTAACAGGTACTGCTGATAATTAAGTTTGCGCTCGTGGACAATACAACGCTGTGTGAAGTAAATTGTGGCTCCACAATCGCTCTGAATGGTAATGTGCGTCCATGGAATACTAAAACACAATAGGCGCGGTGCAGCTAACGCCCAACGTGGATGAAACGGACAACAGCAGCGACTAGTCTAGAGCGTTCTCCTTCCTCGGTGAACACTGCTACAAGATATTATGCTTGATGATTCACCAAACACCATCGTTGGGGGCCAAGTTTTCCGGCGCCAGCGAGTTGTTCGTCCACCAACTAAATTTGATGAGTCTTTCTTCAACACTTCGTAGAGCAGCCGCGCAAGGCCTTTCCTTCGCGTTAGGGTAGCGATCCTTCCTAGATGATATCGCTATTCATTGTTACTTTTTACTACAATGAGTAGTGTTTCTCCGAAAATAAAGTCAGCTGCCTGGGCATTGATTAGGCATTAGTACTGCCTAGGCCTAGCGCCTGGACTTGGGAAAAAAATTGATTTTGCAAGTCTTCAATCATGTTTCCATGTACGCGCAGCCATGTGGCGTGAACAGATTGCTTGACGTGAAAGGTAGCGCGAGTACGAGTCGTACGCGCTCGCGGTCCGCGGACGTGTCAGTGACACGTGAAACGAAAAGATTTTTTTGGCGGGTAGTCGGCAAAAATTAAGTGACGGTCCCTTTAGTCCTTCGCCCTTTATATTTTGAAAATTTGTACCGAAATCAAAACTTCCCGCGGAAAATCCATGTTTCTCGTACCAAATTTGTACGCGAAAAATCTTTCTGCACCCGATGACGCAAAATCTCCATACGAAACATGGTTCGTGTGAAAGCCAGTCCACACGGATTCTCCGTGCCGAAAAATCGTATGGAGCACTCCTGGAAAAAATCCGTAGCGCCCACACGGATTTTGGCACGGAAAATCGTACCCCGGAACCTCTCTAATGTCACTGCTGCGTCGGCCGTGGTCCACCACTCGCAGTGGAGTAGCTATCCCTCGAGTGCTGTGAAGAATCCAAGCTCGAAGAATGCAGTGGTGGGAATTGCGGATTGGCTGGTGGAGTGCTGAACAAGTCGTTGTTTCAGTGGAGTGGACGAGCGAGTGCGGAGAGGAAGGTCGCAATGGCGGAATGGTGGGAATTGAAACTTCAATCTTTCGTCGTCATGAGTGCACTGGTCAAGCGTTGCGGAAGTCTGTCGGATTTGTGAGGCATTGCCCTGCCGCTTACATCGTCAACGTGGAAGAACTGCTAGTGGAGTCCTGGTGGGATTTCGGATGCCCACACTCCTTTTGCTTGGTGGATTCTTTCGTGGACAGTGTTTTTTCGTGGCGTGAAATTTTGAATTTTTTTTTCTTTCCTGTTCATTTTCAGTTGTTGTCACTGTAGCTGTCAGGTTGTTGTTACAGTACTCGAACATGATTGTACAGCAGTCGTCCGTTCTGCTCCATTGTTTCATCTGTTTTGCCAGTTCTGCTAGCTGATTCTCTTTATTTGCCACTGCCCCTCATAGTGCTCATGCTTGGGTGGAGGGCGGCGTGACCCGTTTAGGGTAGCTGTATCATAGTAGTAGTAGTAGTAGTGTGTGTGTGTGTGTGTGTGTGTGCGCGCGCGCGTGTGTGTGCGCGCGTGTGCGCGTGTGCGTCTGCTTGTGTGTGTGTTTGAATAGAATTAATGCAGGTGACATCAGTATAGCCTAGTCCCTGTTGAGAAATACATGTATCTTGCCAAGAGTTATCAGTTATCCAAGTTACCAATGTCTTGTAGTCCAGATACGTATGTCTAGTATTGTCTACTTCCTGGTGTGGCCTATAGACAATTTCTACTGTACTTTAATACACAAGAGAGAGTTTGGAAGCTTTGTCACAACTCCGAGTTTCACGTATCTCTACGATCATCAGGCAACTATATTATTGAGAGCAATTGAGCACTCTTCGGACAGTGAAGCACACCACTTGACTACTGTACTTTAATAAATTTTTATTTACATTTTCAATTCTGATTCACTCATCTCTCTGTGCTTAGGTATCTAACACTCTGGAAATCTGTTACCATGGATACAAAGCAGCAGGAAAACACAGTGCTGGTGCAGTTTGAACACCGGCGTATGCAGACTGTGGTACGTCAGTCCACCGATCAGGAATGTGATGGGCATTTTGAATGATGATTTACAGAGCGGGGAGAGTCAGGGGCATGCGCAGGAATTTGACGAGGGGGGGGGGGGGGGGGGGTGGGCGGGGTTGCCCCCCCCCCTCCAGACAGCATATTGATATCACTACATGAAAAAGAAAAAAAAAAGTAAATTATCGTGTCCGTTCCCAAAGGGAAGTCACGACGGCCGCTAACACCCGGTAAACCCTAGCTAGTAGCTAGGGTTTACCGGGTGTTAGCACTGTATAAGAGCCTTACACCATGTACAAGACTTAGTACATGTGACGGTACAGGGGCGTAGCACCCGCTACGACTGGTACGACCATGGCCGTACCACTTTTCGAAAAGTGTGGTCCGTCCGGAACGTGTAAAACCATAATAAAAAAATCAGGATCCATCGATGCATACATGTATGCGCATATGCGCATCAGACTTTGACCTTTTTCTAGACTCGTACTCGTAGTTCTGCCGTGCATCTGTGCATGTCCATGCACGTCTCTTCTGACCGTGAAATTATGACTTTATAAACTGTGCCAGAAGTTCCCAGAACGCAGGATTTTGTGTCTTTTTTACAAAATTTTCCCGGGGAAGGTCCCCCGCACCCCCCTCTAAAATGGCCTTCGGCCGCGCCGACCTTCGGTCGTACCACTTCCAAAACCCCTCCTACGCCCCTGCGGTATATCCTAACTTCAGAAATTTTAGGTGCTCAATATTTCCCATTTTGAGTATGAAGGCAAAAGGTCAGGTTAGGTGAACAGAAATTTCCGGTACAGAGAAGCAGTTCCCTATTGGATTATGTGTGTTAGTGTTTGTTCGGTGTATTGAAAGTTTAGGTATGCATCAGATACACCGAAAGTACAGAAAATAAAAGTACACCCAAAATTTGTGAAATTACAGTATGTCAGTCAGTCAATCACTCATGTGCATGCGTGTATGACCATTATCATTGTTTTTAGGCATGAGGGTATAGCAGGTTAAGTCGTATCTATGTTCAGACTGCAAAGAGAGTGTGTCGGTCATCATTCCTTTAGCGAGTTATCTGCTCAAGTACTGGTCAACCAGCGTTTGCTTTTGTTTTCTCTGTTTATGCCGCTTTCCTATCAAGGTTGCTGGTTGCTTTGCGGACTGGGTGAACGAGTACAGACTTCGCAGGAAGCAAGCGGAATTAGTACTCACCATGGAGCGGTCTCAAAGCGACCGTCTTCTACGCACGGTGTTTGCTCACTGGCAAGATGCCACGCGATATGCCGAGTTAAAGGAATACCGCAACAGACGATTGGTTGCCGGGGCGATGAGAAGATGGCGGCTGGCGTTGGTCGGCAGGACACCGCACCACTGCCACAAACAAGTAAGATAATCATTCGCGTTCATTTAACACAACGATTGTGATCAGATATATTTGGAATGCAATGCACCTTTTACGGTGCTTGCTGTGTACGCCGATCCCGAGACCCTTGGTCCGGGGAGTCCACTGCACCTCACCAGCGCAGCTCATGTAGTGCCTACACACCCATTGTTGTTTTTTTGGTTTTGTCTTTGTTTTGTTTCCCCTTCTTCCGTAGGTATGTGCACTGTGATAAAAAAACCTACATCATCGTCATCACTATAGTCAACATAGTGATCATTTTCACCCCCGTTGATGCGTTATTTTCTTCCGATAATTATATTATTTCTTTTTCCTTATCTTGCCATGGCTGGCCAACTCCCCCTCCTTTGCATTGGCTCTCTTGCCATGGCTGGCTAACGCCCCCTCCTTTGCATTGGATTTTGCCATTGGACGGTGAAATAAAATAAAAAATAAAAGAAAGAAATCGTTAGCCTTCCATTGCTACGTTTTTTTTCATTGATTTCTATCTCTAATTGGTTACAGGCCATTGTGAAAAGAAAAAATAGAAAAAGAAGAAAAAAATGATGTCATGACCCTGCTTCCTAGTCCAAGCACAAGAGGTTCAAAATACTTGCACCAATTATCAATCTGTTAAGTGAGGTCACATTAAAGATCGATGGCGCTCCATTTGTTGTTTTCTCTTCTGTCCGCAGTTCTTTGAACATCGCAACCGAACGCGTTTGCTCTCCGCCTGGGTTTCATGGCGTCATCAGTTGGTGCGGAAACGGGCCCTGCAATCCGTGGAGCAGCTCAGCGATAGACTGCTGATGCACGAGGTATGCCTGTGTGTGTATGTGTGTGGCGTGCGATCGGGGACAAGGATTCTTCAGTATTTGCTACGTTTGGGCTGAGCTGCGATCATCGCTCTTTGTTGCCGTGTGCTCCAAAACAAAAAGCCGAAAATGTGGTGCGGCCTCAACCGCCCCAGCCGCCCCGGCTGTGACGGCCTTGTGCATTGGAGGGGGGGGGGGGGGGGGGGTCGATTCACATGGCTTTGCCAGTTGTGTGGATTAGACAGTTATCTGGCGCTTGTCTTGATCTATTTCATTCCGATCTTGTCCGCTATCATTGCTAAAAGAGAAATCTGCTTGTGCATATCCAGTGCATTTGGAGATTTGCGACGGGCGTACACATGGTACATGGTACATAATGTGTGTGTGTGTGTGTGTGTGTGTGTGTGTGTGTGCGCGCGCGCGCGCGCGTGTGTGTGTCCCATATGGTGCAGTGGTATGTGCAGTCGATTTCCAATCGAGAGGTTGCGGGTTCAATTCCCGACGATTATGGTCGCACACGTCTTTCTTCTCTTTCTCGGACTCTTCCTGACTTTTCTTTCATTCTCCTGGGTGGTTGCCAACAGCCAGTGTATGCGGAGTATGTGGTGTGGTGTGTGTGTAGAAAAAAAGAAAAGAAAAAAGAAGAAAAAATGGAAAAATGAAAAATAGGGATTCACTGGCCAGAAAAAGTCACTTCAATCAGCTGTGTGGTGGATACCAGGCTACAAATAGTGGCGGTCAATTCATCAGCCTTGCAAGCTGTTGAATGGTGTAATCCCAGCACAAGTTACTATGTCTAACATAGCTGTTCGCTATCATTGCTTCCGCGATGGGCAGGTCTGAGGCTGAGGTGTGTGTGTGCGCGTACATGTGTGTGTGTGTGTACGTAAGTTTGCATGTTTACTCAATGTTGCATGTTTATGTGTGTGTGCGCGGGGGGGGGGGGGGGGGGGGGGAGGGGAGTGGTGGAGACAGTGAGCAAAGACCTCTCTTCGTGTGCACCTTTACCCACTGATAGGTACTGCAAGCATGGAGACAGCACACAATCTCACAACGCAATCAGCGCTCCCTTGTCACGGACAGAGGGCAGCGGTGCGTGCAGGACACCTTCCAGAAGTGGAAACGAGTTGCTGAGACGGCTAACGTCGCCATTGTCGTCATGGAAACAACAGTCTCGTCATGAGTTGTGGTGCTGTCCGGTCGTGCAGTTTAGCACTAGCGACTGATTAGGTGTCTCGTGCTGTGTGACTTGAAATGACTATACCTCAGGCTATGAATCCACGCATGATTTGGAAGAGTCCTTGACAGCGTTCTCTTCAGGTACGGCAAGACATTCGGTTTCATCATCTCAAGACTATCAATCATGAATTTTTTTCTTATGCTATAAGCATGTACCATAGACTTGAGGGCGTTCATCACTGTCGTACGCCAACTTGACGGAAATACAGATATTAAATGACATAATTTTACTGCCAGCGAATAATTGGTCGTAAGCTTATTTTCACATCCACATCATGTCCTGTATTATTGTGTTTAGTACTATGATTGAATGTCACACGAGCAAGTCTTCCCAGTCTGGGCCCTGTCGCCATTCATTAGTTCTAAAGAACCCATGACGTGTACTGGCTTCTCTTCTGGTTGAGTACATGCATAATCATTATTCTGTCCGGACATTATTGTGAATTTTCGCCCGATAACAATTCTGGCATTGATGTCACACCTAGTACCTCTGCCTCTACATGTCTTGACCAGTACTCGGCATACTCTCTCCGCACATGCTGAGACAGTCTGCTTCGACATGATTGTTAGATCCCATCAGTGGAGCTAACCATGGCTGCCCATTCATAATACTAATAGAAAAATCAACGAATGATACCGAGAGTACATAAAGGTTTATGTACTCTTGATGATACGCATGCACACACACTCACACACTCAGTCCACGCCTGCATGCACACTGCACACTACACACTGCACAATTCTGGTTGGTAGTCATCAAAGTCACCGCCGGTACACACAACAATCGTATATCGTATACAGTTGGAATGGCTTGCCATACACAGTACCACAGCACTGTGTAAACAGCCAGCCAGGCTAGACGTCCTATTCACAATCCAGCGCTGGTATAATCAGGGAGTAGTAAAAATACAGGTATTTTACTACTCTCCGCAGGTAATCTCTAGTGTAAGATAAGCACAGAATGCAAGCAGACGGTGAGAGCAGCTGTAGGGCAGGCAGTGAGAGACATGGAATGCAGTTAAGAAAGTGGAGAGAGAAAGAACGGTAAATGCAACTGGGGGAGGAAAGTCAGGATACGGTCAGTTAAAAACATCGGCGCGGCAACCTTTCTAGAAATCATACGAACAGCACAGGGTCGTAAACTGTAAAGTCTCTGTGTTATCTCATCATGCACACACACACACACACGCACACGCACGCACACACACACACACAAGCACACACGCGGCATACTTCTGTACATTGCACAGTCCGAGCAGTGCTGGTGCACACGTTCTGGAACAGCAACACGAATCGTGGTCCCCGTGAGCCGAGGCGAGCGATGGGGAGGAGAGTGGAGAACGGACGGACGCTGTTGTCTGTGCTCAATTGCAGTGCATGTACAGCAGCAACAGTACGGGATCAGGCATACGGTATTGCGGTATTAACACCATGGTTACGATCACTATGGAAACATTGCTGGTAATTCTATTATTGCATTGTAATAATGTACAGAGTAGCTGTGTGCAAATGGTATGGGCAGGGTTTAGTATAGACGAGGGGCACATGCTCAGCCAATGCACACTGTGTGTGTGTGTGTGTGTGTGTGTGTGTGTGCGCGCGCGTGCGCGCATGCATACGCGTGTGTTCGTGTTTGTGTGCGTGTGTGTGTGTGTGTGTTCGTGTGTGTGGGCGTTCGTGCATGCGTGCGAGTGTCTGTAGTGTGTACACATGTCATACGATTCAAGAGTCTTGAGCAGGCATTGAGAGGCTCAAGGCATTAGGCGCTTCACGCCTTTGAGCAGGCTTAGCCACCATAGTGCATTACAGACAGCGAGAGGGAGAGAGAGAAATAGAATATAGATACACACGTACACACATACGCAGGCATACCCAGACACAGACGGCAGCAAGCACACTTGCTGCCCGTTTGCAGAAAGACGTTTGTAGGAAGACGGACATCCACGGCTCTCATTTCAGCCTCCACCACTTCTTGCTGCCCTGGACTCTAGTGCGTGGCTGTGCGGCTGCGGTGGATGATGACGATGATGATTTGCGTGGATGTGGCCTTGGCTTTGCCAGCGGAGACGGGTCTGTGCCGGCCGGTTTGTCATGTCTGTTTGCGGCTTCGTCAATGTTCACTTCACGAGTGCGGGTTGTCTGTGAGTGAGTTCACACACGCGTACACACACACATGTACATACACACACAGACATATGCATGCGTACACACGTGTGCACGCAAACACCCACGCACACATACACACACACACACACACACACACACACACACACACACACACACACACACATGCCAAAACAACAGAAATTTGATTAGCTGCTGTCTACATCATGTACTTGTTATCTGAAGAACAAACAAAAAATACGGAGTACCAAAGCTAAATACTTTTTTCAATTTCGGCAACAACCAAAACTGAACTTGGTCGTCTGGAAATGACCTTGTTTTTACTTAGATTACGGTCCTTACAATCATGAGACAAGCGGTGCAGAGACAACGTTGTATCACAGCAATGAATAATGCTGGCGAGGTGTTTTCCCACAATTTCCGCCTCTAAACTTGACTTCTCAACTCCAAAAACGGTCTCTTCACTGCGATTCAAACCAAAATTAAAATAAACATTACACCAATGAATTAATGAATTATCCTGATGATGGGTCAGGCCCGAAAATTTGGTGTAATGTTAATTTCAATTTTGGTTTGAATCGCAGTGAAGAGACCGTTTTTGGCATTGAGAAGTAAAGTTTAAATGTGTTAGTGGCTGCGTTGGAGTTTGCGGACAATTAGAAAAAAATTCCGCCTCACTAATGTTATTCATCGCTGTGATAAATCATGAAGCAGCAAAGCAGACGCATAGAGCTACTTACCGGCAAATCCAGTATCATTTCCAGGTCCTCATGGCCTTTTGCTGTACACATACCCGCAGTGTACATGGTGACACGCACACATACACACACACACATGGACACACGGATACACGGATACAAGCATGAATACAAACACACATTAACAAACATACCGCACTATCTCTAATATAAGCACAGTCTCCAATAATAGAACACCTTGGGGCGGCATTCAAAAAATAAAGTGCTCAGTCTCCATTAAAAGCACACTGTGTAAATTCATTATCTGTACCGGCGAAAAAACCCTGAAATGTGTGTGTCTGACATGAATTTGGCATGGCAACATGCCTCTGAAATGAGGTTGAAATAATAATGGAAGTCTCCAATAAAGGAACGTCTCCATTAATAGCACGGGGCGGAGGTACATTGAAAAAATAAAGGACCGTGCTTATAAATAACCGACGAGGAGACAACAGTCGTAAAATAGCAATGAAAAATATCAATTGTGCACTCATAACCATGTATAAACAATTAAAATGAAACAATTCCAGAACGTTTTCGTGTGTCTGTAGCTATATAACTGGTTGTTTTAGTGATTCTTACTATGTGACGATGTTCCACTGATGATGGTCACACGAAAACGTTCTGGAATTGTTTCATTTTAATTGTTTATACATGGTTATGAGTGCACAATTGATATTTTTCATTGCTATTTTACGACCGTGCTTATATTAGAGATAATGCGGTAGGCACGCACGCATTATAAAGACACGAGATCCTTCCTTTTCGATATATCCCTTTGGTAATTGCCTGGTTAGAAGCTAGCATGCTGTATAGAGAGTCTGGTCATGATGAGTCCGAAGAAGAATTTAATTTTTGGATTGGTTAGATGTATAAAACCGTGCTTTCAAATTAATTCTAGCCATTCTTTATTCTCAGCCTTCACTGATGAGACATATAGTGGTCGAAACAGCGCTGTACAGAGTGAAAACTATTTCTCAGTATCTACAACTTGGAGTCATGTTGTTGGTGTGTGAGGTCGGCCAGAGAGCGGGTTTGGTGGAGGTGGAATTACTTTATTGATTGGTTAGATGTTACTAGTAACTGGTATTAGCCGCGGCTGCACCTCTAACCCAGTACCATGCATACAGAAACTCATTATGCACAATGCACACAATATACAAGTACAATACAATTTTAATCTCATCACAACAACAACTTTTATACACGCACGCACGCATACACACACAGCAAAATTCACAAACGTACCAGCACGGCGCTAAAACCACCACTACCACAATCGCCACTCCATTTCAGACGTCTTACAACATTAGTCATCCTTCACTCTTTTAACATCAAAGACTATGTGGAACTGATGCATACAAAGATCAAAATTGAGTTTCACAAGCCAAGAGACCAATACAGTGCTCCGGAATGAAATCCGTTCGTTGAATAGGTAGTGCCGTGCACCGTGCACTATGTACTGCACTATGCACTGCACCATGTTCACCCATCTGGAGTGCACAATGTCAGGTGGCACTAGCCAAGAGGCCAGACAGTACAGTACAGTACAGTGCGCTGAAACACAATCCGTTTTTGAATAGATAGTGCTCTGCACTGTGTACTGTCCAGTGTCGCACGTCTGAGATAGACAGCACCCGGTTGCACTGTAGTCGAGTCTATCAATCGGATTTAACCAGCATACACACATACATAATATTACATACACACATACATAATATTACATACACACATACATAATATTACATACACACATACATAATATTACATACACACATACATAATATTACATACACACATACATAATATTACATACACACATACATAATATTACATACACACATACATAATATTACATACACACATACATAATATTACATACACACATACATAATATTACATACACACATACATACACACTGTGCGAGTGTTGGTCGAACCAAGAGTACGTAACTCCCAAGCGTGTGCAACTCCAGCCTGAGGTGTCTGTGACGGCAGAAGTCTACATCACGTGACAAACCTGAGCACACGGTTTGCAAGACGAGCATTTCAGCTACCTGGTTGTGCGTAATCCCCTGCTCTCCGTACAACTCTCTGCTCTTTGCTTTGCACTGTTTGCCAGCAGACCTACATTGAACTATGGCATGTGATGTGAAGCGCTGCTGTTGCCGCAGCAATGGGTAAATATAGTACAGGCTGCTGCACCCTTTTGGCGGTTATGTACTCTCTTCTTGATATTGAGGAATTTGAATAATCGTCAAGGAGACAGTAAACGTAAAGATTGCCATATAAGCCCATTGTGCAATGACGTAATTAATAATTGTACCATAAACACCCCACACAGCCACCTGGGCATGGTCGTCTGGGGTGTTGAACACAGTGCATTGCTGATCGCAGCGTACTCACATGCATTACTCATACCTTCCATATTTGGCAATGCACAATGGGCTTATTGAGGGATTAGTAAGGATTACGGTGCTTAGCAGATTAGTTCCCATCAGACTTACGATCGTTGGGAATGGATTCCTGTCGCGTCCGAAGTCCGTCTTTGTGCGGACCTGCACCTTCAGTGGCATTCGAATTTCCGGCGGTTGCCTCGGTGTCATCGCTATGACAACCGGGAATGCATGCGTGCCAGCGAGTACACAGTTAAATGCATGAATTAGAATGGAACAAGAGCCACAACATCCGAATAGTGACAATTAATCACAAGAAGTGTACCACCTCTCCTATAAATCAGGATTATTCAAAATGGTGGTTCGGAGCTATTTTTGACTCCGTCAAGCAGCCGATAGTTCTGAAATACTGCCTTCTGACAAAATTGGCCGAGCTAAGAGAAATGCTTAGCTGCAATGCATGCACTGAATGAGAGGAGATACACCACTGCCACAGCACTAACGTTAGTACCGTAAAGTACCGCCAGAGCACCCCGTCTCGCGAGAGCGCCCCACCTTGATTCTACAGCCAGGGAAAGGAAAATCGTATGGCAGCGTGCAACGAAGCTTGTATGGTGTGAGAGCCTTAGTGTACTGAGGTGACACTAAGCAGGCTTTTGTGTGGAGCTCGTGTCTGCTCAAAGGTACGGATTGTCTGCAGAACGTGCAACATGGGTACGAAGTTCGTGTCGTATGACCTACAGACAGGAGACCAACTCCACAATACCACGAAAGGACGAGATGGTGGGGCGCTCTGGCGGTACTTCTCGGTACATCTAAGCCAGCAGCAGAATGCATAAATTAATTGAGTATGGAATAACCTGATATTATTTATTGGGATACACTAAACACTGCTACACAAACATACACATGCATACCACTTTGTATGCACACAAAGTTCCATACCACTGATCAAACACCGATGTTAAACAGAATCCCAATGCATTGCATTCACAGCATGCATGTCATTGTGTTTTTACAAAAGTCAATTTGCACTCAGAGCATGATGGTCGCACACATACCCGCACACGCACACACACATACATGCAGGCACACACATACACACATGCACAGACACACCCATACGCATGCACATGCACATTACACTGATTGTATTGACACATTTAGCAAGTCAACAGGCTATGCAAGATAGCAGTTAAAAGCAGTACGATGCATGTTACTGACCAGGCTAGAGTGCAGAAAGACCTTGCCATGCAAATCACATATATACATATGCATGCACTGCACTGCACTCGTAACAACTATAGCTCAGTAAACATCAACACTTTCCCGTAACAACTATAGCTCAGTAACCATCAACACTTTCCGCGATTGTTCGGATCACACAGGGTTCGTTATGAATAGTTTTTTTTTTTAGTTTCGTTGTCCCTTGTGTACCTACCGTATTTTCTGGAGTATAAGCCGCACTCTAAACACTTGTAGTTCAACACCAGAAAAAGTCAGTGTAGCTTATACGACTGTCAAATGCACGGCGATAAACAGGCTAGATGTTTGTATTTCGTGACAGACAATCTGAGCAGGGCTTATAATCCGGACAATAAAGTACATGACTGTGTATGTGTGTTCGGCATACATTGTTTAAACAGGAACAGTAGTTATGCTTGTGTGTGTGTTGTGTGAGAGAATATATTCTTACCCCTTTGACGCTAGCAGTCCAGAGATGGCTGCAAGGCCGGCGGCTGAGTCGGACATTTTCTTCGTCCGCACGTCTGTCGCGGTCAGACGATCACCTCTTTCTGATGCCGCCTGTGTGTGTGTGAGAGAGACAGATAAATGAGTAATAGAAGGACGGAGAGGGAGAAGGAGAAGAAGAAGAAGAGAGAGAGAGAGAGAGAGAGAGAGAGAGAGAGAGAGAGAGAGAGAGAGAGAGGAGGGAGGGGGGGGGGGGGGAGGCAGAGAAAGAGGGAGAGGAGGGAGGGGGGGGGGGGAGGCAGAGAAAGAGGGAGAGGAGGGAGGGGGGGGGGAGAGGCAGAGAAAGAGGGAGAGGAGGGAGGGGGGGGGAGGCAGAGAAAGAGGGAGAGGAGGGAGGGGGGGGGGGGGGAGAGGCAGAGAAAGAGGGAGAGGAGGGAGGGGGGGGGGGGAGGCAGAGAAAGAGAGAGAGGAGGGGGGGGGGGGGGGGGGAGAGGCAGAGAAAGAGGGAGAGGAGGATAGTATGTGTGTCAGTGTATACAAATTAGAGCAGTTACAAGTTCATGCACGTGGAGAAGACGGGAAATGAGGAAGAAAGCCAAACGCCTGGCACCCTCTAACAGCCTAGCATCACACTGAATGGCAGTTTGTGACAAAGTGGAATACCCCTCACGTCTTACCTGTATCATGCGCTCATTAGCTGTTTGCGGCGGCCCTGAAAGAACACAAAGCACACTATCAGTATCAATAGCAGCAGCAGCAGCAACACCAGTGAAAGCAGAAATAGCACCACGAGCAGCAGCAGCAGTAGAGCAGAAACAGTAGTAGCAGCAGTAGCAGCAGCAGCAGCAGCAGCAGCAGCAGCAGCAGAAAGCACAAATAGCAGTGGCAGCAGCAGCAGCAGCAAAAACAGTAGCAGCAGAGGCACCACATCTGCTCTATCCCACACATACATGTATTTCTAATCCTGAGCAGTCAACACTCAGGGATCAACCATATAATTATACAGAAAAACCTGTCAAGGTGACCACTCGGATAAGGCGACCACCTGTCCTAGAAGACCACTGAAACCTGGACCAAGGGATGCTATTTCCAGTCAAATGACCCGTATAAGGAGACCACCTGGTAACAGAGACCACGTTTTGAAGGTCCCTCAGTTGAGTGGTCGTCTTAGACAGGTTTCACTGTGTATCTTTCATATCACAATGCCAACACACTAGAACAGTAGGATTGTTTTGCCAAGTTACAGCAACACTGGCTTTGGTTTCTGTCCCAGGAGAGTCAATACAGGAAGTAATGGCTGCTGGCTGAAAATTTGATTCCGATATTAGAGCTTTGCAGCGTAAAGACCAGTTGATTTGAGGATGGCAGGTGTGGAGTACAGGAAGTGCTAGGGAAGACGCCCCTTGCTGACCATGACAGTGTACCAACCTGCTCTAGGCGTAGATGTTGCTCTTGGTTTGGGCGTTGGCTTGTCTACAGGGACAGCAAGAGGAAATAGTACACACAAATACCATAATATTATACCAGTTGAGAGCCGGACAAGGTTATAAGTCCCCATGCTATGGACTTCGATTTCCTGTTTCTCTTAGCCCCGGTTGTAAGTTGACTTCGCCTTTTTAGGTCGGTTTTGACGGATTTTCGGTCATAAAAGGGAAGAGGGGGAAGAGAAAACGGTCGAGGGTCCAGCACAAATACCTACAAGCCAGGAAGAATAGACACAAGAAAGTGTTGAATGGTATCTCCTGGGATGAATGAAACTAGGAATACAGACAGGCTGAGCTGTTTCATTCAATCAGACATCGGGAGAGAGGGGGGGGGGGGGGGGGAGGGGGGGGGGAGGAGCAGGGGGGGGGGGGGGGGGGAAGGGTTGGAGGAGGAAAATGCACATATCAGCAAAATAGAAAAAGGGAAAGTCAAGAGCTGTTCGTAGCTAGGAGAAACATGAGAAAGTGGATGTGGGCTAGGAGAGGACAATGGCCGCATGGCACAACACACTCAGTAGCTTACCATCGTGGGACGGAGAAGAGACGGACTCAGGAGGAGTATGGAATGAATCCATTCCACTCAGCACTTCGCTGACAAAGTCACCCTCTTCCTCGGCACGAGCTGCTTCATCGGCGAAGAAATCCTACAAAGGGGAACATGAGAGATGTCAACAAAGAGAATGGTTCAATGTTGTGATAGTGATCCTGTGAAAAGAACAACTTGACACTGGAGCAAGCTGTGATGAGTGTCTGTGTGTGTGGGGGGGGACCGGAGGCATGTGCATGTGTTTTGTGAAGCACCTGCTATGGCAAAGAGTTGACCCTCATCCATTCACAAACAATGCCGGTGCAGGAAATGAAAATAGGTGGGGGGGGGGGGGGTGATAGCCTCTTGGTTATCCTACAACCTACTTCATCCTGACCATAACGTATGAAGCTGGAAGGAGCCGATTCTTCTTTTCTCAACCACAAACTAGTAGTAGGTAGAATAAGTTACCGTTTCATTGGCAGGTGCATCGGCCTTGGCAGCTGGTGACGAGACGCTCTTCGCTTTCGACCTTGACGCTGGAGGTGCCGGTACTGGGGGTCCCTTACGCTTGGTATCCGACGCGGTTGCTTGCTGGTCTGCAGTGCCGCTCGGCGATGGTGTTCGCGTGCGGTTATGGAACAGACTGCCAAATGCCGAGGACAGAGTGTTGGAGAGTGTGCGCTTTTCGATGCCGGTGTCCGATGATGGGGTTGCAGACGCTGATGCCTCGGCCGATTGCGTTGTGGAGCGCTCTGCCAATAGCTCTACGTTACAATTGGCAACAACCCTGAACATACACACACACAATAGGAATTAAGAAAAACGTAAAAGCTTACATGTGTAAAGAAACATATTTTCACACGCCGAAACATATACATAGCAAGCATGCACGCACGTACCCCTCACCCCCACCTCACACCATGTACCAACACTTACAAACACATATTTGCGTGCACGCGTACACACATTACGTGCACACAAAGTTGCCTGCTCATAGAGAGTGTGCAGCAGGGTTGCTCGTGAGAGAGCCCTCAACGGTTCTCCTCGAGCTACAAGGACACCAACGATTGTATTTTTCAAGTATGAGAATCCGTTGAGGACCGAATCCTTGCTGAGTGCCTGCAGTTTGTTGACGGTGATCAATTCTACTTGTTTATAGGCACCAACGGACATCTATGATCTTACTTATGCCTGGGTGCAAGGGCAAGTCTCTGCAACTGAGATGGTGAGCGCATGTGGAAAGCTTCAAAGCGACGTGTCAATACAAATGTTCTCTGACCTCTGCAGGACACATACACATGGACAGACATACAGGCAGGCAGGCAGGCAGACAGACAGACAGGCAGGCAGGCAGGCAGGCAGGCAGGCAGGCAGGCAGGCAGGCAGGCAGGCAGGCAGGCAGGCAGGCAGGCAGGCAGGCAGGCAGGCAGGCAGACAGACATACAGAGAAGACAGACAGACAGACAGACAGATACATACACACACACCAGTGAACAAGCAGTGAACGGCGTGTAAGGTGGTAGGTACCTAGCGGCGTGTGGGCAAGACAGAAACAACAAGGTCCAAGCCTCGGAAAGGCACCAAGAGAGTGAACAAGTGAACCACTGGATAATGGGGAGAAAACACCTGAGTGATGAATGTATGCATGCGTGGATTGGAATGGGTTAGCAGGACTGTGTGGATCCATGGGTAGCAAGGCCGATAAGTGGATGAACAGAAGACAATGCAAACAACATACTAGGCAGAAAGGTGCACTAAAAGACCAGCATACTCGTAAAGATGGACAGAAGGAGATACTCGGAGTTGCAGCGAAACCTCAAGATAACACACCTCCAAGGGCCATCTACATCCGTACTTAATAGCCGGGGTACTGCAATCCGAGGTCAAATGGCTGCTATAGCATAATGTAGGGTCACAGAAACACCTTAGAAACCATAGTAGGTGTATGCGATCTGTTTCTTACCTGAAGTCGTCCCATCTCACTGCTGGAGAGCGCATGCGAACAGTCAACTCCGGTAGAGACAACAGTAGCGCATCGCCTTCATTGGAGATGATTCCAATCATCTGAGCGCCATCTGAGCAAGCACAAGCGCACACGTACACACACACACACGCGAGAAGGCACACACATGATAAGCTTTGAATTACAACACGTAGCAGCATGTGTAGTACCAACATCACAACAATCACTACAAAGTATTTTTTTACTGTCGTGGACATTTAAATCAGGTCGCACGCCGAGCGGCCTCAGGGCGCTGGCTATGCAGCCGTGGATAAGCGGTACACACACAACATGGATTTTATGCGCTGCAGCGTGCTGGTCGCATCAAATCAACATGTGCACTGCACACAGCGTTCTGTACGCGCTGAGGGCGCCGGCCCCGGTCAATCGACTGGATTTCCATGTTCGCGACAGTACAATGAGTAGATGACTTGCTGCCAGGTTGATATAACGTTAACTGAAGGTTGATATAACGTTAACTGAAGGTTGATTAGACTGAAGGTTTGTCTGAATTTATCTGATTAGCTTACAGGCATATTTCGACCTGAAATGGATCAGATGGGGCATAGGTCGGTTGATAAGCTTGCGCACACATGCCGAAAACTGTGTGTGTGTACTTGTGTGTGCAGGTGCCAATGTACGACTTTCAGCCGTTAGTGTCTTCTGAACACTCACCCTCTGTCTGAACAAATCCGGCCCGTTGAACCTGAGAGCCGTCAGAATCATACAGCTTGTACTTGGAGAAGTTCTTAAGACCAGGCAGGGTGACAACCTTGATCTGCTCCTCCGTACAGAACACGGCGTAGTGCGGAACGCGATTGTCTGCACCTACAAACACACATATGTGCATGACAACACACACAGACGTACGCATGCATGCACGCACGCATATGCACACACGCGCGCGCGCGCACACACACACACACACACACACACACACACACACACACACACACACACACACACACACACACACAAACACACATATATCATGAGCACGTTGACTGCATATAAAACACACAGACTGTTACGGATTCAGAATTATTTGATCCTGCACAGAAGCACCAGATATAATTATGACATGTGACACGACAAGACAAACAGGATACTCTTCACCAAGTACACCAAAAGGTGAAGCACAAGTCTGGAGATATGTGGATTTTGTAGAGAAAAACAAAACAAAAAACAAAACACAAAATAAAAAAACAAGCTGGAAAAGGACACTTACTCTTCGCTCTGTTCATTGAGATCTCGAACGAGCTGGCTATGTGCCGTCCACTGTGATCCACCACACCGAATGCAATGATTGGTGCTCCGTGCCGTAACGCAAACTCGCGCTCTGGAGTACACAAAAGAAGAAAGATGAGTACAGCCAAGAAGACTACTTCAGAAGGTGGTCTGGAGTCTGGACGATCACTGTAGGGGATGCGACCCAGACGCTTGCACTTCCCACTGTATGGTCTAGTTGAACAATCCTCCATGGGTACCCCTTCGTTCCTCACTCCCCTGCCCCTCCCCCCAACCATACACACACACTCCGCCAAACCGAGTCAATAGCCCGAGAGTTCACTCGACCCATTGATCAGTGGAATTATGACCCTTTGGACCTTTCGGTGCCATGCCAGATGGAGGGCTCTCATTGCATACACTGGGAGCAAGGTACAACCAAGTACTGTACACGCGCAATAGTAAAATAGTAAATAGTAAAACCTGTGACTAAAGACCACCCCTTGGGGCCAGAGAAAGCGGTCTTTAGTGGCAGGTGGTCCATAGTTAGAGGTTTGCACTGCACAACTATAGTATGAATGTGAGACCGTCCGTGCCTGGCGAAGTGGTGTGTAGTAGCAGGCTGGTCGCTAGTCACGGTGGTCTTTAGTTACAGGTTTTACTGTAGTACCAGGCTGGTCGCTAGTCACGGTGGTCTTTAGTTACAGGTTTTACTGTAGTAGCAGGCTGGTCGCTAGTCACGGTGGTCTTTAGTTACAGGTTTTACTGTAGTACCAGGCTGGTCGATAGTCACGGTGGTCTTTAGTTACAGGTTTTACTGTAGTACCAGGCTAGTCGCTAGTCACGGTGGTCTTTAGTTACAGGTTTTACTGTAGTACCAGGCTGGTCGATAGTCACGGTGGTCTTTAGTTACAGGTTTTACTGTAGTACCAGGCTGGTCGATAGTCACGGTGGTCTTTAGTTACAGGTTTTACTGTAGTACCAGGCTAGTCGCTAGTCACGGTGGTCTTTAGTTACAGGTTTTACTGTAGCACCAGGCTAGTCGCTAGTCACGGTGGTCTTTAGTTACAGGTTTTACTGTAGTACCAGGCTAGTCGCTAGTCACGGTGGTCTTTAGTTACAGGTTTTACTGTAGTACCAGGCTAGTCGCTAGTCACGGTGGTCTTTAGTTACAGGTTTTACTGTAGTACCAGGCTAGTCGCTAGTCACGGTGGTCTTTAGTTACAGGTTTTACTCTACTGTACCCATGAAATAGTACTTTCCCACCACTACCAACAACAACAAAGCCCTGTACACTGGACTGACCTATAGGTCTGAGAGCGACCGTCTCCTTGTAGCGATTCACCTCGGCCGGCAGCTCCATGCTGTACAGGAACGTACGGCCGCTGTTCGTGCAGCCAAACGCCGCCGGTGAGAGGGTCGAGGCTTAGCATCACAGCACACACACACACCATAACTTGTAAGTTAGCGCACATTAATACAGCACACAGTACAGTCAGCACAGACACTGTTACACAAAGCTAACGTACTGCTGCCGTCCTGTGACTGTATAAACAAGATCATGATACTGGAGGTGTAAACGTAATCAAGTGGTGTGCTTCACTGTCCGAAGAGTGCTCAATACCCATGTAGGGCAGAGCCTTGTACACAAGAGAGATTGGAAGCTTCGTCACAACTCTGAGTTTCACGTATTACTACGATTTTTGTTGCCTGATGATCGTAGTAATACGTGAAACTCAGAGTTGTGAAAAAGCTTCCAATCTCTCTCTTGTGTACTGGATGTGTAAACTAATTAAAATCGAAGAAATCACACGGAAACGAATTACGAAGCCACTATCCACGACTGTAACAAGACAATGAGCAGTCAGAAAGTGCGATAACAGGGCACAAAGCTGACATGTTACTTATTTTTGTTTTCCGGGCATTCTTGCATGCAGGTCGACATCAACAGCAATGGTACTATTGAGCGTGCGGAGTGTGCCTGCCCACATGATCGCTTTCGGTGCCATCACATGGCCGTTGTTCTACTTCATGCAAGGCACACGGTATCTAAAACGGACCGCGAGTGCAGCTGGACCAAACGGAAGAGTACTGACGAGGAGAAGACCGTAGATGCGCTCTACCCGCCTGCCAAGAAGGACTACTGCGCAACAAGTAGACCAGGAACCGATGAAGACAGGAAATGGTTTGCAGGGAGGCTCTCCACCATTCCCGGTGGTGTGGTTATGGCCTGGTTCATGCAGGAGCGCCAACAAAAGGAAGCTAGTGTTTCCGTTGCCACTGTTGACCTGCTGCTGTCAAGCAAGCCGTACGCCACACAGCCGTATGGCATCAAATCACCGGTGCACGACTTGGCTGTATCTCCGGACCAGGTAACGCAAGTAGAGAAGATCACACGTGGCCAGGCGAAGAACCCCATGTAGTCCTCTTACAGGCGTGGCCGAAAAACCGCGTCAAACTTTGGCCCCGTTATAAAAGCGGCCAACTAATCACGCCAGCCGTCAAAGTTTCTTCTAAAGACCCTGCATGGACAGCATGACGCAATCTGGCTCCCGTGCAGTCCAGTGGGGTGTGGAACACGAGCCTGTCGCCATGGCTCTGCACTGCGAGACTAACGAAGCGGAGGTCCGTATGTCAGGAATCTGGCTTCACTCCAGCGGTCTCCTGGGCGGATCTCCAGACTATCCAGCCCCCCTCCCCCACCCCGCCCCGAGTAATGCCCCCTCCCCTTCCCCTAAAGAAATAGGGCTGCGATGGCAGTGATTGCCACCAACCCAGGTACACCGTCGCCTGCTACAGTCGACCTACCCTTATAACGATAACCTCTATAACGATATTACCCTTATAGCGATATTTTTCTGCCAAACCAAATCACTCCATTGACTTGTGTATACAATGCCTTACCTCTATAACAATATTGCTATAACGATATTACCCCTATAACAATATAAAATGGGCTGACCAATCGACATTTTCCATTTTATAACAATATCTAGCAGGGAATATGTAGAGCCCACTATCCAGGTAAGGCAAGCTTCACTTGATAAGTCGCTGGGACACGACGAAATGCAACAGGGGCACCGGTGGGCACCTTGCTGTGTACATAATGTGCATGTAAAATGATGTATATCAGTTTTTTATGCTATGAAGAGTGTAAAAAATGAACAAAATCCATGCATTATGACGTATGTGTATGAAATGAACCAGTTACACCAAGAGTAGATAAACAAGAGTGTGCAACTCCGGATCTCTCCTGCACAATCTGCAGATACCCCGCGCCCACGGCGGAATTTTTTGTTTACGTCACCTTTTTTCAGAGAAACGCGGCTTTGCCGCAGAGCAGTGTGAGAGCACGTGCTGGGCACCGACCTTGTAGTGTAAAGCCCAGCCAAGTGCACGAGGGAAAACTCTCCAAAAGGCTCGCAGCGCGTGCGTCGTCGAAAAGATTACGTCAACAAAAAATTCCGCCGTGGGCCAATCCATCCGGAGTTGCACACTCTTGTTTATCTACTCTTGGTTACACCTATAACAATATTACCCTTATAACAATATTTCTTGGTTTGACACAAATATCGTTATAAGGGTAGGTTGACTGTACATGGCGAGATTGTGATGGTTATCATGTGTGTCTGAAAAGGAAGAGTACCGTATTTCCTGGAGTAAAAGCCGCACTTAAACCACTTGTGATCCGCCCTAAAAATGCCGGTGCGGCTTGTACTATCAAATGAACCGCGACGTACAGGGTAGATGTGTGTATGTTGTGACAAAAATCTGGGTGCGGCTTATACTCTGGGAAATACTGCACATGTTAGGTTTTTGCAGTCAGTTGGTAGCCCATATGGGGCCACAGGACCTTTTATCTGAGTCTCAGCAAAAAAATACTAAAAATAGGGCAAGTGTAAAGTTTCACAACTTCATAATCCAGCCAGCTAGGTTGTGGAGCGTTTGTGAAATGTTGGCCACGGCTGTTTTCGTCATGCCGACCAATTTTAAGGTGATGTATCCACAGTGCCGTGTACTTACATCCCGGCGCGAACGTGTTCGAGAACATCAGGCAGCGCACTCCGTTACCAAGCTGGTCGCGTCTCTGCTGGATCTCCTCCTCGGTCTCTCGCTTCTCCTTGGGGCGCGTGGGCGGCGCGGCACTGACTGCAGAGGCGCTTCCCTGGGCCATCGGCGTGTCGTAGTTGTGGCGCTGGCGTCGGCCGTTCAGCACGCGCACGCTCTGGTTGCGTATCCGGCGCACGGTCAGGCGGAACGACTTGCGAATCGACTGCAGTCGCGAGAGAGTGTGGCGTGATTCTGTACGGGGGTAACAGGGGGTCACAGTGGAAAGGGAGCATGCGTTAACACCTCGAGAAAGCACATGCATCATACAGCACATTGTTCACGGGATTTCCAGGTTGCCAGCAAACCCTTTTCTTCTATATGGAGGCTCCACTGAAGCCAACTAATCATCACAAATATTTGTACAGAAAACGTAAAGGGATTGACACACTACCGCCACCAACACCACCACCGCAGGCACCATAGGGGTCAGGGGAGATTTCACAGGTCCACGTTTCAACGGCCATGGTCACACAGGTCAGGGCTACACGACATTAAAAAGAGGGCGTCCAATCCACTTTGACATACAGAGGGAATTGGGCTAACACCTGAGTTCAGCCAAGAAGGCCTGTTCTTTTCATACATGTATAAATCCAAACGTGCCAGAGATAAAATAAGGCAAACCGAAACTTGTCCTCCTTGTTGCTATAAAACCGAACACCTTCCGAGTTATTAACAAGGCGAACTTACCCTCTTCTAGAATGGTACACTCCGTGGCCAGCACTCTCGATTGGAAATAGTCGATGACGGAGAGGCCTCGCCGACAACCAAACCCAACTCTGACCGCCAGCAAACACGGTAAAACAAAGAAGAGATGTATCAAGAAAAGGGAGACACACACACAGGTGCGTAGCCCGCATGGGGCACAGGGGGGGGGGGGGCACATACCCCCTCCCCGAAAAAATTTCGACCTAGGTTCTGCATGCACATAATGACAATGAATGACATGCACCAGCCATCCTACACATGTGCGGCCGTGCATCCCCCCCCCCCCTAAAAAAGGGACCAGCTACACACATGCACACACACACACATATACACACACACACACACACACATACACACATACACACACACACACACACACACACACACACACACACACACACACACATACTCAGGAAGAGGGAGAGGAAAAATGCAATACTAGTACAATGGAAATATAATACTGCATGGAGACGACTTACAATCCGTATTGACTGCTGAGTGACAGGGCAATGATGGGGGCAGGCGGGCAGATCAGCAGGCCCACTGACGGCTGGAAACCTGCCGCAACTTCCAGAGAGCCTGTCTGGAACTCCAGCATTTCGTTGAGCTTCCGCGAGATGTCCTCACCGTCCAGCTTCATCTCGACGATTTGTTGCTGTGCACAGCGGACACAATGCAGCATGCACCAAATTAGCACAATGACATCGTTGCATTTGTCATCTATCAGTTATATTCAGGCATGGTGGTGAACTACATATACTGCGTGGCCAGAACGACATTTCCTTAGCTGGTTGGGGAGTGTTTTCTTCTTCAATAGCACAGATAATATTTGTGGACTCGGATGGAGAGCCAAGGATAAATTTATAAAAAAAAGGACCAAGGACATTATAGAGTAACTTGTAGTTCCTGGCTATTTTTTTAATTATATTTGTGGTTGGTGGTAACACGGATGTGAAAACTACTCTTGAAAATCACAAAAAGAAGTGCGAGATATTTGTACTCTAGGCATTTGGTCAATCGTACTGCTACTACACAGAGCGTAACTCCAAGGTATCAGCATACTTTGCTGAGAGCGCGGAATAGTTTCAATGTGACAATTGATGGCTACTGGTACATAACTGACCCTGAGTGAAGGAGGTGTGCTTTATCGCTACAATATTTCCCCGATTTTTTTCGACCATTTCAGCTGCCATAATTATGCCCTGATCATGCCTCGTGCGTGCTTCACAGCATCGTTTCGTTCCCTGGTTCTTCCTCTATATTTCCCCGACTGAAAGTTGTATCTTTTTACAATACAGTGTAAAGGCTGGGGTTGAAGACGAGGGTGCGACATTCAATCGAATGTGATTCACCACTCCAGTAAACACACTGAACGTAAACTACAGCGACATTAACAGGGAGCCACTTATAATTAGATGCAACTCATCATCGGGAAAGTGCGGCAATAGGGCTTGAAAGTGCGACGTCCCAGCATAGCAACAATTTCAAAACTTCAAAAACTGGATCCACTTGGATCCAGTTTTTGTATGGATCCAAGCACATTTCAAGCGGTCTTACCCACAGCAAGGTGATAATTATAGCCAGTGAAATTGACTGGGTTGGCTAATGGCGGTGGGGTGACAACTGGTGGCGAAGACAAAGTAACATCTGCATACGACATGCGTGGGTTGCTATGCACCCACGCACTGAGGCAATAGCAAAGTCACACCTTAGTGGATCCAAAATACACATCCGATGTGAACTTACTGCTCCCTGGCCATTTTTGACGTCATCACTTTCAAGCCCTATATAGATATCGGTTAGCTCTTCTTATCGCTGATCCCATAACCCAGTTTAAAAGCACCCTCTCCCAATTGCGTGGACTTACATTGAACTGTGAGAGCGATGCTTCGGCGGCAAAGTCAAACACAAACACTTGACCACCGTAACCGGCTATTGCCATTGTCCGGGACAAGGGACAAACTTCAATCTGTATGCACAGAACACACATACATGTGCACACACACACACACACACACACACACATACACACACACAAACACACACATACACACACACAAACACACACATACACACACACGCACACACGCACGCACACACACACACACACACACACACACACACAACACACACACATGATTGCACACACAAACACCTTGTCAGACACCATCCTCCCGCACAAGCACACATACAGATATCCATAGGTGAAGAAATGCTTAATTCGGGGGACAGAATGGTTTCGTCCTTTGTGGACTAATCAGCACAGCACGGAGAAAATGAGGCCGAACCGGGTAGCAAAGAGATGAAATGTAGAAATGCTTTATTGCTGTTTTCATTGCTGAGACACACGGTTTGTCCCATGGATGGGAACTATTATGGTGACCCAGCAGTCTCAACCGGGCCGTCACCGACCGAAGAGTTCTAACACTGTTGTTCCATTGCAGCCTCGGCACTGACAATGTGTAAGCTGACCACTACGCATGACCTACACTTCAACAGTCAATTGTGCTACATGGCTCACATGAAAGCAAAGTTAGGCGTATCTCACCTGCATAACAGCGAGACGAGGATCGTCGCAGAACGGGTCAAACGTTCCCGCTTTGACAAACACCGGCCATTTGTCCGCCTCCGCCTCTTCCATGTCATCCTCTTCCGGCGGGATGTCTACGTTGATGAAGAAGCTGTTCGTCGTCACCTTGTAGATTAGCGACATTGACACTGGAACAGAGAGCACACGAGGAAGATGGGGAAGAGGGAGATCGGATTAGAGAAGCCCATTGCATGATGCAGACAGAAAGGTGCAAGACTGAAACAAGATGGCAGAGTAAAACTAAAGAACTAAAACAGTGTGTTCCTCGGTGACTTCAGCCTGCAAGACGAAAGGTAATGCTACATTCATCATGCACCGAAGGAAGACAATCATCCCAAACTTTGAGAACAACGCCTCTTCCTAGCAATACTACACCAATGCGAGAAATTTTATTGGTTTTGAGGGAAAGATGCAAACGGGAAAAGTCTGAAAAATTGACAGTCACCAGCAGGACTCGAACCAGGGACCCTCGCTTGCGGCTGGCGATGCTCTAACCACTGAGCTATGGTATACGGCTGTCACACCAGCAAAGGCCGTTGAATATGTGAGAACACAGGATAATTCCCTTCTACAGTAAAACCTGTCAAGGCGACCACCTGCCCTAGAAGACCACAGAAACAGCACCAAGGAATGCTACAGTGAAACCTGTCTAAGACGACCGCTAAAGAGACCTTCAAAACCTGGTCTCTGTTACCAGGTGGTCTCCTTATCCAGGGTCATTTGACTGGAAATAGCATCCCTTGGTAACGGTTGCAGTGGTTGATGTATATGGATTCCCCCATGCCATATTTGACCTGTAGTTCATGTACTCCCGTACTAGATTTGTACCACAGTTGTATGACCTCGCACCATAACGGCATGCTTGCTTGGCTTGGGAGATACTTCCGTGCTTCATGTGTTTTGCCTCTTCAGTGGTGTTTTCCTTCTCTTCAGATTTGTTTTATAATAAATGTCTTCTTGCTATCTGTAGACATATCATGGCGCAGTGAACTGTTCGTTCCTTGTAGAACTCACCTGTGTGTTTAGTTTCTCGTGCTTTGTGTTTGCACCTCGTTGTGTTGCGCACTGGCCGATTTTTTTGTAGTTTGTTCGTGATACCAGCATTTGCGTAGGTTGCGACCACGATGTCCGACTCAGACCCTGCTCCTGACATTGTTGCCCTGACCGCGATGTTGGCGGCACAAATGAAGTCCTCAGAGGAGAGGGAACGTAAAATGGCTGACCTGTTCCAACAAACTATACAACGACTGACACAACCAACACAACAACCCGTGCAACCCAGCACCACATCACCAGCTCCAAAGCCTGTCTCTGCGGAGCGACCGATTTTACTGTCGTCCTCGACATTAGCCGACTTCACGGCATGGCAGGAAATGTGGCGAGACTATTATGAGTGCCAGCACCTGTCAGCCCAGAGCCGTGAGACCAGAGTATCCTCGCTGCGGCAAGCTCTTGATGAGGAGCTACGCAGATTTCTCCGCGAGGGTATTATCGTGACTTCTCCGAATCCCGATGCGGACGATGTGATTTCTGCAGTCAAGGAATATTTGCGACGGCAGCGCAACCCACTCCTGGATCGTATCGCATTTTACGACAGGTGTCAGTCGAAAGGCGAGTCTTTCGATTCTTTTTACACTTCGTTGAAAGAATTACACACTAGCTGTGATTTTCCGGACGTTGTTTTGTGCTCACAATGTTCAGCACACACATGTAGTACCTGTCGCACAAGCCTGACACGTGTGCGTGCTGACACCCTGCGTGACAGGATTGTCATTGGAATTGGTGACGACGCTACCCGGCACAAGCTATTGTCTGCCAAGGACTTGACCCTGAACGATGCAGTCACAATTTGCCGGGCGGAGGAAGCGGCTACCACGACGAGCAGCAGTATCCCGTCCACCAGCCAGCTCAATGCTGTGCGGCGGTCCGCGTACCAACGCAGTAAGCAACAATCCCGACAGGGACAGCCTGGCAGCAAGATGTCTGCACCTGTATTGCCATCTGCATCCGCTCCCTCGTCAGGAAGCGACACACACAAGAAGTGCCCCAATTGCGGCCGGAGCCCGCACACAAAGTCTAGTTGCCCTGCCAGCGGCAAGAAATGTAATGGCTGTGGCAAGACTGGTCACTTTCTCGCTATGTGTAGGTCGTCGTCACAATCGGACCGTAACGTGAAGCATGTGGGCCAACTGAAGTTGCAGCGTACTCGTCTTGCTGCGCAGCCTACAGTGCGTGTGTCCACCCGTTTAGCCACTGAGGATGAGGCAGTCACGCTACCCTGGGTCCCTGATACTGGCAGTGACGTCGATGCCATTGGCGAGCATCATCTCGAACTGCTTGGCGGGTTCCCCGAGAACCTCGACCATGACCCAGAGTGCGTCCTAGCGGCATCTGGAGAGCAGTTGCAGAACGTCGGCAGTATTCGTGCTTCACTTCAGGTTGGCGAAGTACAACACAGCACCGTAATCCACGTGTACAAGGGTCTGGACGATGCTCTTCTATCACGTTCGTCCTTGAGTGCACTCCAGCTCCTCCCGTCAGATTGGCCTGCACAGTACCCTGCTGCTAATGCTGCCGCGCCACCTAAGGTCCGTGCTGTATCAAAGCCTGTTGTCAATCCTAGCTCTGCTGATATCGCTCGTGTTCGCGATGAGCTACTGCAGGAGTTCTCGGACGTGTTTTCCGACACTGGCTTGAAGGCGATGGCAGGTCCTCCGATGGACATCCAACTTCAGCCAGATGCTAAGCCGTCATGTGTCCATACCGCACGCCCGATTCCGTACGCGTTTCGTGACCAGGTCAAGTCACAACTGGACACAATGGTTGTCGATGGCATAATCGAGCCTGTCAGTGAGCCTAGTGAATGGTGTCACCCGATTGTGCTCGTCGACAAGAAAGGTACCACTGAGAAACGCCTCACCGTCGATTTCAAACGATTGAATGACCAAGTCCTGAGACCAGCCCACCCTGTTCGCACCGCTCGCGATGTGGTTTCTGGTATTGGATCGGCACAGTTCCTCACCAAGCTTGATGCAAGGCACGGATACTGGCAAATCCCACTGAGTGAGCAGGCATGTCCAATGACCACATTCATCACCCCATACGGCAGGTATCGTTTCCTACGCAACCCTCAAGGCCTGATTTCCGCCGGGGATGTTTTCAACTGCCGCACTGATGCTGCGTTCGATGCAATCCCGAATTTCGCCAAGGTTGTAGATGATTGCCTGGCCTATGATGACGACTTTGCCTCCCATGTCACCCATGTTCGTGACATCCTGCTGTGTGCTCGACAGCATGGCATTACTCTGAGCCCGTCCAAATTCACCTTTGCGTCACGTCACATCCATTTCTGCGGCTACATTGTCAGTCCAGACGGCTGGGTTGTTGACGATGACAAGGCAGCGGCTATTCGCGATTTTGACATTCCTGCGAACCGCACTGATTTGCGTTCGTTTCTTGGCCTGGTGAACCAGTGTAGCGAGTTCTCACCACACCTCGCCGCCTGCACCACTCCGCTTCGTGGTCTGTTGAAGACGACCCGTGAATTTGTCTGGGATGCCAACCACACTGTTGCGTTCGAGAAGACCAAGTCTACTCTGCTGTCTCCTCCTATCCTGGCCTTCTACCAGCATGGACACGACCTCCGTCTGGAGACTGATGCCTCTGCACTACGTGGTCTCGGCTTCGTTCTGTGGCAGAAGCAGGATGATAAGTGGCGAATCATCCAGTGTGGCTCCCGCTACCTCTCTGACGCCGAATCTCGCTATGCTGTTGTTGAGCTCGAGATGCTCGCCGTCGTTTGGGCTGTGCACAAGTGCAAGTTGTACTTATCCGGCACCCTATTTGATCTGATCACCGATCACCGTCCGTTGATCCCGATTATCAACGCGTATTCTCTAGATCAGATCGAGAATCCTCGCCTTCTCCGTCTTCGCCTGAAGCTGCAGTCGTTTCAAGTGCACGCTTCCTGGCGAAAAGGCTCTGATCACGCGTTTGCTGATGCGCTGTCTCGCAATCCCGTCGGCATCCCGTCTTCAGATGATGAACTCGGCGAAGCCCCTGCGCTTCATTGCCGCAGCATCCGCGTCTGCATGCTCCGTGATGATGGTCCTCACCCCAACCTGAAGTTTGTTGAACTTCAAGCAGCCGCCTCAGCTGATCCTGTATATCAGTCTCTTGTCCAGTGCGTTCTGCATGGTTTTCCCGCTCGTCAGCGTGATTTGGATGCTCCACTCCAACCCTTCTGGAATGGACGTGAACACCTGTCAGTGGACCAGGGCATCGTCATGAAAGGCCAACGCATTCTAGTTCCCTTGGCTATGCGTCAACGCGTTCTTGCTAACCTTCATGCCTCGCATCAAGGTCTCGTCCGCACTAAGGCTCGCGCCCGACAGCTCGTGTACTGGCCTGGTCTCACCGCCGACATAGACACCCTTGTCCGTGCCTGTTCCGCGTGTCGAGAATTCCAGTCGTCGCAGTCAGCCGAACCACCGATGAATGACCGTCATCCTACTCTGCCGTTCGAGTTTGTGTCCGCTGATCTGTTCTCTTGCCAAGGCTACGAGTTTCTTGTTTATGTCGACCGTCTGACTGGTTGGCCGTGCGTTGTTCGAACCGGCAGGACCACGTCATCACACGATGTCATTCTCGCTTGTCGTCGTTGGTTTGCCGATCTGGGTGTGCCTGCTGTACTGTGCACCGACGGTGGCCCCCAGTTTGCATCGAAGAAGTTTGCCGACTTCTGTAGCCGTTGGCAAGTGCAACGCGTATCCTCTTCCCCGCATTATCCCCAGAGTAATGGACATGCGGAAGCCGCAGTGAAAGCTATGAAGCGCTTGCTGCTCAAGACCTCGTCAAATGGCAATCTCGACACAGATGCATTTCGTCGTGGTCTACTGGAGTGGCGGAATACGCCCGGTCCGTCTGGCAAGAGCCCAGCTGAGCATCTTCTCGGGCATCCACTTCGGTCTTTCGTCATTGCTGAGTGGACGCAGTTTGATTCCTCGTGGTCGACCGTCGCTAGTGAGCGTGAAGAACAGTCACCACCCTCGACACGTGTTTCCGCCAGTACTCCCACCCACCGCTCTCTTCCCGTTCTCCGTATCAGCACTCCTGTGGACGTCCAGGATCCGAAGACGAAGCGTTGGACAACCCGTGGCGTGATTGTGGCCATTGGGCAGCACCGTGACTATTTCGTCAAGTTGGCTAGTGGTCGAGTTTATTGGAGAAATCGCCGTTTTCTTCGTCCGTTCACTCCACCCGTGCCATCACCAGCACCATGCGTTTCACCACAGCCGTCTGTTGTCGTTGCTCCTGCTACGCCTCCTCCTCTGCGTCGCAGCACACGAGCGCACCAACCACCCTCTCGTTTGAACATTTCCTCCACCCGTGGACAATCTTATGCATCTTGATTTGGTCTGGACACATCGTGTACATGTTCTTGAGGATTGTTCTCATATCGTATCTTTCTGTATCCTTGTGTGGCATGCTATGTCTGTTCCGCCGTGTGCCGTTGCTTGCCATACTTATTTGTTTGTTTGTTTGGATTTGATAGATAATACTGGATTTGTTTTCTCAGCATTATCTCGAAGGGGCGTGATGTATATGGATTCCCCCATGCCATATTTGACCTGTAGTTCATGTACTCCCGTACTAGATTTGTACCACAGTTGTATGACCTCGCACCATAACGGCATGCTTGCTTGGCTTGGGAGATACTTCCGTGCTTCATGTGTTTTGCCTCTTCAGTGGTGTTTTCCTTCTCTTCAGATTTGTTTTATAATAAATGTCTTCTTGCTATCTGTAGACATATCAGTGGTCTTCCAGGACAGGTGGTCGCCTTATCCAAGTGGCCGCCTTGACAGGTTTTCCTGTATTTCCAGTCAAATGACCCTGGATAAGGAGACCACCTGGTAACAGAGACCAGATTTTGAAGGTCCCTTGAACGGTCGCCTTGACAGGCTTTACTGTATTTTAAGGAACGTGAATTCAGCTTGCTGTTAAACCAGCAAGTGGAAGTCACGATCCATGTCCTATCTATCATGGACACAATAGCCAAGGACTAACAGAACATCAATCATTCACTCACCACCCGTGGCATCCCAAAATCGTATTGATCCATCTTCGTGCCTGTTCATGCAAACACCACGCACACATAGACACCATGAGTCACACATGGACAGACATATAGAGCAAATTGCAGGAAGAAAAAACAAACCACATTGAACTACAAGCTAAGCTATAATGTCCGCTAACACCCTCTGCTACTTGACAATCAGCTCATGCGATAACATCGCACGGCACTGACCAACGGTACTGACGTTCTACAACTAACTGCCAATCAGCTCTAGCACGTCACTTGACAACAAAATTACGATTTCGCATGCGAGCCAGTCGGACTGACTTTTCCGCATCCGCGTACACATGCCTGCTCAGTGTTGGTGCACTCACAATCAATCACAGTGTTCTGCGAGGAGAGGTGCTATATTCCCTGATGTAGCCCCAGGGAAACAATTGAGATCATAAGTTAACAGTTGAAATGGGACGTATGCATCCATTTCCCGCCATTAGGTTTTACAGGGCAAGTCCACTACAACCTTACACACTGTGATACCAGCTCTGCATAAAAGGTCATGAACTTTGTGACGTCATACTGACGTAAAAGTACTAGAACGGGTTGTACCTGCCAAGCATGGGGTGATTTGCCCCGCAAAAAGGTGATGGCCATCTTAGATGCATACCTCCCAGCGCAGCGAAAGACCATAGCGGTGGTCACAAGGTGATAGTTTCAAGAGAGGTGATAACACCAAACAAAAAGGGCACTTCTTTCTCACACGTCACATCAGCCATGACTAGTGCAGGGTTGGCTGCGGACAGCCATATTGCAAGACAAAAAAAGGCACTGCTGGGCTGTCCAAAAGCTTGTAATACTACTCACCCGGTCAGTAGTAGGTTGTGATTTTTAGTTGCGTCTTGTTCACCACATAACACTCCGCCACGAATGGGCCAGGGCTGACCATGGAATATTGCAAGAGAGGTGTACACACACGTACACACACGTACACACACACGTACACACACGCATGCACGCACACATGTACGCACATACACACACACAGTGCAACGGCGACGGCAACGACAACAACAACAACAACAACAACAGCAACACCAAGGTTGAACAGCTCGTCTATTGGGAAGGTTGCAGCAAGCAAACCAAGGAATCTAGAGATATGGCGGCACAATCGCTTTGCATGCAACCACAGCACAAATAGAATAGATTCAGAGGAAATATATTCAGAGGCAACAGACACATCATAATACATTTTGCCTTCTTGTTACAGTATTTCAAGGTTGGAGCTACACATGGATACATGCCGCTGACCCCAGTAAGGTGTTGTGAGAGAGGCCCCGTGAGGCATGGACAAGGAGAGTTGAACATATTCTCTCCAGTGCATGCACCTCGAGATCCGCCAAGTGTGGCCCTATGGGGCTCGCCAGTGCTACATCACAGCCAGCCCGGAGTCATGACTACACACTCTTAAGGCCACGCCGTTTTTTCTATGTTTCGCGTCACCTTGTTCGATGAAATCAATGAGGGAGGGCGAAAAAAATAGAAAAAGCCATCCTAAAAAAACATTGACATTGCATTGTAGAGTGTAGACCCGGCACTGTTCATGTACATTGAACATTATTTTAAACTCACACATGCATGAATACATGAGTGTATCCCCTCTGCCATGCTTGTGGTCCAAACACAGGCGGCATGATGATTGTGTGACTTGCGGCCCAGCTTATTAGTATTACACACACATGTACATGTACCGGTACATGTACATGACATTGTATGTGAGCTGAGTACAAGCATGCGATAAATAGAACAAATGATGCCAACATAATAAGAGTTACCGTATAACGATCATGTTCCGTTTTTTCTCTTTTGGGTTACATTTTTCCTTTTCTGGTTTTCTGGGTCTGCATTAAATTTGTATTGCATTTTCTAAAAATAAAAAATTATGTTCGTTTTTTTGTTTTTGTTTTTTGAACGGCTGTGAAATACATGCGCGCGGGGGACGCGAAACATACATAAAAAACGGCGTGGCCTAAGCCTGATTAATTAAGTCAAAATTTGCGCCTCGGAGAAGTGTTGGAGCTAGGTGTCAGGTCGCCAAATGTCTCAGTACTCCTTGTCAGTTTTGTGCCATTTTGTCGCACTCGCTGACTGTATAAGATCAGGTTACGTTGGTGGACAGTTAGACATAACTCGTAACATGTTGTCCTTCTCCTTTTTCACCATAATTTAATTGGCTCACCATCCGAGTTCAAAATTTATACACAAGACAAAAGACCACTAGAAGAAGCTCCGGGCCATCATTCGCTATCCGGCATGCACTCACCCGTGTTGACTTTTCTGGCGGTTCGTAATTCGCGTTGTGCAGAGCCTGGATGAAGTCAGGCGGACAATCGGCTACGTGCTGTATGCAGGTTAGCGGCGAGTCGTGCAAGCTGTACAGATACGGCTTCGGTATTGACGGCAGCCTGGAGCGGCATTGAATGGAAGACAAACGACATGTGAACAGACAGATCAAGATGGACACACACACACGTATACATACGCATCCAGGTCCGTTGATCGGTTGACGGCACGTTACAAGGCGGAGGACGCACTGTGTTGAAAACAATCCTCCTGACTACAACCATCATCGGTTGGCAGAGCCCCGTTCCTGCGACCATTTGAACGGCCTTGTAACATGCTGTCAACCAATCAGCATGTTATTCAACCAAACAAGGCTTGCCTATTCCATATCCAGGTTGGTAGCGCCAGGGTTTCAGTTGGTCCGGCCAAATGGGACACTTGATTGAAATGACTTACGAAACAATCACCCTATCCACGAAACGGACGGTCAACTTTGAAATAAGGTCCGACCATGGGCGGACTGGTTGGACCAGGTTCTTCGGCTTTGATATTTCACTGTCACTGATGAACTCATGAATCGATACCAACAGTGCACTGATACCACACTTTTACCAATGAACTCATGAATCTAGAACAAAAGTGCATTGCTTCAGAACCACTAGCCTTGATTTTCCTCAGTGAATTGAAGAATCATAGCTAGGTTTAAATCTTCATCAGAAACAAAGAAACAAAGAGTTAGGACAAATTCACACAGGCTTACCCTGGCGTTTTCAAGTCGATGGCGACCAGCTCCTCCTCACAGAGTACAATGAGAGTGTCGGGATTTCCCTCGTCGTCGTCCACCAGGCTGAACTGAATGACGCGCGACGTGAACTCCAGCCCAGTCAGGTCCTTGCCGACCTGCACTGACACACAAAACTTGTCACCGTACTCCTGCCGTCCGAGACCGCCCTCGAATATCAGCATGCCGTCACTGCACACAGACACACGGAGAAACAGAGGTGTATGTATAGCTACGTGCGCACAAGTACGTACACAAGAACATACGTATGTACAGTCCATTTTAAAAATATAGACGCATGGTATTTTTGAAATAATATTTCAAATTTTACACGGATAGTCTGTATGTATCGCAATTTTCTGCGGGTCACGGCGACTTCTGAGTAGCAGTAGATGGATTTCGCCTCGCAAACTGCGATGCAATACAGGATAATTCATCCCTGTGGTATAGATGCTGGTCAAACGATTTTTCGAAATCATTTGTCTATATTTTTGAAACGCACTGTACATACATACACTTGCACTTGTATTTGTATTTTGCTTACTGCACGAAACCGGTCACGTGGGTCTTCCTGGGAGAGGGGAAAGAGATTCAAATACACACGTGCATACACACATATACACAATTAAACATACACACATGCACACACACACACACAGATGCATGCACACATACACACACACACATGCGCACATACTTACTCTTTGTGTCCTCTCCACGCTAACTGCTGCACTTTGCGGCATTCCTCCTTGAGCCCGTACGGTTTAACGCTGCCGCCGTGATCTTCCTCCATATCGACACTCCACATCGCTATGGTACCGTCTTCATGGCAACTGGCAAACATGTGGCCAGCAGGGTGCCATATCGCACTGCATAAATACTGTAAGATGCGACGGAATAGCAAGAAGAGACAAAGGGTATGTTCGATTGGTTGGATCCGGATCGATTGCCTGGATCAAAAGGAACTTCCCAGGTTGAATCAAACGAATGTGGAGTTTCATGCCAAAAAAAAGGCCGCTTGCCAAAAAAGGATCAGTGACAACGAGAGAGAACGAGGCTGCTCGACCACACGGAGTGTGGTAAATAGAACATGGAGATTGGAACTTTCCCATGCATATCTGACCAGACAGAATGGGGAGAGTGAATGAGGAGTGAGATTATCAAACTGAACGACAATGACATCCATTACAGCATGTAGCGGGGAAAGGATAGCTAATACGCTTATACAGAACTGCTTTCACCTGTACACTCTGACATAGACATGTTATGTGTACACACACGCACACGCATGCATACAGGCACCGATAGCCAACAAGGGTGTGTACAGTAAAATCTGTGACTAACGACCACCCCTTGGGGCCAGACAAAGTGGTCTTTAGTGGCAGGTGGTCCTTAGTTAGAGGTTTGCACCGCACAACCATATAGGAATGTGAGACCGTCCATGCCTGGCAAAATGGTCTGTAGTACGAGGCTGGTCGCTAGTCACGGTGGTCTTTAGTTACAGGTTGTACTGTAGTACGAGGCTGGTCGCTAGTCACGGTGGTCTTTAGTTACAGGTTGTACTGTAGTACCAGGCTGGTCGCTAGTCACGGTGGTCTTTAGTTACAGGTCTTACTATATGTCCAAACAGAAGCACTAGTGGTACATTTGTGAATACGAATAGCACCAGCAGCCGCTAGCTATACCGTTACCTGTATTGGAGGGAAGTTGCGCAGGGGCATTTTCTCTGATAGACTCCACAAACAGAGCATGCCTTTCTCAAAACCGATCAGCAGCTGAGCAAATATAACAAGATAACAATTAACATGGGGTGAATGCACAGACACACCTTTGACACCCATCGGCGGATGCTACAGTAGAAGCCATAGCAACTTGTGCTGGGATTGAACCATTCAACAGCTTGCAAGGCTGAGAATTGACTGCCACTATTCAGCCTGGTCTACACCACACAGCTATGAAGTGGCTTTTCTGGCCAGTGAATCCCTACTTTTTGGTCTTTATCATTTTTTCCCGCACACACATCACACCACATACTCCGGCATGCACTGGCTGTTGGTAACCACTCAGGAGAACTAAAGAAAAGTCAGGAGGAACCTGAGAAAGAGAAGAAAGACGTGTGTCACCATAATTGTCGGGAATCGAACCGGTACCTCTCGATTGTAGACACGCACACGCACACAGGATCACGTTGCAGCTAGGAAAAAAACCACCAGGCAGTTCAAGGGCTGAGGAGTGCCTATGACAGGAACGGAGGCAGAAAAGAAGAGAGGGCAAGGAGGGGGGGGGGGGGGGGGTAATAGAATTGTATTGGTGTACTGTTGAGCCTCGCAAGCATTCCACTCACCTTGTCCGGATCAGTTGGGCACGAATCCAAAGCTTCCACACTGCCAGGATGTAGTTTATTGGTGCCTTGGGCACTATACAAAAGCAACACAGGAAAGTGAACAGTTCGGTGACTGTATGATTCTATACAGCCGGCCCCGTTTACGCATTCGTGTATTGATCTGTCGTCTGCTCTCTGTCGCATTCTGAAATGCATTGTCTGTGTGCACATGTGCGTGCGTCTAGTTCTCACGCGTGCACGCCATTTCATTAGCTGTAGATGCAGCAGGCGTATGCAGCCCACGTGTCCTACTTGCTAGCATTGCACATGTTGTTCCTTTTCACATCCGCTGTACTCACCATATTATCAGGGTGCACTCGCGTACCCGCGCACGCATTAGCATGCCACATGCGCGAGCCTTGCAAGGCTAGCCATATCGTATTTCGCATGCTGGCAGAGAGCCAGGATTTTTGCATTTTGTTTGTAGTTGTGGTGAGCAGTTAGACTTGCGCTCGCTTTTCCTTTCTTACCAGTAATAGTCTTGTATTCTTTGTTCACGGAAGAAGAATTCCCTTGTACATCTTAGCCTTGTTTGTAGTCACTGAGTGGATTATTAAAGGCGCGCCTTGTGAGAAACAAGCCATATGGTCCTTCGAGGCGGATTCGATGGCAGACGATTGGACTCCGGACACATTCATAGTAGTGATGTAGTTTAGCAATGGCGGAGCGGAGGACTTCCCGCGTGAATTTAGGACAACCAGCCGAAAGATCGGGATGGAGCGAGACACGCAGCTCAGTTTCTTCTCGCAGTAGAAACAGCGCCGCTCGTCTAGAGATTCGCGCGGGAGGCCGAACTCAAAGCCAGGGAGTTGGCAGAATTTGAGCTGGAAGCTACCCAGAGACAACTCGAGCTCTCGCCTGGAGAAGTCGACTACGCCGGTCTGTGGTGGGTCGCTTCGGCGCAGAAGGAATGTCACAGCGCCACAGTGACTGCTTTGTCGACTGGCAAGCCGCTGCAGCCGTCTGACCCGTTGGTGAAGCTAAACCCGTATCTCGACGAGTTGACCCCAGCCGTGATGCGGGTCGGAGGACGACTCGACCAGGCCACAAACGTCCCATGTGCCACCAGACGACCGGCTCTCCTGCCCTACAAGCATCGGATCACCATGCTAGTGATTGCGGATGAGGACCGGAAGACAAACCACGCAGTGGGTTGCAACCACATCTGGGCAAACCTCTGCGTAAAGTACTGGCTAGTGAAGGGGAAGCAGGCCATCAAGTCGCACCGACTGCAGTGCAACGCCTGCATCCGACACTGGAGAAGCCAGCCGTACAGCTGATGGGCCAACTGCCGTCCAGCCGTGCAGCGGTCACCAAGCAGCCGTTCACGAACGTGGGGGTAGACTTCGCTGGTCCCTTCCACACTCGTCAAGGACGCGGCCGCTCTCGAGCCAAGAGGTACCTGTGTCTATTCACGTGTCAAGAAACCCGAGCGTGTCATCTCGAAATGGCCTTCAATCTGTCGGCGGAGGGGTTCATGTGCTTCACGAGATTCTGCACACGACGTGGAACATCGAAAGAAGTGCGATCCAACAACGGACAGGCTACTGAAAGATGCTGTTGAAGCCATCGACATGAGCCAGGTGACAGCGTGTCTCACAGCCCAGAACACCGTGTGGAGGTTCAACCCGCCTAGATCACCACACAGATTCTGTATAAGTTCTCTAGTTTGTATCTCATACGTTGTTGATTGAGAGCAAGTTCACTTAGGAATATTTGATATAAGATAACCTCCAGGCCGTGCCGAAGTAAGTTCTGAAACGTTCGTTGACTGACTGTGGGTAGTTGCCTCCTTGCCTTAGACCACGCACACTACATTGGCGGCAGCGGTGGTTAAAGTAGATCACCACACCATGGTGGCTTCTTCGAAGCATTGATTAAGTCTGCCAAGGGGCCATCCATGCCAAGCTAGGAAACGCCAGCTTTCGTATCTCATACGTTGTTGATTGAGAGCAAGTTCACTTAGGAATATTTGATATAAGATAACCTTGAGGCCGTGCCGGAGTAAGTTCTGAAACGTTCGTTGACTGACTGTGGGTAGTTGCCTCCTTGCATTAGACCACGCACACTACATTGGCGGCAGCGGTGGTTAAAGTAGATCACCACACCATGGTGGCTTCTTCGAAGCATTGATTAAGTCTGCCAAGAGGGCCATCCATGCCAAGCTAGGAAACGCCAGCTTCAACGGTGAGGAGTTGCAGACGGCGTTCGTCCAGGCGGAGGGCCTTTCTTTCGTCCTTTCTTACCAGTAATAGTCTAGTATTCTTTGTTCACGGAAGAAGAACTCCCTTTTACATCTTAGCCTTGTTTGTAGTCACTGAGTGGATTATCAAAGGCACGCTTGTGAGAAACAAACCAGTGACGATCAAGAAGAAAACAAACGCCGCAAATTCACACACGTTTGGTGTATGTACAGTCAAACCTCTTTAGGACGAACACCAAGGCACCGATGATATTCGTTTGCACTAACGGGAGTTCTTCTTATCCGTATGTTTTACCCAGTGAATACACAGGGCTTTATCCAATACAGTAACGAATACCAGTTCTTCTTAGGCAAACATTTGTCTTATCAGTCGGTTCTTCCTAACGAGATTTCACTGTACTTATACTTCCGGTAATTTCCATGAATCCGTTTCATTCTTTAAAAAATTGAACTGGATTAGAATGCCGACAAAGGCGGTTTGGCTACTGTGTTTCTTGGTGACAAGGCCGCTGTTCAATAACCGAACAAACACTGACGGGCATCATCCAATAGGGAACTGCTTCTCTGTACTTGACATTTCTGTTCTATTTCACCAAACCTGGCCTCTTGCTCTCATACAGTCATAACAGTTTGAGCACCTAAAATTTATGAAATAAGAGTACAAGAAGTGCAACTAATGGTAAGGCAAGAACAATTCTTGTCACCCCTGGCGACACAATCCTCACAAGGATCGATGCGGCGATGTGACATTCGTACAGCTATGAACACACTTTCCCACTTTCAAGCTGGCCACTACTACTACAGTGCAGATTTCCACGAACAAATACAACGACCCTAGAGTATCTTGCCTCCCCTCGGCACAACAGGTCCCACAAGGATGGACGTACGGTTCGGTGGCTTTGTTCCAGTAGATGATATCCTCTTGCTTATTGCTGAACATCAGTTTGTTCGAACTGACCAGCAACACATTGCCGCCTTCGGTTCCCACGGCGATATGCTCGCCGCCACGAGGATAGCAGGCGACGCTGACCCGCTTGATGCTGTGCACGTGAACACACAAAACAGGGGAAAACCCCCAATATTATTTTTATCATCATTGAATTCACACTTAGATACAGGGGTCAGCAGCAGCATTCGGACCTGCACAGATTTTCCATTGCCTATGGTGAGTGCGTACCACAGGCTCCAGGAACGACAATCACTTGCGGAGAGGACACCTTGGTATGTCTCCTTGCGGACTAACATATCATTACATTCATGCATCCTTACTGGCACAAACAAACACTACTCATTTGGTAGGCATTACTCTTGGTCAGGTAAAACAGCAACGATCATCAATCTCCGGGCATGCGCAATACAGTAGCCAACTGTGAAGTAGATATATTATGACTTGCATACACAATACATTAATACTAGTAGTGGAGCGTGTGGGACTCACCCAGGGTAGACGACTTGATAGGACGCCTCCTGCACCATTCGACACCGATCGTCGCAATTCTCTAATGACCACAGGTGCAAGTCATTCTCAAAACCGACGCTGAGAACGCGTAACTGCACACGCACACACACACACACACACACACACACACACACACATAAATTAACAGGCACAAACATAAAAGAACAAGCACACACACACACACACACACAAACACACAAACACGCACGCACACACTCACACACACACACACACACACAAACACAAATGCACAAACACGCACGCACACACACACACACACACACACACACACACACACACACACACACACAAATGCACAAACAGAAGTGAACAGGCACATATGTTAAAGAACAGGCATGCACCGAGATGAAGAGACACACACATACACACGCACACAGAATGAACAGGCAAACATTGAAACGTCCAACACAGGGAACCTTCAGTGCACCTTCACCTTCAAGAGTCGTAAAACTGAGAGATTTATAAACTAATGTGGTGCAGGCGCACGCATGAGCGTGCTACTGAAACCTCTTTAGAGCGAACACCAAGAGACCAATGATATTTGTTCGCAATAACGAGAGTTCTTCTTATCCATATGTTTATACTGTCGATAGGGCAGGCAGGCACAGTGGGTTGGTCTAAGACCATGATTGAGCAACGAGAGGTACGTGGCAAATGGGATTTAGGCCTTTGGCCTCTGGTTGGTGGATCTGATCTATCCTCCCGCACCGTTTAGGAGCCGCATCTGACGCCTGATCATGGGGTGGTGGTGTCCCACGGAAGCGGAAAGGTGGTTCTTGACCAGGGAGTTGTACGACTCCTTGTTCTTGACCTGCCCGGTACGCGAACCCGTCGATTTTATTTTTACACTGTTGATATGCAGTGATTTATCCAATAGGGCTATGGATACCAGTTCTTGGAAAGTGACCGTTCGTCTTATCAGTGTTCTTCTTAACGAGGTTTCAAGGTACAGTGAAAACCTGTCTAAGACGACCGCTCACGGACTTTCAAAGTGTGGTCTCTGTTACCAGGTGGTGTCCTTATCCTGTGCCATTTGACTGGAAATAGCATCTATTGATCCTGACTGCAGTGGTCTTCTGGGACAGGTGGTCGCCTTATCCGAGTGGTCACCTTGACAGGTTTTACTGTACCTGGAAGGGCATCAGCGGGCGTGCTAGTGAGCACATGGAGTCACCATCACAACTCACCTGTCGTCCGAGGAAAATAATTTGTACAACGCTAGACTCAGGTTCATGTTTCGCCGACGTCTCCACCCCCGCTTTTCCGTAGAGTGCTAACTCTCCCGATTGACAACCTACTGCCAGAAGGCCTAGGTCTGGTGAATAGGCCATGGCCGATGGTCGGTGAGGGAATCCATGCTCCACCGACTGCAGGGAGAAATGAAGATAGGCGGGGGGGGGGGGGGGAGAGAGAGAGAGAGAGAGAGAGAGAGAGAGAGAGAGAGAGAGAGAGAGAGAGAGAGAGAGAGAGAGAGAGAGAGAGAGAGAGAGAGAGTGAGTGAGGGAGAAAGAGAGAGAGAGAGAGTGAGGGAGAGACAGGCAGGCAGAACACAGAGAGAACAAGACTCACTCGAAAGTCTACAGTGACACACACACTCAAACAGTCCCAGCAGTGATTCTGTTACTTTCCTAGCTGTAAGTTGGGCAACACTGTTTCGCCACACTGACGTGGGTCACAAGGGACACTGTACTGTATGTCGCATAAGCGATATTATACCCACGTGTATGCACGTACATGCACGTACATGCACACACACACGAACACACATGTATTTATAGAAAAGAAAAAGGACCGAATAGCTACAAGTTATGCTATTACATGTACGCTAAGTTACGCTACAGGTCCTTGTCTTTTCTATAAATTTATCCTTAGCTCTCCATCCGAGTCCATTCTTACACATGACATGTATTTGCTCCGGATTCCACGTGCACACACATACAGACCCTCCTCCCCTCCAACAAACACATGTACACTGAGGCTACTACTGCACTCAGACCTCGGTTATCCGGACCCCGAAGTTATGGGCACTTCGGTCTACCGGACACCCTTCGGACGAGTTTCAGTGGAAATATATCCATTCTGTTGTCACCTTTTGTGGAAATAGAGGAGACGTCACGTGTCATATCTATGGCCTTTCCCCATCAACATGTATGTGATTCGGAGTTACGGACATTTCAAAGTTACGGGTAGTGCCCGGTCCCAGACCGCCCAGATAAACAAAGTATGGGTGTATTGACTGTATTCAGAAAAGTACAGGAGAGGTTTAGATGCGTGCAAGGTACAGCCATGAAATTGCTCAGCCCATATAGGGGCAATCGTGTCGAGGATCCATCTTATTCACTCACTGACACACACACACACACACGACACACAGTGACACACACGTACACACAGTGACACACTTGGACGGCACGGCAGTTAAGGGTTGCAGTTAAGGGTTGGACCATTTCACAATCACTGTTTTGACTGGTCAGACCCTGTCAATGAAACTCTTCAACTAATGCCGTAATGGCCCAATGGCTGCCTGTCTCTCTGTGTACATTTGCTACTGGCAGCACCATGAATCAATGAACACCAGATTAGATTGCACATGGTATTTGCACTGTACAGTATACGATGTATTGGAAGTCATAGTTAGTTTGCAACTGTAAGTAATAGTGGTGTCATGGTGCAAAGAAGTATTGACTGCTTTTCGAAGTTGCACTAGAACGGAGCACATGCAGGCTAGAAACTAACACAAGAAAACAAACTTTTTTGAAAGTACTCACGCGCGTACACACACAGACTCTCACACACATACAAACAGACAGGGTGAAACGCAGGGTGAAGGGCAGGAGAGCCTATGATGCTGACAAAACACTTATGGCCCTCTTCAGGAGCACTTTTCCCTCTGTCCAGAGCCAACAATAGCCATAACTCATAAGACAACACCTAGCCAGCATTCACTGCACTACACTATGACTATGTCTATGAGGAGATAACACACAACACCCATCATTCATCAATGCCAATATGCAATGGGGACTGGCAATGTATTACATTACAGCATTTCCGTACAGCTTCCGCTTCGCGCAGTTTTTTTTCGCCACATCGACGAAATCAATCACGCATTTCGGAGGAGTGTTGTTCTTCCATCATGTCGACAATCAAATTTTTGTTTTCGGTGCACTTGGTGCCGAAATACGATACGCTGCGCTAGTAGTATAGTAACACATCATGCAATGATAAAAAATTGTTTATTTTAGCACCAGAGTGCAACTAAATTTTACGAGCACCGAGTCTGTGATGTGGCTGTTTTCTTGACAACGAAGACTAATAATCAGCACATCCTGTGGAAGAGAAGCATCGTTTGTTGTTCTTCTGGAAATACCATCTAGTCGAGATAGACAAGCGAGATCGCTTGTTAGCACACACTTCTCTACTTCTCACGCTCCATCTCGCATTCACGCACAGCTAGCTAGCTAACAGCGCACACGCGTAGGTCTACGCATGCACGTACGCGAAGCAAACTTCACATCCGCAAATACGCACACTTGAAACAGTGACCTGGTGACAGAGAGACTCAAGCCTAGGTTCGTAAGCACAATCTAGTCAGGCTCTGTCATAGAGGAACCTTCAGCAAGAAGATATTTGAAGCGGGGTGAGGCACCATCAAATCGAGTGACCGAGCTAATTCTCACCTTCAACACACCAAATTCCTCGCGCAGATCCAAAGTGGAGTGAGCAGGCTCCATAGGCTTGAATATCGCCGCCTTCAGGCGACGAAGCGCTGCACCAGCCATGGTTGCGGACAGCAGCAGGACTGCCACAAACGACACAGGTGTGCGCTAGAAACGGTGCGCTGTTAGAGCGGCACCCGACTACTAATACTATTGCGTCGACTGGTCCAAGATGATGGGAGAAAGCGTCAGACACGATCTAGACGCACCCTACACTGCAATGCAAGCTGTTGTGAGTTACGGTGATAACAATGACGTTGAGAGACGGACAGTGGGAAACAGAGCAATCATGATCGGCTAGTACATAGTCATTAGTAGTACAGATACTTCTTCTATGCCCTGCTGCTAAATGCCACGACGACACAAATTTTACACTCGCTCGGACGTCGTAGATCTACGTGTGTTCTCTCACAAAAACGAGTTAGTAAAAGTCACCACTGACACCAGCCTTCAAACTGCAGCTCGATCTGAGTTTGTTCGTGTCGCTAGCAAGGACTAGCCAACGCTAGAATAATAACAAGAAGAACCTACAACGCAGTAACATTCAACACTGCCGCTCCTGATCTAGATCTCAGACGTCTTGCCGATAAAACAAGCAACATAATCATTTCTGCATCGGTATGGTAAACTGGTAAATGCACCTCTCCACGACTCCAGCGCTAGCTCCCTCCAGCTCCACTCGACTCCTCTTCTACCGTGTTCGGGCAGTGCCAGTTGATCTACCGGGCTCAGGTAAATCCTCGATTGCTTTCATGATGCCTTGATGATGAGTAGATCTACGAGTCTGTGGCACTCTGTGCACATGTGTGCGTCATCGATTCGTGGACAGGAGCTAGGAGTAGTAAAATACCACGGTAAACACCACGGTATTTTACTACTCAGCTAGCCCTCCGGCTCCGATCCGTCCTCCCTGCTGGCCTGCATATGATTATGATGTCACAATCGATATCATGACTTCGACGCTTGCGCTTATGACATGTCAATGATCATGCGTGCGGTGCATGGTGATTTGGAGCTCATCGTCATGGTTACAAAATGGCGACTGCCAAATATTTTGCGCGAGGACAAAGATTTTTGTGAGAATGAAAAAAAAAGTTGGCCCGATCGCGATACATGTACATATCCGGGATCAGTCAATTTTCAAAAATTGTAAAATTCCCTTCGTTGGATAGCAGTGTTGTAGTCTGTTGGTTACTTGAAGGTGGTCTTAGACTGAGCTGGAAATCATGGACGACCCAATGGACATGTCGTTGGATGATATCATCAAAACAAATCGGCCCGCCGGCAGAGGCGGCCGTGGACGCGGTGGGAGACGTGGTGGTGGTGGTGGTGGTGGTGCACGAGGAGGAGCAGCCAGAAGCGGCTCTTCCGGAGCAGGACCCGTCCGTCGTCAGCGTGGTGGCGGCAGTGGAGTCCGCTCAGCACCCTACAGCACACGCCGGGTAAGCTATGCGATCACTAATAACCTTTCACGCAGCATTCAACAGATAAAAAATGACAATACACAGCATCCAACAGGTCAAAAATCTCCAAATGGCAATAGATATACATGTACTTACTTTAGGGACCGTCCGAAACCATTGCCATTTTTTTCTCAGCCGTGCAAAGCGTCACCTCTCTGACTCTTCTACCTTCTGGCCTGATCCTCACTTACCAGGACAGCGAAAAACCTGTCTAAGAAGGTTCGAGGTGAGCTCCTATCCAGGGTTGTTTGAGTGGACTGAAAATAACATCCATTGCTCCTGGTTGCAGTGGTCTTCTGGAACAGGTGGTCACCTTATCCGAGTGGTCGCCCTGACAGGTTTTACTGTAGTCGGAATCTCCCCACAGTGCACTGTATGTGCTCTCTTCGATGGCCTTCGTTCACCACACCAGCAACACAGCTCCAAGCTGTAGCAGACACTGGCATGAAAATATTAAATTACAGTAGTCGTCTTCAGTAGTCCTCTACATAAACGAGTGCTGATGTACATGTAAGTCAGCAAATGTTCGGCGCATATTTTCTTTCGGCTATTTTCGCCCTGGTCATGTTTGGCCGAAAATTTGTTTTGCAAGGTCCAGTGTGACAGTAGATATCCTTAGCTAAAAAAACGCTAACGTAAACGCAAACCTTTCCGTACTTCGGATCGTTCAAGCTGACTTTTCCCTTAGCACAAAGTACGTTATACTGTAGAGGCAGAAAATTTCGTCGGTCAATAATTTCGTCCAACTCCAAAGAAAAGGAGTTCGTCCGCTTGAAAATTTCGTCCATGGGTCATAAGAGTGTATAGAAACGCTGGACAAATCGATATTCGTCCTACATTTAATTTAGTCCAAAAGCTCCTTGGACGAAAAAGACGAAATTAAATTCCAGACGAATATTTCTGCTTATACAGTAGTTGAGACGAAGTAGTCGTGACAACCATGGCGGTATGAATTTTCGTGGAAACAGGTGTGGGAAATTCAAAATTTTGAACCAGGGAGTTTGCTGTCGTACCGAAAGAATACCTTGGCGAGGTCTTTTACTCTGGAATAGCAAAAGCACGGCAAAAATGAGTTTTCGCTGTTCCCAGGTCCTTGGAAAACCTTTCCTAATAAACGCAGCACCGAAGTTACAAAACAATGCGAGTTTTTGCATTTTTTGCAGAATTTCCATAACGAACGTCGGCCCGTTATTTTGAGCTCTGTAACGTTTTTCCGTTATCCGATAACGTCTTTAGTCACGGCTGGGAGTGAGTACCGTAAAAGTTAGCGTTATCGTACTTTTGCTAATGATGTCTAGTGTATACAGGCGGCAGCAGTACAGGCCGACAATTTGATTCGGCCGAAATGGGTTTGAGCCCTGGGAGGCCGGCATTTGAATGGGTCGAACATTTGTAGACTCACAGTACAGTCAGACCTCGCATTAGGGCGCGTTCAGACTACCGATAAAAAGTGACCGATTGGGAAAGTTTCCAAGGTGATTTGATCACGTGACGTTACTGGCACGTTACCGGCGGAAAAGTTTTTTTTGCCACGGCTGCTGCAGCAGTGAAACTTTTGCGGCAGTAAAAAAAAGTGCTCGGGCTGGGAAAAAGGGAAAATCCCTTCTCAATGCCACGGTGAGAGCTGCAAAACTTAAGTAACGGTAGCGTTAGTTTATCGGTAGTGCGAATGTCCTTCACGGTTTATCGCCATTCACGGTTTGACGGGATTCACGGTAGTCTGAACGCGCCCTAACCGCAGACATCCGTTTTCCACAAAAAATATCCGGATAGGCGAGGGAACCGGATAATTGAACACATACTGTGTGTATGCTTGGCATATGCTGTAAATCGGTAACCAGCGATTTTCTTCCGGATGGCGAGGAATCCGGATAAAAGAGGACTGGATAAGCGAGGTCTGACTGTATTGACAAGTTCTAGCCATTTAGCACTCTCCCAACCTTCACTCAAGGCGACCACTCTGATGAGGTGGCAACCTGTCCTAGAGGACCACTACAACCAGGACCAATGGAGATCATTTCCAGTAGAATGACCCTGGATAAGGAGACCACCTGCTCACGGAGGCCACACTTGGAAGATCTCTTGGAGCGGTCGGCTTAGACAGGTTTTACTGTACAGCCTGGGAGTCGTGTTTCTGGTGTAGTGGCCAAGGTCGGCTGGAGAGTGTGCCCGGTGGCGAAATGAGAAAAGAAGAGCAGTGGTTTGAAATGTTCCATCCCACTCCCGAAACATTTGCAGTACACCCCGGTGGCAAACGTCCCATTTCCGGCACTGTGCCTGGGAATCCGGGATGCTCGGCTTGTATGCGAATCCGCACTGGCCCACAGCATCACAGATAGAACACTGGAAGTCGACAAATGTTCGACCCATTCAAATTTCGGCCTTTCAAGGCTAAAACACGTTTCGGCTGCAACAAAATTTCGGCCGGTACTGCTGCTGCCTGTATACACTGTCACACTGAACCTTGCAAAAAAAAAGTTTCGGTTGCAGCAAATTTTCGGCCAAGTATGATCAGGCCGACAATAAATACGCACCGAATATTATTTGTTTACTTACAGTACTCAAACAAATTTAAAAAAAATTCTCAGTTCGCGTGAGACTCGGCCAAAGGCCCAGTTTTCCGCATCCGCAGGAACGCCACCACCCTCTTGGATCAAGGCGCCGATGCAGCTCCTAAGCGGTGGGAGGTGAGTAGATCAGACCCACCGCAAAGTGGTCAAAGACCAAAAATCCCATTCACTGCACCCGCTACATTCAATACAATACTCTAAAATAAAAAATAAAAAATAAACTCGACGGGGTTCGCGTACCGGGCAGGTCAAGAACAAGGAGTCGTACAACTCCCTGGTCAAGAACCACCTTTCCGCTTCCGTGGGACGCCACCACCCCATGATCAGGCGTCAGATGCGGCTCCTAAACGGTGGTTGGTGGATCTGATCTATACAGTACTCTAACTGCAAGAAAAATGCAGCAAGCGTCGTCTTGTAGTCTTGTATCTTGCATTGCCAAACTGTTCATCTATCTGTCTGCCTCTGTTTGTGTAAAGCGAAACCGGTCTAAGGCGACCGCTCAAGGGGCTTTATATATGTGGCTCCCGTGTACAGGTGGTCTCCTTATTCAGGGTCAATTGACTGCAAATGACATCCATTGGTCCTGGTTGTTGTGATCCTCTAGGACAGGTGACCGCCTTATCAGAGTGGTCGCCTTGACAGGTTCTTCTGTATGTGTTTGCCTGTTTATCTGTTCTGACGCCTGTGTGTGTGTGTGTGTGTGTGTGTGTGTGTGTGTGTGTGTGTGTGTGTGTGTGTGTGTGTGTGTGTGTGTGTGTGTGTGTGTGTGTGTGTGTGTGTGTGTGTGTGTGTGTGTGTGTGTGTGTGTGTGTGTGTGTGTGTGTGTGTGTGTGTGTGTGTGTGTGTGTGTGTGTGTGTGTGTGTGTGTGTGTGTGTGTGTGTGTGTGTGTGTGTGTGTGTGTGTGTGTGTGTGTGTGTGTGTGTGTGTGTGTGTGTGTGTGTGTGTGTGTGTGTGTGTGTGTGTGTGTGTGTGTGTGTGTGTGTGTGTGTGTGTGTGTGTGTGTGTGTGTGTGTGTGTGTGTGTGTGTGTGTGTGTGTGTGTGTGTGTGTGTGTGTGTGTGTATCTGTGTGTGTGTGTGTGTGTGTATGTGTGTCTATCTGTGTGTGTGTGTGTGTGTGTGTGTGTGTGTGTGTGTGTGTGTGTGTGTGTGTCTGTGTGTGTATGTGTGTGTGTGTATGTGTGTGTGTGTGTATGCGTGTGTGTATATGTGTGTGTCTCTGTCTGTCTGTCTGTCTGTCTGTCTACCCGTTCAGGACCAAAGCAACGTAGAAAGTGTTAGTGAATGGCAGCATGATCGCTACGAGGAAGTAGCTGCTGGTAATGGAGGTCGTCGGCGTGATGGACCCGGGCCAGCACCACGCTATGCTGGCCCAAAGGCAGCTGACAGCAATAAACTAGTAGTTACTAACCTTCACTTTGAGGTGTCCGACGAAGATGTGCAGGTAGGCACTGCTCTGTGCGTAAGTGTGTGTGTGTGTGTGTGTGTGTGTGTGTGTGTGTGTGTGTGTGTGTGTGTGTGTGTGTGTGTGTGTGTGTGTGTGTGTGTTTCCAATCGAGAGGTTGCGGGTTCAATTCCCGACGATTATGGTCGCACACGTCTTTCTTCTCTTTCTCGGACTCTTCCTGGCTTTTCTTTCATTCTCCTGGGTGGTTACCAACAGCCAGTGTATGCCGGAGTATGTGGTGTGGGGTGTGTGTAGGAAAAAAATGGAAAAACGAAAAATAGGGATTCTCTGACCAGAAAAAGTCACTTCAAACAGCTGTGTGGTGGATACCAGGCTAAAAATAGTGGCGGTCAATTCATCAGCCTTGCAAGCTGTTGAATGGTGTAATCCCAGCACAAGTTGCTATGTCTATCATAGCTGTTCGCTATCATCGCTTCCGCGATGGGCATGTCTGAGGTCTGAGGTGTGTGTGTGTGTGTGTGTGTGTGTGTGTGTGTGTGTGTGTGTGTGTGTGTCTGCGGCGTGACCCCAAGGGGTAGCTGATTGATAGTACAGTACGTATCGCCTATAAGGTTGGCGGCTATAGTAATATACCGGATATAGTGATCAATTTCTCAAATTCATTTTCATTTGCCATAACTAAGTATACACAGTTATCGCGTATAGTAATAATCGTCTATAGTAATATATCGCCTATAGTGATCAAATTCTTATTTCAAAAGACCTTTATTACATTATGTTTGCATCGATTATAGTGATTGATGTAAAATCAAGTGGTGTCAGAGGAGAACATGGTGTTACTTCTTCGTGAAGAACTAACTTGTCCAGTGTTGTTTGGTGAGTTCTGCTTGTACAAGTTGCCAAATATGCCTCCATCGTGAGGAAATGCTGATTTTGTGTGACATGAGCTGTAGCCAGCTATGCAGTGCGTATGTGCACGGCGCCCTGAGTCGTTTTACACCCCACTCGCATACATTGCATGCAGTATCGGTCATAGTGATATATCGCTTATAGTGATAAAATGCTCAAAATCAAACACCAACGCTATAGGCGATACTGACTGTAGTAGTGTGTGTCTGTGTATGTGTGTGTGTGGGGGGGGGGGGGGTACTGTGTGTGTACACGTGTGTGTGTGTGTGTGTGCGCGTTTGTGTGTTATCCGTGCACTGTGTGTGTGTGTGTGTGTGTGTGTGTGTGTGTGTGTGTGTGTGTCTGTAAATTCATGGATTTCCTGCTTGTCCATTCCTTTTCTTTTTCTGAAATCCAGGAATTATTTGGTGAGTTTGGTGATCTGAAGACCGCCAAGGTTCACTACGACAGCTCTGGACGATCACTGGGAGCGGCTACAATCATCTTTGTACGGTCACAAGATGCAGCCACCGCTTACAAGAAATACAACAGAGTGCCCCTGGATGGTGAGTCGACACGGTGGCGGCGCTAAATCATTTGTGAAGAGCTCTGGTACATTACACATAGGAGGAATTACAGCCTCAACTGCTGAAATGTCGAAAATCGAGAAATGCCGAAATTTTGCATCTCTCTCTCTCTCTCTCTCTCTCTCTCTCTCCTCATTCTCCTCATCCTTCTCCCGATGTCCATTCAACCTGTTGTGCCTGTTGTCGGTACAGTAAGTTATTTGGGAGTGTAATGATGTGTGTGTATGTGTGTGTGTTTGTGTGTGTGTGTGTGTGTGTGTGTGTGTGTGTGTGTGTGTGTGTGTGTGTACGTTTGTGTGTACATTTGTGTGTACATTTGTGTGCGTGTGTAATGGCATGTGTATGGCATGTCTATATATGTGTGTGTGTGTTCTCAGGACAACCCATGCAAATAGAATACTCATCACCTGCATCAGGATCGCCTGCACCCGCCGCTTCCAGCGGTGCTCCTCGTTCTGTTGCCAGCAGGTAAGGGTGTGCAGTGGTGTATACAGTAAAACCTGCCTATGACGACCGCTCAAGGGACCTTCAAATTTGTGATCTTTGTTACCAGGTGGTCTCCTTATCCAGGGTCATTTGACTGGAAATATTATCCCTTGGTCCTCTAAGACAGGTGGTCGCCGTATCCGAGTGGTCACCTTGCCAGGTTTAACTGCAATTGCTCAAGCTTGCCTCTTCTTCTTCCTCTCTATTCGTCGGGGATTTTTTTGCTAGCTCTACATGACTGTACTCTTCTGCGTTGGGCTGTGTGCTTCGCACTCACATAGACACGCAGATGATCATGCACAAATACACACATGTACAGCATATGCCAGTTGCAAGATTAGCACTTATATTATATCCTAGTACACCAAACAACACATGCATACTGTCTCGCGTACGCACACACGCACACACACACACACGCACGCACGTCGGTACATATCCACTTGATTGTACTAGTCAACGTCTGTTCCTCTGCTGCCGCTGCTACTGCTACTGCTACTGCCAGAGTCCTCATTGTCACCATCGGTGTTTACAGTGCGCCTATAGTTCTACCGTATTTTCCCGAGTGTAAGCCGGACCCAAATTTTCTGTCACGAAATACGGACATCTACCCTGATAATTATACAAAAGAGAAAGACCAAGGAACTACAAGTTACGCTATACTGTCCACTAACACCACCAGTTACTAAACAATCAATCTTGGTCTTTCTCTTTTGTATAATTAATTAAGCCTTGGCTCTCCATCCGAGTCCATATCTAGCCTGTTTATCGCTATTAATTTGACCATCACCGTATAAACCCACACCGACCTTTTTTGGGGGTGAATTACTGGTGTTTCAAGTGCGGCCTATACTCCGGAACAATACGGTAGTTTATTAAATTTTGTTGACATTGCGAGTGTTTAATCTCCTCTCTACCTCTTGTATCTCAATCATGGGTGACATGGTCTTTGACCAACGCACTATGCCTGCCTGGTTTATCCTTTGACATTGGTGTGTGTGTGTCTGTGTGTTTAATCTGCTCTCCACACAGGCTTGGCCAGAGAGCTGGCAACGATAGCTCCTGGAGCACACCCAGAGAGCCGCAACAGCAGCGTTCATTCGGCGGTGGCCGTGGCGGTGGTGGAAGTCGAGGCAGTGGACGCGGTGGTGGCCGAGGCCGTGGAGGTGGTGGCCGTGGTGGTGGCGGTGGAGGATCACGCAACTCCAAGCAGCCAGTATCTAAGGAGGACCTCGATGCCGAACTGGAAGCGTATCACAGCAAGGTGAGTGCTAGAAATGAAATCCAGTGGAACAGAGTCAGAAACGAGAGAGCTTGGAAGCTCAGGGCCCTACGCTATGCTTTTTTGCCTTGATGATCTAGACAAAAAAAGCATAGGGATGTTATAAATTCTTATAAATTTCTCCTCTTTTTTTTTAAGACATAACCTGGGATTCGAACCCGCACTATCGCCCTGCATGCATCCCCCGATACACTTCCCATACATACCGGCAATAATTCTTCCAAGTTGCTTCACGTTATGATCTTTTCATTTGAAAGCCCTATTTGAATATGCATTGTGGCCAGCCGTCTTTGCTGGTACGGTACGGGACAGGTACGGTCGAGGGTAATACGACACCGTCTACCGCCTTGATGACGGCAAAAAAAGCATAGGGATGTTTTTCAATTCTCCTATTTTTTCAGGCATACTTAGTAACCAGGGATTCGAACCCGCACTATCGTCCTACATGCATTCCCCCATACACTTCGCATTCATACTCCTTCTTCCAAGTTGCTTCAAGTTACGATCTTGCATTTGAAAGCCCTATTTGAATATTGCGGCCAGCTGTATGTGGCCAGCTGTGTTTGATGGTACGGTACGGGACAGATACGGGGTAGCGCCAAGCGTGACACAAACAAACAAACAAACACCAAATTAAAGCTGTGTGGACCCTGGCTAGCGCCAGACGTTACTGAAGTAACGTCTTCTGCATAGCTACGGGAATAAATAATTTTATCAGAAATAAATAATTTTATATCTCAAGAATGGACTCGGATGGAGAGCCAAGGATAAATTTATGGTAGGGATATCACCGTACCGGTATTTTTTTCTTTCGTAGTAAACCAAGAAAACTGTTTTGTTTTTTCGTGAAGACCTCCAATGACGAAAAAAAGGTTACTTTGAAGTACGAAATCTGCTCGTTGGGAACTAGCATGACAGTGGGAACTGTATGGATTTTAGTAGGAGAAATTCGTCACTGCGGTCACACCTATGCACCTATATGGTCAGTGTACTGTCAGTGGTCAGTGTACTGTCTACTGTCCTACACTGACCATTTAAAAAATAAAAAATAAAATCGCTTCCTATAATGGATTTTGGCAAATATTTTTAATCCACTTTCGCCTTCTGCATCACGATATGTGGTTTTCCCGAAGAAGAAAGATGTGGTCAGTGTACGGCAGTACACATGTATCACACACATGGCTGTGTTGTACTGCCGTGACGACTACACCTGTTGTTTTTTTTGTTGCTGAGCTCTTTTCCGGTTGAATATTATGATAATATTCAACCGGAAAAGAGCTCAGCAACAAAAAAAAAGATAATTTATCTATGCCGGTTAAAGTATGTCCAAGTTTTCCGGATTTCCGTTGTGTGCAAACCTATCTATAATCTTACGTAACTGTTATAAAGGCGGGATGATTTTTAGTGAGTGTTGTTACTACTGTTGTGGCAAGTGAAATCCGACACTTGCCATAGGGGACAGTGCCACAAATGAACACCACACGGCTGTTCACGTGCAGGCACTTATCAATATGGCGTCGTTCGGTGCGATTTATGTAATATTGTGCGAATAGTACAAATACGCGATGAGTTTGCGTTTTTGCAAGAAACTCATGTCGATCCTCGCGTGGTTCCACGATTTGGGACGCGAAACCAAGAGAAAAGTTTTGAAAGCGCTCGAGCGAGATACTCGACTTTTCGGCAATTTGAGAGAGAAAGAGGGTGGAAAGGCGTCCTGGCCTGCCCAGTTAGCTGTCTTTCCGCTTCAAACTTGCTCGAAGTACTCCTGGCAATCTGGAGATTGATCTCGCCAGTGATTGTCAGCCTCTGCTTGGCGTGCTCGCGTGTACAACATTCAAGTTAGACATTTCGTAATCGTTCAACGCACAATAGGGTAGATATCACTATTTCAAGCTCACTTGGCCGGCTGCTGTCTTCTTCTACAATATCCCACATGCCGACTAAGCAATTTACAGCAGGAAGCAGCCTTCTACACTCAACAGCAACTAAAGGGCCACACCATTTTGTCTTCCAAATCAAGAGAAAACAGGCTCCTGACTCGTCGCGCGTATTCTAATGACACTTGGGGAAGACAACCAGAGGATAGTCCTCTACCTGGGAAAAAATCGATCTAAGCTGGGAAAAATCGGGAAGGGCTTCTCGGAGCCGAGTTTGTCAGCGACGACACAAGGAGTATTCCAGAACGAAGCCAAAGTCGCACGACACAGAACAAATGTTTCTTGAAGGAAAGGCAGTCATGTGAGGTACGAGCGGAAAGCTTGAAACAAGACGCAGATGATCAGCGTGTTCCCGGGCTGTCCGGGCTGACTAGTCTCCAAAATCCAGTGGAAACCATGGCCTACTCGTGTTCTGACGATTTGAAAATTCAAATTTTCTTGCCATTGAAGCCCAATCGAGACTTTCGGCGGCCATATTGTTAAGTGGCGTGAAATCGCACAAAAAACAGCCGTGACCAATGATGTAATGCACTGCACCTAATTTGTACTATAGAGCCGTATGCATCCCAAACAGATCGAAAGGTCACAGCGAAGGTACACACAGTTCACAACACATGGTACACATAAGGAGTATTGGTATCCAATCCTCATTCATTTTTAAATTTTGCCAGCACCTTTTGAACCTTGACTGAACCTTGACTGTGATGAGTACGAGTTTTGTCATCAAACAGATAGAGTTGTATGTAACGCATGTACTGCGTATGCAGGGCTGCGGACTGCATGGTGCAGTCCCTTATGCCAAGTGTCGGAATTCACTTGCCACAACTGTAAATCCAATACACCACACCACCACCACATTGCGCTCTTGGCCGATCCAAACTCTTCACTCACATCACCATCACCACAGCGAGGATAATTCCGGTATATAGATTGATATTGACAATGACCCTCCAGACAGCTGTTTCGCTCCTCCTGAGCTCATCAGTGGATCCATAATGGCCGGGTCGTCGCTACTTCTTCTCAAGTTCTAACTCAATTTAAATTTTATTTGTTTTACCAAAGACCAAGTGGTTCCCATGTTTCCATGGAAACACGGTACTTTTTTCCGGCTGAAGAGGTACTGGGTTGCCTTCGCCATCTGTTGAAGGAGAGCATGGCTAGGGCCGGCCCCACTCCCAGGCTTATGTATTTCGATTGTGTATGTGCATGTGTGTGTGTGTGCGTGCGTGTGTGTGTGGTGCGTATGTGCGTGCGCGCGTGTGTGTGTTTGCATGCACCGTTCTCTCTCTCTCACGTTTCTATTCCAGTCATCCTAGACCGTTGAAGAGGTGCCGTCGGCTCGGTGAGCGGCTAGGCGCCTGGCAACCAACCTGCTGCTGTCATTGGCATTAAGGAGATAGAGACATCATACCGAAGCTACTTCCATGCGACTCTTTTGCAGGTTCTCGTCTCCAGTGCTTTGACTGCTTGGCCACTTGTTCAAGTGCAAGTTTTCTTCATTCCAACCGTCTTGATCTGGCCTGTTGACATTGCCGGCGCACATCTTGCCTACATGTACATGTAGCTACTCCCGAGTATGTCTGGCAGCTGCCGTGGTGGTGGTGAGTCGCCGTGCGTATGCTTGGCGTTGCCCGTGCAAGCGGACTGTGTGTGTGTGTGTGTGTGTGTGTGTGTGTGTGTGTGTGTGTGTGTGCATCTGTCGGTCTGTTCGTCTGTGCATGCGTCTCCCCCACTTGCCGTGGTCTGCCCAGCATCATCTGGGGCCAGAGACATCACCGTTTTCTTGTTTGCCAGTGTTCCAATAATGCATGTCCGTGCATTCCGGAAATCAACGTCTTCGCGCAGCCTTTGGCTCTTTCTTTTCTCACGCATTACGGCTGATTGTCATTTCGACCAATGCTCCTCACATCTCTCTCTCTCTCTCTCTCTCTCTCTCTCTCTCTCTCTCTCTCTCTCTCTCTCTCTCTCTCTCTCTCTCTCGCTCTTCCTTTCTCTCCGTCTCCAGTGCGCTCTCAAATAGTGATACTGCCATGGCCCGGACAGTCCAGTATTCTCTCACATCTGCATTTGCACTGCGAGCGTGTCTATATTATTTCTGTGAAAGTTGTGTTTGCATCTCCCTTGCAACTCTCTACATGAGAGAGAGTGAGAGTTGAGGAGAGATGTGCTTAGTGACTGTTTGGTCAACACGTGGAGTCTTCGTTGGACAGACTTTCTTTTGCTGACGATAGTCTTCATCTCTTCTAGTCTCCACTTTTCCCAGGTGGAATTCTTTTATTTTTCCAGTGTCTGTGTAGTGGTTTGCTGATGGAACAATACGTCATCGTGCACGATCGAACGTCATGGATTTGGACAGATGAAAAAGAGTCCTGTGAAATGTTGTAATGGTGCGTGTGTGTGTGTGTGTGTGTGTGTGTGTGTGTGTGTGTGCATTTTCAAGTCCACCCAGAGTTTTGGGGATTTCAGGGGGTGTCGGCCATTGGGCGGTTCAATAGCCAATTGAGTCATCTTTCCAAGATTCCTTTTGAGTCTCTCTCTACTCTCCTCTCCCGGGGAGACCCACGTGACCAGTTTTGGCGGTGAGCAATAACAAGTACAAGTGTGTGTGTGTGTGTGTGTGTGCACGTGTGTGTGTATGTATGTGTATGTATGTGTGAGTGTGTGTGTGTGTGTGCGTGCGTGCGTGTGTGCATGTGTGTGTGTGTGTGTGTGTGCACGCACATGTGTGTTTGTGTTCTTGCGTGTACTTGTACACGTGTACAGTACTGGCCGGAGAAATCCAACCTCATGATTAAAATAGCGCCGAGCTTTACACAGCTCTACATGTATACACAGCCCTACATGCATTATGTATGGTATATACACAGAAGCCTTGCTTGGTAGTTTAACATGTAACCGGGTTATGGTTGCAGTCAGGAGCACTACGCGTCCTCGCCTTGTAACATGCTGTCAAAATCGAAAAACATGTACATATGTACTTGAAGACTGCAGAGAAGAAACCCAGTCTTGAGCCAATTGCAACCGTAATGCAGTGTGTACAAGCTGGTAGATTCTAAAAGTACGGCTGCCCTGGACACCACGCACGTGCACGGCTGTCCAGAACCCCTGCTTGCAGTCTACAGATCAACTTAACAAGAAACAACTGCATCAGCAGGTGACACTGAACCATCATTGCTCTGAATGTGAATACAGTCAGACCTCGCTTATCTGGTCCTCTTTTATCCGGATCCCTCGCCATCCGGAAGAAAACCGCTGGTTACCGATTTATAGCATATGCCATGCATACATACAGTGTGTGTGTTCGATTATCTGGTTCCCTCGCCTATCCGGATATTTTGGTGGAAAACGGATGTGTGTGGTTAATTGAACGAGGTCTTACTGTACCAGGCACTAGAGAGGACTATGTTTTCACGGTGACAGCGTGAGCAAGGCGAGGGCGCTCTGTATGTGGGAGACAGTGTCCCTGACTACAACCATAAACCGCGGTTGGGAGAGTCTCGGTTTTGCGACCATTTGAACCGTATGTGGCAATGCCCCGGTCGCGGAGTGGGGCTCTCTGCACAGTGCTTGTGTACAGAGGTAATACCGGCTTCCGATGTGAGTGCATTCGCCGCATCTAGACTCATCCCGCTGGCCAAGAAGCCGTCCGGTATTCGCGGCCCTATTGCTGCAATTTGCAGTCGTCGAAGTGTTCCGTTGTCTTATTGGCCGGGCAGTGAAGTCAGTGATCAAGCCCGACCGACGGTCCATGTGCTGTCGCTCCCATGCAGCTCTGTGTGGGTGTGCCGTCTGCCTGCGAAGCTGCTCTGCTGTACACGCTATGCAGAAAATATTCAACTTTGATGATACAGAGGCGGTTCTCTTTATGGGTGTGACAAACGCTTTTAACTCCCCAGCCCGTACTGCAGCACTTCACAACATTCCGAGGATCTGACCGGCTCTGGGAAGGAAATTGCAAAATACCTACACAGATAGGACTAGACTGTTTGTGGCTGGTGGCGGCAAGGTTCTCTCCCGAGAAGGAACCTGTCAGGCCGATCCCCTGGCCATGGCTTATTATGCTTTAGCAACCGTACCGGTAGTTCAGAGGGTGCAGGAGGCAAACCTCAACGTCGATCAGGAGTGGTATGCCAACGACGATGCGGCTGCCGGTGACATTAGCTCCCTCGCCAGCTACTGGAAAGATGTTAACCGTTATCGGACCTGAGTATGGATGCACTGATCTCAATCCCATGAAGACCACTCTCCTGGTAATGCCACTGTACTGGATACACTGATCTCAATCCCATGAAGACCACTCTCCTGGTAAACTGCCACAGTACAGTGTACGTATGGATACACTGATCTCAATCCCATGAAGACCACTCTCCTGGTTAAGCCACAATACAGTGTACCTGGACAGGGCAGAGGAAGTGTTCCAGGGGACGGGAGTCTGCGTCACGGCGGCGGGTCACCAATATCTCGGCGGGATCATTGGTTCTGAAGAGTATTGACATCGTCCCGGATACAGGTACATGTACATTGTACATGTACGTCAACAACTGGCGACAGGAGCTGATGGCTCTCGCTGTAATGGCGGAAATGCAACCTCAGACCGCCTATGCTGTGCTCACAAAGGGCTTATCATCCAAATGATCCTACCACTTGAGAGCATCATTGATGGACTCCGTCACCCTGGCGCCTTTACGGATGAGGTATTGGATCATCAATTTCTTCCTATCCTTTTGGGCCAGGGAATGGCAGAGACATGCAGCTTCTGTCCCTTCCGATGCGATTCGGAGGCTTGGCAATCCCTATGGTAGCAAAGTCTGCAGATCGAGGCAGAGCATCAGGCATCACTTGCTATAATGGCGCCAATAGTGAACTTGGTTGACGCCCACCGTAACGAGAGCAAACGAGACTCCCCAGCCATCAGTCCGGACCAAAACCCACACAGCGTCTTGAGTATCGTGGAGAGCCTGGCCAATCCTGTTCTCGAAGCCGTTGATGAGGCCCGAGGAATCGCCCGACAGAAGCGCCAGGAAAATGTCGGTGGGCGCCGGCAGCAGCAGACAGAGCTTGTTGCGGAGCTTTCACCTGTCCAGCGGCAGCTGCTCGCAGTAGCAGACAAAAAGGGCGTGTCAACATGGTTAACAGCACAACCGTCCTGGAAAAACCGCATTGTGCTGAAGAAGTCGGATTTCAGAGACGTGCTATGCGTACGCTGTGATCTGCCACTGGAAAGTGTAGGTAATCATTGTGTCTGTGGGAAGTCCATGACTACCCACCACGCCCTGACGTACCCGACCGTCGGCTGTTCGTCGGCTCGCCATAATGAGCTCCGGGACCTCCTGGCTGGCGTACTGCAGGAGGTATTGCCCGATGGCGAGATCGAACACGTTAGTCCCACTACACGGTGAGGACATCTCTGCCGCCTCGGCTAATCGTCAGCCAGAGGCACGCCTGAACACATACGGGTTAGGGGTTCTGGTCACGGTAGCGGTAGCAGGATGGCCGCTTTTTTGATGTAATGGTCACTGGCCTTGGGCCGTCCTTGCTGTCTCGTCCGGGAATCCTTAGCCACCTGAGAACACACGGCGAGGGGACGAAGAAGGCGGTGTATGGTGCCAGAGTCAACCAGGTGCAGTCGGAAAGCGTCATTCATCCCACTGGTGTTTTCGACCTCGGGTGTGGCGGGCAAGGAAACTACTATATTTCTGAAGTCGCTACGGCCGCTTTGGTTGTGGACAAAAACAAACACTTGGGTGTGCTCTGCCGTGATGGATGAGGTACGCACCCGGGTTTCCGGTTTTGCCTGCTAGATGCGCTGGGCAGTCACATGCTTTAGGGGCTGCAGGTCCTCTTACATTGCGGCCGCAAGGTCGGAAGCCCCTTTGCAGCATTTTGCCGCCGGCTGTGCTGCTGTTGTTGTTGTTGTTGTTGTTGTTGTTGTTTTTTGAATTCGCAATACCAAACGGGCAATAAGCCCAATAACATGGAAGCGAATAAAAGAATGCTAAGAATGAGGCATTTTGGTGAATACTATTTAAAAAGGAAGTACTGATCCCGGGAGGTACTACAAATAGGTACAATGAAAATCTGAAAAGGCCATGGTACTGTTGTTGACCATGCTGGAAGCAGCTACATGGAGAAGGAAAAACAACAAGAAAGACGTATCTCATGTACAGTCAACTTCGCTTATAACGACACTCGGCCGGGCATCAAAAAAGTGTCCTTATTCGTGAAGTGTCGTTATACCCGAAGTCTCATTATAATGTATTACGGTTGGATGGAACTTTGCTCTGGGCATGGAAATTCTGTCGTCATTCGCGAATTGTCGTTATATCCGCAGTCGTTATTAACGAAGTTGACTGTACTGGACAAACAGAGCTAACAGGAAAAAACCGTTCCTTAAAAATGCCCGGGGATACATGTACATGTACATACTGTCCTTGTGTGTGTGTGTGTGTGCGTGGGTGCGTGCGTGCGTGTGCGTGCGCGTGGGTGCGTGTGTGCATATCACTGACTCGGGCAGAGGCGTGGCTTCGCCTTTGCATGCCTGTAGGCATTTTGGGTTGTCTTTTTGGAGTTTTTGCTTTGCCTTTGGTTCTTACTTCATAGTTTCAAGCGATTGGTGTTGTGAATAAAGCTCAATAAACCCGTTCTGAAGCAGAATTACATAGTCCAACTCCAACTAAAAAAATGCTTACTTACTTGTAGGCATGGATATGGGCGGGTAATGCTAGTTATTTGCTGCGATAATGCTAAAGGTAATGCTCATAATATGAGGATATAATGCCACTTATAATGCTCACACTACTCCATAATGCCAGTTTGAAAGTTGGAAAAGTCGATTTAATTAAAGGCCGTCTTGGATCAAGGCCAAAGCGTAGAAGAAAAAACTTAAACAGCAGTGAGCATGTTGTCTGAAACAATCCACTGAGAAGGTTGATTTGCAACGTCAAGTCTCCGGACGAAGCCGGACGGGTTCAGATGCACGATTTTCGGAACTGGACCTAGCCAGCTTCATGCATGACACCATTGTCGACCGGCAATTATGCTTGTAACGCCAATTTTGCATGCGAAATGGTGTTATAATGCCAGCAGTATGCCACCGGGAAAAAAGGGACTACACGTTTGTATAACTTAGTAAGTATAAGCAAGAGTCCATAATGACTCTTGGTATAAGTATAATGCCAGTCGTAATGACGTAGTGCGTCTCCCGGATGTGCCGCGGGGATTTCCAGCGGATCCCGCGCAGCCTCAACTCCAGTCGCACTAGCATGGCACCAGCCACTCCAGAAAACCCCCTGCCGCGATGACGACTGCTATCGTTTTCATGCAGCTGCATGATCGACGCATGCACGCACAGTCGCACACGTACACTCAAATCGGAGAACAGCTGCGCCTGTACTGTACTCTGTAGGCTGTACTGTGCGTCCAGTGCAGCACGGTTGTACAGTCTTGTAGACTGAAGTCTGAAGAGCTAGAGGGAAGCTCGTAGTAGAGAAACTCAGAAAGGAACGAACTGCCGACTCGAAACTCAGAAAGGCACGAACTGCCGACTCACCAAGTGACAAGTCTAGACTTCGACGACTGTGTCTCGTGGCGTCGTGCATGCTACAAGTACAACTGAAAAAAATCCCTTCGACATTCCCACGTGTACATAAAACTAAAAGCAGTGCGGCTGGTTCATACACAGTCAGACGCTGTATGATCGATAGTGGCTAGAATATTAATTTTTTTTATAAACAAGACATCCTCGTCCACTCGCCAGCAAATCTTCTATTTTCTGACCTCTGGCTGAAGCCTCCTTCTGTTTTCTTCCGTTTCCGAGTAGCAGAATAACTGTGATATCGCCCCAGAGTTAGATCTCCTCTTCTCATCCGGCTGAACGGCTAAGGTCTGCGACACAGCGAGTGTGCTAGTAAACACTTTAGTTGAACACAGCTGTAATTTCATTGCGGACGGAGAAGTCCCACCAGGTGGTGAGGATAGGCGAAATCACTCCACCAGTTCCACGCTGCACCCACACTGTGCAGCTGCCCATTCATTGCAGGATCGGGGAGTGGAGCCTGGAGGTCTGCGACGGTGTGAGTGATCTGTCCGTGCGGTGAACGCGGGAGCAGGGGCGCAACAAGGCTGGTATCATTGTACGAACCCCGCGCCCGACACTAACAGGACGGACGGACGAACGGACGGACGGACGTTTCAACTAGAACTAGAAGGCTAAGGAGGAGAGACAGGGCAGCAAACACTCGAGCAGCACTCGAACACGCAGGTAATACACTATGTACTTGTGAATACAGTCATGCGTGTGGATCGACCATGTGGCTAGCAATAATAACCCCCAGTTTTTACTGGATTTTATTTAAAAAAAACTATTAAATTTTGCTTGGCCCATACAATACATTGGAATCGTCTGTATTTGGCGAGGAGTGAATGATCAGTCTCTCTGGTCATCATGCTGGTGGAAAGTCCCGTGAAGTGCGTAAGAAGTTTTTATTTCGCACATCCGCACTAGCGCCGGCTATACAATTGCACATGTTGAGAACCACACCCAGCTTAGGATGTCGCGCGCGTGCCAGGCCACCAGCATGCCTAATTAATGATTATAGCAGGGTGGAATACACTAGCATAACATTGTCAAACACACGGCAGCATGCGTTGCCTGACGACTTCAAGTTCATACATGTACATGTACATCCTTCAAAGCGGTGAACCCCTTGATAGGCGACAAGCCTCTGGGTCATCCTAATAAAGATATTCTTATTATTATTAAGAAAGGTTTGCCCCCCACACCGGAGCTCGCAAACCTTGGCAAACCTTTCTTACAAATCATCGCCGAAGTCGCAACCACTATTTCGTATTATTATTATTATTATTATTATTATTCAAGTGAATCGATGATTCGAATCAAATACAGTCCAGTGGTAGGCATACTGCTTTGGTGCCATGTCATGAGGCTACTAAGCGAATGCGGTATTTACAGGTTGAGAAAATGACACACGTGCACACACACGCGCACATACACACACACACACACACACACACACACACACACGCACACAGTGATACAGTTCAGCAATGCCCACCGGAACCGGTCTAGTCGGTTACATCACTGCCGGACAACGTTTTGGCCATCAACACGTGTTAACTGAGGAGGTCATGTTTATGCGCCATATCATACACAAAATAATGAATCCAAGAAAGCCAATGGTGTGACCGAACCAATCAAAAATTGCTCCAGGCGGTCCTGACAGCACCACTGAACAGATCATACCACTATGAAATATGAACTACAGTACAGGGTGCAACCGTACGGAGTATAATAATAATAATAATAATAGCACATTTCGCGTAGTAGAGCACTAAACAAAGAAATTCAGTGTTTTTTCCGCTTCTGTCTTGTGAGCATCATCAGCTAGGTGTAGTAGCTGCTGATACCGATTTCTCGCCGGGTGTCGAGCTGCACAGTTTCCTCCAGTCTGTCTTGTCTGCTGCTTGTTGTCGGCACCTGGAAAGGTCTTCCATGGTCTTCATTGGCACACCCAGCTTATTCAGCTGAGCAACCAGACTTGTGGCCAGTGTCAACCTTGGCCGTCCACGAGGTGCTTTGTTGCCCTTGTCAAAATAGC